GTGGCAGCATGAGGGAGGGAGGGAGGGAGTGGGTGATTGAGAGAGATAGAGAGATAGAAACAGAGAAAAAGTGTGTGTGTGCGTGTGTGAGAGGATAAAGACAGAGAGAGACAGAGGGACATGCATACGAAACAGCCAGTACGTAAATACAAAATGGTAAAGACCCACTGCATGAGACGAATACTGGATAATTATGTGCTCCTGAGAGTTATGTAATAATTGTTCATTTAATCACCGACGGTACATTATTATGAAACACAGGTAGAAATATTCTTCTCAAGAGATTAAACAAAAGGTGTTCATGAAGCATGTCCATGACTTCGGCAGTGATTATTTTAAAGTGCACAAAATGGAACTACTCGATGTGTAAATATCTATAGATATTTAGGGTCATTTGTACTATGTGCTAACTATACCCACTGGTCTATTGCGGCTGGACATTAAACAAATAATAGAAATATACATCGGGTCAATTTACACTGCCATCAATCCACGAAACATAGCTATTGCGACCAAGAGTGCAGTCCAGACGAACCCATTATAGGGTTTCTATACAGCAACCTAATTCTTTTTTTTTTACTGTCAATATTTTACTATTTTAATAATAATTATGTATAAGTAGTATTTATTTTATATTTACTGTATGTTGATGTTACTGTTTTTATTATGGAATTGAATAAATACTGAGTTGAATTGCATCCTCGGACCGCAGTGTAAATGAAGCTATTATCAATTAATTATGAAACCAGTTGTCACATAGCGAAGAATAATTAACTCTTGAACAAAAAAATATGATAAAAGTTCGATGTATGAATTAAAGAGAGGGGGTAATTATGCGCCTGGGTTGGATAATTATGTAGATAGGTAATATTCAAATTTGTGTCCCCCCGTCCTATTTCACAATTGTTAAAGTTATTTTTATATTTTCCCGGGTCAAGTCACATATCCATCTACACAATTATGCAAGCCAATGAAGAACTCAATAATGTGTTTGTTTATGTTTTGTACAAAGAAGGGCATCTATATATTTGTGTAACGGGATCTAGATGTATGTACGTTATGATATCTATATGTACTGTAAAGGTATATGTAAAAGCATGTAAATTGCAATTCAAAATTGAAATATGATAGCTTATAATGTTGATAATAAAAAACTACAACCTTTCTGGACAACACCAAGAACAACCGACAGGTGTAGCAATATGTTTTTTACCATCTTTTATTGATAATGAGACATCCAAGTATTGGCACTTTCACATCAATCAAAGTTCTAGATTTTAAAATAAGAATAACCACTTTTTTTCTTCTTTTTTTTTCGTGTCAAATCTTGATGGATCATTCACAATGATAGACTAGGCTTATTTAATCGAGTTAGAAACATATAAGTCTGTACAATAAGTACGACAATCACTGAAAATAGTAATACAAGCTTCGATCTACAGGGTTTGGTGAATAGTGATATAAATCTCATTCTCAGCAAGTCTCTATATTTTAGGCCAACACCATCATTGAAATGTATATCCCTCTGCGTGGATACGATGGTGATAATGATGATACTGATGATGATAATGGTGATGATGATGATGATGATGATATTGGTGATGATGGTGATGATGATGATGATGATGATAATGGTGATGATCATAATGATGATGATGATCCTGGCCATGGCGATGATAAAACTGATGATAATAATGATGGTGATGATAAAATGATCTTCATCAGTCAAATATTTTTGGACTAAAAAAAAAGCGCGTATATTATCTAATTATAAAAAGTGGTATAAACATAATTTACAAATTATTTTCATATTCAAATATAAAAACTCTTTACACATATTTTATAAAAATACAAAAGAAAATATAGAATCAATTTGCCAAAATCATTCTGAAAGACACTCGGCTGGACGGAAGATGAATATCATGATATGCACAATAATAAAAGAAATGGAATAGACTCAGATAGATTATTTACATAAGAAGCTCAGAGCATATAAAATAATAAATATAAATGTAAAAATAATGATAATGATGTAATATTCATAATTTAGCAATAAATAGTAGGACGGTTTCATAAAAGATTGCTTGGAAGGAAGACATGCAACATTCAAATCAAAATAACAACTGAGTTTCAACAATTTAGGACAAATGGAGTTGAAAATGGTTATACAAATTAAGATTTAATTTTGACAACGATTGTCATCAAGCCAGGAACATATTATATCTAAACACTCGATATCGCTTGGCAATAGTACAGAGAAGGCTTGTACCGGTCTTTCACAATTACAAACATGTACCGTTGAAACTCGTTATATACAACAAGGACATTAGGACCATGCCAATTTGATTCAATCATTTCATTGAGTTCGATCATTTATGACCGAATTAATTTTCAAGATACATTGTATTTAAGCATGACAATCATTGTACCTTAACTTGTTATATCAGGTATGCCAATTTCATTCATTTATTTCATTGAATTCGATCATTTATGACCCAAATTTCAAGATACATTGTTTTCCAGCATGCATGACAATAATTGTACCTTAGATTGTTATATCAGGTATTTTGTTGTATCAGAGCTCTATTATGTTAATTTATTTTCAGCATTCAGCATAAACTGATAAGGCCAGACCCTGTCTATTGAGGCTACCCAAGGGAAACATAAAAAGTGGTCATTGTATACAGGTCGCCTTTCTAGACAGGTTCTACATAATACTACACACGTATCTTTCTCGAAGGCGACAAAATACATTGACATTGTAAACACCTGGGAGATGGGTGAGCTGTACTGAGCATGTGCAGTAGAAGCAGACTACATTTCCATAGTTAAACCTTAACTTAACTTTAAACCTGGGTTTAAGTTTAGACTAGACTTAAACCCGGGTTTAACTAAACCTGACTTCAGAATATGGGCCTTGGTCTTTATGCAGAGGTGGCTACTTAGACAGTTTGACTGTTGTACTATTCATTCACTAATTGAAACCTCTTTTTCACAGTGTTTTTCTTTACAAGATGCTACATCCCCAGCAGCATTGCTGAGGGTACTCTGGTGCATGGACTTTCCGCTCAAAGCCATACACGAAGTAGGTGAAAGTTTCATCTTTGAAGGTACACTTAGCCTCAGCTACAGGTATAACTCGAATCTGATGACGCTGCAAAGACAAATGGAACAAAAAGGACAGAAAAATTAATAAGGTATAAGGAGAAAATGGACTAGTGGCAACAGAGTAAACCAAACCGATGATTTTTAGATTTTACCTTCGTTTAAAATACCCATGTTACCATACCGCCTAATATTTGGAAGACCGTCTGATTGTTTTGTCTTGATTTTCTTATGACAAAAAAAGGGCCTTTCGTAAAAAAATTTAAAAAAATAAAAAAATAAAATCCAATCATCTGCCATTATTCAAAGAACGTTTTATACACTTTGAGTTCATGAAATATATTATTATTTGGCATTTAAAAAAAAGCAATATCTATTTGACAATAAAAAAACCAAGGAGTAAATTTTAAAAAAAGTAATTAATATTTAAAACGTTTCAGCTGAAATATCATTTAAATTCCGAGCACATTCACGGCGGAACATAATGTCATAATTAAAAGTTGAATTAGTCTGTCTTCATATTCAAACATACCTGCATATGAAGTCTCTCTCGGTTGTACGCTAACGTATGACGCTGAACCAGCATGCTAGAACCTGTGTTAACATCGTTGATTGGAAATCCTTTAATCGGCCACACCTAACATGACAAAAGAGACGAGATAACTGTACATGAAATATGTTGTTGAAGATCTTCAAAAGAAATATGGAGGTATAAAGGTATGAATGATTCAGTAACTGGTTCAAGGGGAAGAATAACTTGGTTTAATTGAATGCATTATGTCAACATCATAACACTTTCCTTGAAAAATCTATATCAACGATAATAAATTATTGAGTGACACTTTGCTTAAATTCAAATTACTCTATTCGTTTACTAATAAGAACCTCTTTTGTACAGTGTTTTTCTTTACAAGATGCTATAGTGCCTTTACACAATGTCACACGAGGCAGCCCACGCTCTCGTCGTGTACATCTAAAAGTCCCTATTATCATCATGTCGACGCCATTAGTACTACCAATCATCACCTAGCCTAGTTTAGATCATAACCACCTAACTTATCTCTGTATAAATATTATCTTCCATATCACACATTCTCGACTAAGAGTTGGGTAAAATGGGAAATGGAAATGGGAACATGCATATTGGGTATTACATACCAATATTGGGTAAAATTTATCTATATTGGGCGGAATTTTACCCAACAAAGATGCGTGCCCCACGTCCAACTTGATTGTTGTTTTACCCAACTCTTCTTAAAGATAAGGTGGAGTTCTGGTAATGGTGAAACAAACATTGAAACAGTTTCTATTCAAATTCACACCAATTGTTAAGCAGTCAAAATAAATGACTCTTGCTAAAGATTTTGAAAGTTTCTCGAAAAGTATGATAATTATTTTTATCCCACCTTCGGATGTTCTTCTTGGAACACCTGCTCACCGGAGACTCCACGGACTAACTCATCAGGAAGGTTCGTACGCTCCACGATGTGATCTTCAACGTGATTTTTCCTAACACAGAAAAAAGTTTTTTTTTAATTAAATAATATTATCAATAGGGCCTACATAATACCAGAGGAATCTCGAAATTTAAGCATTTAATTAAGTGCTTTGTTATGAATATTTGTGTACGATGTTATCCGTGATTTTATCTGAATAAAGATTTATTTCAACAAAACAAAAAAACTAAAAATATTCCACCAGCATTTCAGAATGAAATGCATGATACCTGATTTGAGATGGGGGCTATTGATTACCATTTAATTTACCAGCAGTAGTGAGAATCATTACAGCTGCTCTGCTTAAAGAAAACTCGGTTGGTAACCGGGAAGTACATAATAGTTATTATTATCCACCTATCATTTTTTTTAAATAATGCACTGGATTGAAAGCAATTTAAGTTTTGAGTATTAATCTTTTAACCAAACTAGCAAATTTTATCTCATTATCGTTATTGAACAGTACATTTATTTGACAACACTCAAAGTATTCAGATTAAAAAAAAAAAAAGATTCAAATAGAGTATTAACTCGCCTCTTTTAAATAACAATCACTTATTTTCGAATGTTTTTTTTGAGGAACATAATGCAATAACTTAGTCAAACAAGTATGTAGGTTGCTCCGTAAAAATGATATGATGGAAAATACAAAGCGGTAGTAATAGTTTCGTTAATGTTTAGGAGGGCAGAACATATTATGACACTTACCACTCAACTGTAAGTCGTATGTAACATTTGAGTTGTCCATTTGCGTTGCAGGTAATACATACTATGCGTCCTGTACCACTACATCTCGAGCATCTAATAAATTAAAAAAGAATAAAAAAGTGAAATCACATGAGGTAAAAATTGAATTAAAAGGTGTTTACAATAATCGCAAATCTCATATTGTGTATTCAATCTGTTAAATTCACATGATAAAATCGCTAGTTAATTATATCAAATAAGTTATACATTATTGCTAGAGATGTATACATGAAAATGAATGAAACATTATACACAAGAGTCTAATTGCCATCTTGAAGGATTTTTATTCAGAAAAAAATCCAAGATAAGTATTGATTATTTCTCATATGTAAACCATTAAAAAAAACTTAAAGTAGCAGTCAAAGTATATAATTGTTGTTCGGACATTACACACGCCAAAGTCAATAATCGCATTCCACATCATTTTCTGTTCATGTAAGAATATCTTATGGAGATCTCGAACATAACCATCAAAATAATGATGATATTATCGATTTCAATTTTTGTTCCTGTTAAAGTCTGTTATGCCTGGTAAACACGAGGCGTCGTTTATTCTCTGCGTCAATCAAGCCAATGCACGCATGCGCCAGTCATTCAACACAATGTATATACACTGTTCATTTTGCAATCATTGTATGTTTTTGCACGATGTCACCCTCTCATGAGGCACCACACCGGTCCCTGACGCAATCTTACGTCAGGCAAATGACGTAGTTTGACGTCAGACAAATGACGCAGTCTTACGTCAGACAAATAACGCCTCGTGCGCAAAGGGCATTACGCAATACACGCATTTCGGATTTTCCCTTCAAATGACGATTAAATACTAACCTTCTCCGTCCGTCGCCACCACACCATGAGCAGTGTTCATAATCCGTATAGTGACGATCTCCATCATATCGACTCACAGCACGCCGACCACGTCCGTCACAATAATTACATCGAGTCTGATAATGAAATATGAAAAAAGATCAACAGGATTTTCAACGAAATGTATTGTTTTGAGATAATATAATCCTCTATCCTACAGTTGGTTTATGGTGATGAAAACTCCATTACATCGGTAGCATACTACAGCCACAGTAATGATGAAAAAGAACGGATAGATTCATTATGCTAAATAAAAAAATTGTACATGACAGTTTTATATGCAGTATAAAGTTTGACTTTATTGAGGTAGGTTGGTGAATTTTTTCTGCGATGAAATTAGTGGGCTAACTTACACAAGAATTAGATAATTACCTAAGAAAAGTGCAGAGTTTCAGACTTTTTATTCATCGAAGGCAAACAAATAAATGGCTGTGAATAAATGTGTTTCTCTGATTCTGTCTGGTTTCCTTATTCTTATTCTAGTTTACTTTATTCATTTGTAGATAGGAATTTTAAAAAGCAAGATTCTTGAAAATATAAGTTGCATTTTCTCAGCACACTGGTTATATAAGTGTTAAAAACTTTACTTGAACATAAAGAAAACAAAAAGATTACTTGAACATAAGGGGGGGGGAATTCTTGAACTTAGAAAAGAAAAGAAAAAGGCCTTTACTTGAACATAGAGAAAAAAGGGCCTTTACTTGAACATAGAGAAAAAAGGCCCTTTATTTGAACATAGAGAAAAAAGGCCCTTTATTTGAACATAGAGAACGAAAGAAAAAAATCATGAAAAGTGCAGCTCAAAGAAACGAGAGCTTACCGTTCCTCTGCCATAACAGTTATGACAGCGACGATATCCAGTGGCTCGGCAATCATGACAGGGCTGATCCAGAATAAACAACATAAAAAATCACTGAAATTGTAGTTCTACTTTCAGAAATAAACATGCGTATTCTGACCAAATTTCAAAATTAAACGATTTTGGTAAGACCTTAATAGTAATACTGCTTTAATCTTCAAATTAATAAAATAGAAGGGATTGACAATAATCCATTGTAATAGAACGAATGAACTTCTTAGCCCTATGCCTTTGCCCCAATTCGTATCAATCGAGGGCTTATAATGAATTTACATGATAATTGTGTTCACACACAGAATATATAATAATTTTTCATTACATTTTCTAATTTGAAAATAAATAAATATATAATTGTATTATTAAAAGACCGAGGGAGAATAATCTGCGGCAAACACAATTTAAATCGGTATAATCAAAAGGGAATTTTGATAGTCAGCTATAAGTTTATGATTTATTATACATGACGGGTATATATTGGAGTTCGATATTATTTGTATTTTACTCACTTTCACTGTAGCTGTGTGTGGCACCTCCTGATAGATTACAGTATCCTGAAACATTGGAGGGTTCTGAACAGTAATACTCCATGGTACTGGAGCTGGTCCATTGTATGGACTATCAATCGACTGACCTAAAAACGAAAGGAGAAAAAAACACATGGTCATTATTCCAATGAATACTTTTTTCTTTCAGAACTTGAAAAGAAAAGCCTTGTGTATTTCCTGCAACAACAGAAAAAAAGTTTCTGTTCATATAGTAACTATACTCGAAATTATAATTTCAGGTTATTCATGTATATATATATTCAATTTCCTATCTCTATCTCTCTTTTAGGAAAACATGACTTCTACACCCCCCCCCTTTAACGCCAACACTATCTCCCCCGTCTGTTGCAGGCCTAATGGTCCGTTTCCCTTTCTTTCTCCCCCCTCTCTCTCTCTCTCTCTCTCTTTCTCTCTTTCTCTCTATCTCTCTCTCTCGATATATATCTCGCTATCTCCTCCTGTGAGTCCTGTCTCTGTCCCATTCTGTATTTTGAATAGTTCTCTCTTGGATTGCTGGTCCCTTTCAACTTATAATCGTCTTTCCTGTTTCTCGTATCCCATCCCTTCCGTCTCTGTCTGTGTATTTGTCTTTCTGATCCAGTCCCCCCCCCCCTCTCTCTCTCTCTCTCTCTCTGTCGCTTGTTCTCATACTGCTCTGTAATTCTTTACCTCAATACTTACCAACATAGGGTTCTGAAGCCCAGTTAGTTTTCCTGCTTTCAGAGAAAGTTTCCAAAACGTACTGAAAGGAAAACAAGTTGCAATCACAAAAAGTCAATAAAAAAATAAAAAAACATTCGGACGTTTATGCCATTATGATTATAAAGGTATACAATACAGGCACTGATTGAATATTAATGATACCCTTATCATTCAAAAATATTGTTTAAATCATCTTTTTAAACATGAACTAACAACATCTTGATAATGATGATGATAATAATAATAATAATAATACTCAGTTTTTATATAGCGCTTATTACAATCACTAAGCGCTTCCAAACTTGGAGTTTATTACCCCTGCTTTAGCTGTGCATGCTGCCATTACGGCGCTCTAGCATTTCAAAGAATTAATTCCTACCAGGTACCCATTTTTTCTTTAAATAAACTATTGGAATTTTACCCATACGAAGAAATGTTGTTAACAATAGCTCCCCTTACAAGTTCACTGAAGATGCTGTTTCTTATGGCCTATGTCAAACCTTCATATTGCGATGGTTATGTCTTCAATCTCATACCTTTTATGGAGGTCTTCAATTTTGTTTTATGCAAATGTAATGAATTTTTATCTATTTTTTTACCTAATTTTTTCTCAAATAAAGCCTTTATTCAATTGCTGTCAAATAATAAAACAGTATACACAAAATATGTACAAAATGATGGATAGATAGGATAGACGAACAAAATGTACAATGAAAAACAAGATTCTCGTATTTGGACATGCCTCCATCTATCAAAAGATAAATTAAACCTATCTTGTTGCGTATAGATTGTTGTTCAACTTCAAAATGATATCTTAATTTCTTTGGTAAAGATGGAAAAGGTAAAGATACCTTCAAACATCTATTTCTAAATCAGGCTTTGCATACAAAATAAAGGAACTAAAGGAGGAACTAAAAGAGGAACTCTTTCCACCTGAGATGCTGATTTCTTTACGGAAAAACAGTCATGTGATTACTGGAACACTTAAAATAAGTAAACTATAAAATAACGTGTGTTCATAAAATTATAGACTACAAAACGCTCATCACTCCAGCTATTAAAAAAAAGCCGCATGGATAAATTCTATTCAAGTGTGAATGCAAATGAGAAATTGATTCAATCGTACTTTCTTGACCTGCATCATACTAAGCTGCTTCATTTTGAAACACGTTTCAAATTTTGTGAGATGTCATATCTTAATTTGGTTCTTTCCCCCCAAAGGAGCGAGTTTGTTATAATGTATAGGTTCATAAAACAATTATTGTTGGTCTCGAAATTACACGTCGATCAATGCTGAATTGTATAATATCGCTCAATTTAACAGCTGCAAGCATTTTATAATGCATGAATCATCCATAAATTTAATAAAAAGTGTAATTGAATAGAAAACTAACAAAAATAATATTGTCTAAAGTTTGAGGTACGGTCTGAAACAGACATTTCTAATGCCTTCCAAGTACAAACCCTTATTTAATGGTAGTTTTGAAATATAACTCAAACAAAAAGTGTTAAAAGTCAGCAGCAAATGAGACCTGAAGTAAAGAAATGCCTTCTTTTTCATGCGAACTCTTTTTGGAATTCACTCTTATGAGATTTCCTAACCACACACACACTATTTATATATACATGTATACATTTGCCACTCATCCGCCTCCCCTCCTCCTCTCCCCCTCTCCTCCTTTCCTCCTCTCCTCCGCCTCCCATCCTTCTCTTCTCCTCTTCTCTCCTCCTCCTCTCCTCCTCCTCTCCTACCCTCCCCCATAACTATCTCTGTCTTTCTCTCTATCATTTTATCTCCCTCCATATCTTTCTCTTCACTGGACTCGTTTCATTCCACAAGGAGTGATGTTGAGCCGTATTTCATCGTACTTACATGAAATGCTGCAGAGTGGTCGATATTGGAGAAATTCAGTTCCTTTGCCGCCTTTGTACCCCAGCAACAGTTCTCTGCAGCATGGGACACAAGAGCCTCTCTCGCTTCTTCATCTTTCACCATCGGCATTCTGATGATGGAGGAGAGAAGTGATTTGCATATTATTATTGACGGAAACAACGGACAAAACTTCATTGAAGAACAAAAATAACTCGTTGGCTAAAAAAATTTGTTTCCTCATCTTTCACCATCGGCATTCTGATGGAGAAGAGAAGTAATTTGCATATTATTATTGACGGAGACAACGGATAAATCTTCACTGAAGAACAAAAATAACTCGTTCGGTAAACAATATATTGCCAGCTTTTTGCTTACATAATGATATGCCAAACTAGAGGGTTATTTTGCTCAATATTTAGTAACGGGACCTGTGATCGTGATGGGGCAAAATGTCATTCTAGTCGGTCATAAAATTGCCCCAAAGATGGTTGGACATGAATTACCCTGACGTTGGGTCTTTTTTACATAACGTTTCAAGTGTTAACACGTAATGACAACACCTAGTTCTACAATTAAAAAACGAAATCTAGAAGACATTTTGAAATGCCAAATGAACGGCAATTCGTCACAATATGCCTGTTCATGGCATAATAATTTCCACAAAGAGCCCTTATTCAGACATGAGTTCGATGAATAAAAAATTCCCTTTTCCAACAGAAATGATACAGAATCCAATGATTATTTTTGCAAAAATATAATAGCCATCTGATGGAAACTGCATGTTATTCTCTTTTGGAAAGCTATTATTCTATCATCATTAAAAGGAATAGTATCTTACTGTGCAGTGAAGTCTGGGGGTGGGGGCTCCACATATTCTTCATAAACAGGAGGGGTGGGATCATACTATCCATAGCATCATATCCCGTCACAGCCTCCATACTATCGACTGGAATATCGCCCTTATCTTCATCTCCAATCTGAAATAAACAAATAGAGACACGAACAAATAAAATCAAGAAATGAATCACCTTATATTGCATTTACACCTGTACACGATTTGAACTAGTTATTGAAGCCCTAGTAAAGTGACACATACGGTTATGTATTCACTAATATTCCAATTTTTCCTAGACTACTTGCAAGGTACATACTGATTGTAATCATAATCATGATAATCAAATCCGGAAATTTAGTTTAAATTTAGATGCTTAGATTTATGTAAAATGAAGTTCAGTGCTGCTAAAGTATCACATCGATAGAATATGACATACCTATCACTATACCTCAGTAACCTTAACCCTAACCCTAACCCTTATCTGAAAATTACAAGCAACCCTACTCTCTTAATTTCTAGGACTTAAATTTTAAATCCATTTTGAGACTTAAAATATTTCAAGTCTTTAAGACTTAATAAATTGGGAATTCGACTAAAAGTTTTATCGAAACCAGCTTCTAGATATAAATCTTGGAAAGACTTAAACTTCTCGCCAATAAGATGTGCATATTTCCAGTTGCACCTGTTGATGACTGACTGTTGGCATATTTCCAGTTGAACCAGCTGACACCAATTATGGGGTGCGTGCAGATCTGTTTTTTTAACAATTTTTCTGAATTTACAGCATATTTCTTAATTACTGATGATTTAGGTATATGCAATTCATTTCGAAAATACTACAAATATAAATTACAAGTTATTAGGACATTTCGCTACTTCGTATGAATTCCATTTAATTAAACATGAATAAGGGAAACATTAACTATGAACTAAAATAATTTCAATAAAATACAAGTATATGAAAAAAAATTCGATTAATTAAATTATGTATAAGTCTACTTATTACCGATGCCTTTACATTGATAATACAGACGTACCAGTATTGAAGTGTTGTTGCCGTTCAATTGGTTGGAAGTTTTACCAAATGGTTCTAATGGCTTAGCTAGACCAGTAAATCTAAAAGACTTGAAATATAAATACAATTGACTTAAACTTTAAATCTTTCAGGGACTTAAAATTTTAAGTCTTAGCTTAGATTTATTTTTGAAATGAATCCAAGAAAGGTTTAAAATAAATATTAAAAGACTTGAAATATAAATCCAATTGACTTAAATTTTAAACCTTTTCAGGGACTTAAAATTTCAAGTCTTAGCTTAGACTTATTTTAAATCCCAAAGGGTTCGTCACTAATATCAGTCTCTGTTAGATTTAAAAGTAAGACTTTAAGATTTAAAAATAAGACTTTAAAATTTAGAGAGTAACCCTAATCCTTTAAATCTTTGACGGAAACTCAACCCGGAGAGTCGCCGGAACAAAATATGTCGGAGGACTGTATACAGGTGCATTTAATAACATAATTAAGTTTATTTTTTACTGTTGTTAAAAAAAAAAAAGATCTATATCATTGACTGATTAATTCGAAAATGAATATTCATGAGTGCAATAGTGTTTAGAACTCATTTTCCATTTTTGTAATTCACTTGGAATATTATGAAGGATATGAAAATAACCCAATGATGCATCATAATTATATAACTCATTTGTGTATAGACTTACCCCATTTTCATCCTTTTCGTCAGTACCTCCCGGGAGATCGACATTACCAGCACCTGGTGGAGGATTTGGGGGCTGAGAAGGTGCCTGTCCTTGTTGTGGCGGCGGTACGTGACCGGATTGTGGTGGAGGGGGTGCTTGCTGTGGTGGAGCTGCTGCAACAGGTGCATTTGGTTGGTAACCTTGTTGTGGCGGCGGTGGAGCTTGCCCCTGTTGCGGAGGAGGATACCCTTGTTGAGGTGGAGGTGCATTTTGTTGGTACCCTTGCTGTGGTGGAGGGTAGCCCTGTTGAGGTGGAGGGTACCCTTGTTGGGGAGGAGGTGCATTCTGTTGGTACCCTTGCTGTGGCGGAGGATACCCTTGGGCTTGGGGTGGTGGCTGTTGGTACCCTTGCTGTGGCGGAGCCGGATACCCTTGGGCTTGGGGTGGTGGCTGTTGGTACATTCTTTAATTTCTTTGTGGGCTATTCTGAAATATAAAGCAAATGGATGCAGAACAGAGATAAACTAACCAGAAACTATATGATTATCATGAAATAAATATTCGAAATCCCGTAGAACAAGATAAAAAAAATATATATACCTAGTCGTGCATAATTCTCACGCAGGCTGCAAACAAATACTAAGGACGACCATCTTAATACCTAAGCATTATGCCCAATTAAGGTCCGAAAAGGATCATGAAGTAACTTTCTTATCCACTTATTTCAAATCAATATGATCACAATCACAATTTATGACAGAATAATGAGAAAGATGTTTACATATAGGCCTGTTAATGAATGTAACAACTTGTTTGACACAACTATAAGGTCCGACTGAATCTTTCAATAGTTAGTCTTTTTGGTAGGCCTGTATACACTCAGTTCCTCATGTGACAAATGTAAAATATATATATTTCTGCAATTGAGAAAAGACAAATGGAATCAGATCTAAGTCGGTAATAATGTGATGACTGTATTGAAAATCATCAAAGTCGTAAGTGAATTCATATTCGATATTGACTTACCTGTATATAAATACCTCAGCTCAGGAACTAATCAATGCTTTCTTGAACCTGTTGTATGTTTGTATCCGTAGATAATTATATCACGTAGGCCTATACAACCGACATGCCTGAATACACCTGCACGTCAGACCAGACATCAATCTCCCTTTCATTCATCTCTATTTGTTCCGCGTATCCAAGGGTGCTGAATAGTAAATGTTTGTTTCTATTTATTGTTTGGCTCAGCTTGCAGAGGTGGGTTGTATATGCAGCTACAGTGCCTAATAATAGAATGGATATGATTGATTAGGGATGAAAGTTAGTGAAACCTCTCATTAAAAATGAAACATAATGTGGGAAAGAGAGAGAGAGAGAGAGAGAGAGAGAGACTATGATGAACAATAAAACATGGCAAATTGCAAAGCACGACAATCCAATGCTGTATCGACTTTAATCACACACACACAAGCGCGTAGCCAGGATTTCATTTTAGGGGGGGCGGTAGTGAGCACGCGAAGCGTGCGAATCACTTAAAGAGCGCGCGAAGCGCGCTCCCTAGGGGGGTGGGTGCAGGGAGGGGGGAGTTTCCCCCCTCCCGCGCGAAGCGCGGAAGCTTTGAAAGAAGACGATTCGTTGTACCTTTCTCGACTCTTAATCCTTATCTGTATTCAGTCCCTCCCCTCTCTCACGCGAAGCTTTGACGTTTCATTAAATCATTAGAGAAAGAAGACGATTCGTTGTACCTTTTCCGACTCATATTTCTTAATTTGAACTCAGTTTCCCCCTTCCCGCGCGAAGCGCGGTTTCTTTGACGATTCATTGTACCGTTCTCGACTCCTTTTCCCTTTTTCTTCCTACGTCCTCTTTCTTTTTTTTTCCTTCTCTTTCTCTCTCTTTTTTTTTTTGGCCGGCGTTTTGGGGGGGGGGGGCGACCGCCCCCACCGCCCCCCCCCCCTGGCTACGCGCCTGCACACACAAAACCCATCATAATCAATATAATGTGATAGTGGCCCAAGAGCAGCCAGTTAAAATTGATATCTGCTAATAATGCAGTATTATGTGAACGAACGTAATACTTAAACGTTACGTTAGTTTGACCAGAGACACAAATCTATTTGAAACTTGGCGGCCGCGGCTGGGTAGGGGAGAATTGTAGTGAACTCAAAATTGTCTTTATATCAAATGGTATGGTAAAGGTATAAATCAAGAAAAAATACTGGGTATATCAGTTTTGGGTATTTCATTGCTTACATGGATCACGTAGGGTAACGTCAAGCGCTGGTCTTTTGAACTTTTAAAATGTTACATAGTCTGTAATAAAACTGCCCATCATTTGACAGAAAACAAAATCAGTTCAGATCCCAATGATATGTCTAAGATGGTACGAAAGGTTGAGAGATACCATTGAATATCATTGGCAAAAGTGTATTGCTTTTAATCAGATGGTAAGATAAAGAAATACTGAGCAAAAAATGCATCCCACCAGCATGGACTAGATTGTGCTCACATCGGGTAATGTCAAATGCTGGCCATTCTTAAAAATACATCTATATAAGGTGCGGTCCCGCCCCCCCCCCCCCCATTCAGTGTTATTTAGGGTACGCATATGCTCGTTCCCTCTTTTTGAAAGCACCCCTTATCTGAGGACTGCCAACATTTCCGAACCCCCTTTCGCGGGCTTTTCCTGCCTTGGAGACCCCCCTAAATTCGGAAAAATGCTCAATGTACCCCCCTAAATTTGGAATAATTTCTCAGGAGTCCAAAGAGATGAGAGAAAAAAAGAAAAAACACCCCCCTTTTTAAAGAAATCTCCGGGTGAAAAGTTAATACACCCCTTTTTTTTAACAATTCTCGGGCCGGACTTTGTCGCACGAAAAGTACCCTTTTACCGGACATTTTGGCAACACGCATGCGGTCATTCCGACCCTGGAAATAATGTCCGTATTATATTAAAGCTTTCCTATCTTCCAACTTTCACATTGAACTAATGTCCTATCTTAGACCTGTCAGAAACACTGTTTTTAACCTAATTTATTTTCCCCACCCCTTTGCATGACTGTCAAAGTAAGTAAATGATGTATCAAATAAGGATATATTTACAGCGAAAAAATGAAGGATATAATTAGGCCTGGGGGAAATGATGATAATGATGAAAACAAACTATTATTTCTACAATGCACATAATTATTACATATTAATATGTTGTCCCAATGAGTGTAAAGTGTTTTAGGAAATTCAGTTACCGAGAATGGAGAGAGACAATTTTACACACCAGGCAGAAATAAGAACACTCATGCTTTGATAATGAGATCGAAAGTGAATGAAGCGCTATACCACGATTTTCCCCATATTATATATGCATTTTTTTTTTTTATTCAATGGTCGATCACCCCTTTCCCGAAAACCATTCAAGTGACATTTTGTATACCCAGAAGTTGTGTGTCAGCGGCCGGACGGGTTCTGTGTCCGGACAGTTGATTTAAAACGGTAATTACTTTACACGCAAAATTTCATAAATATTTAAAGAAATATGGCAGGCAATAAAGGATAAACATATTTTGATGCATCATGCTGTATGTCGTTAAATCCAAGGGCAAAAGAGGTGCATTCATTTTTGTTAAGCGTCCTGACACATTACCTCCCATCAAATGTGCTTCTTTCCACTGGCATACTGATAGGGGGGCGGCATTTGACCCCCCCCCCTAAATGAAATTCAAACGTGGTTGATTTCTAATTCGATACCAGTGATTTACAGATGTTGCTGAAATTGCATGATTTTTACCTGAGCTTCCGGGACCCCCTGCACCCATGGACCCCACCAAGGGCCCTAACGCGACCCGGCTGACTGCTAATCTGACCGTAATTAAATGCCTAAAACCCCTGAGCTTCATGGGACTCCGCCCCTGGCTTTGCCCCTGGACACCAGGCCAATTTACGCCCCACTTGCTTCGCTCTACTTGATCGTAAATACTTTAGCCCCCCTCCCCCGGCCCCCACAACTTTGAAAGCGTTCCGCGGGGCCTGCATAATACTAGAGTAAGAGTGGTAGTGATACAGATTTTTATTATGCCCCCCCCCCCCCAAAAAAAAAAAATTACATTTTTTGCTCATTACGCCACTGCTTCTCCTTCACTTCGTGCGCCCGCGCTTTACACCCCCCCCCCCTCCCCCTCTTCTTTTGTTTCCTTCTTTTTTTTCGTTTTTCTTTCTGCTTCCTCTTCTTCTTTTTCTTTTTCTTCTTTTCTTCTTTTCTTCTTCTTTCCCAATGAGCGACCGCAATAAACAGGCTGACCATTTGATTTAGGTACAATCGTGCCCCAATGGATACGCCACTGCATTGATGTACAGGTCTGACCTTGGGTGACCTTTCTCCATGCATATGTAAACATACTGTGAACTCCATCAAGATTCATGCCACGGGTTCCGGGATCGTACACCGAACGCTGTCGCATGCCGTGCCGGGCGCTGCCCGCTGGGCTGGGCGGCTTGTCGTGTATTCCTCTAGTTGCAGCTCCGCGAAGCAGTCACAAGCAGTCATATAGTCCATGAGAAAATGCTGTTATGGCTGGCTTTCCAGGAAACGAGAAATGGCTGAAAGATATTGCTGCCTTGAGGAGAAATCCCAGCACATTTTTTGCTCATAATGACACCAAGGAAGATGACTTCTTATTAGATATTCTGCAGGTCAGTGCAAAAATATTATCTAGACATTTTGCCATGTTTAACTGAACCGCCCGCCTCTTCTTATTGTCATGACTCAAATCTCTAACTTCTAATCTTAGTAAAAAGATTTAATTTGTGGTATATATATAATACTTTAAAGACATTTTCCCTCAATAAATGTTGATAATGAGTTAATTTGTGGTACATATATAATACTTTAAAGACATTTCCCCTCATTAAATGTTGATAATGATCGATATTTCTAGACTCTAATATCTATTACTCTTCCTATTTTTCAGGGATATTTTTTTTCATTTTCTTTCTTCTAATTTATAACCCTCATGATAACTGTCTCATGTCAAACCTGTCTAGAAATGCCACCTGCACATAAACATGACAAAGGGCATATTTCTATTTCCCTTGGATTGTCTTAAGAGATGATTTGACTGTAGGCCTAGTTACCTTTAATTATTTGTGGACTTTGTTTGGCTAATGCCAATGGAACACATGCATGGGACTTACACTTACAGTTGACTTTTGTTACATCTAAAGTTAACATTTTGTATATAGTCAAGCGTGTCTTAGTGGCCACCTCTCAATGAAGGCTAAACCTAGCTGTCTACATGTAGGCCTATATTGGCCATGTATGTTGTCTCCCTCAAGAAAGACCTTTGTGTTGTAGAACCAGTCTATGGAACAAGCTAGTCTACAATGATGGCCACTTTTTCTGTGTCCCTTGTATAGCAAGTTCAATATTAGCAAGGGCCGGTTTGAATATAGATCTAGCTAGTATGAGTATGATGGGGTTTGTGTGTCCAGATCGACACTCAAAAATTAAAAGCTACTGATTTTGCTTTTGGATTTAACCTAAAATCCATCAAATAGCACTATAAATATTTATCTTTATAAAATATTGTCCAACAACTATTAAAAGATATCTGAAATATTGCATGTAAACTTCTTCAATATTGACTTTTCTCACACAAACAGTTTACTTGTATGCTGTACTCTATAAACAAAGATAGGTTTTCATCCATAGTGATAAAGAGGGTTTTTTTTCTTCTCTTTCATGTGTTTAATAATTAAAGGCTTACTTAGTTAGAGCATTAATATATCTCTTTACTTTTGCAGGCTCTCTTTTCTGAAGACCTGAGTATGCATGTGAAGGTCATGTTGCTTGGCATCCTTCAAGAGCAAACATCTGTCCTTCTTTCCTACGCCGACAGGTAATTGGATATTCATTCTTCATTCAAGCCTCAGTATTGATAAATTCTGTTGGATTTCAAAACTTGATTTGTTTTGTTTAAAGGTCTATTAAATTGGATTGTAGCATGTAGTAAACAATCATTCCTGTATGGCATTGATGTGGTATGGATGAGATATCTCAGCTTACAAAGTGACTTTTTTTTTTAGGGCAATGTATTATTCTTAGGTACATGAAGCATTCATTATTGCAGTTTGTAAGTTATTGAAACTGATTTGAATCCGAGTTTGGAAACTGAAAGTAACAGAGAATTTCTATTTATTTTTTATTTTTTTTAAATTTATTTATTTATTTATTTATTATTTTTTTGGGGGGTTGGGGTTGAAAATTCAGTTTCAGCATTTTGTTTAAAGAGGGCTAATGTGTTATTTCTTTTGGTTCCTTAGTGTGGAGCAAGTGGTAGGATCACTGACCAACGTCTATCAACAGCTTCATCTTGACACTGCAGCATTCTTCAAGGGTCAACTACTGGTTGCTATAACAACAATCATGCTAGATTGCAATCAACTGGTGAGTTAGAATAGATGTCCAACATAAGTGAGTACACTCACAAGAATTGAACATTTTGATGTAACTTTGTACAAAGTTATATTGAAACACAAGCCTATAAGCAATGATATCTTCAGCATTTGGTGATACATTTATAGACCTGTACAACATTTATTCCATGAAAACAGAGCACACTTAGGAGTTACAATCAAATATTTCATTTTTTTTTTTGTATGAAGATATAAACTGCATCGAAGAAGAAAAAAAAGGAGAAATTAATTTGATGTGTTATTTAGTTCATATATGGTCTTTATAGCTTTATATTTAAAAGAGTATGCACAAAAAAATAAGCAGATACAATGTAAACATAACTCAGTGAAATTGCATTACCCGTAAATCTCTGTGTATAAGGCACACCTGTGTATAAGGCGCACCCCTATTTTGGAGGCAAAAAAAAAATTTAAAAATTCTGTACCTGTGTATAAGACGCATCCCCGACTTTTAATTTTTTTCGGCGGCAAAAAAGTGCGCCTTATACACAGAGATTTACGGTAAGTCTATGGTGGTAAAGGTTTAGAACAAAGAAAATATACATATTTATAATTCCATACACGTCGCTTTGGTATGATGTAGGCTGAGTAATAATGTCTTGATCAATCTTTCATCTTTTACTAGGAGGAACATCCAAGGAATTTCCTCCAATTTGTTGATATTCTCCTGGATGTTGTGTCTAAGGTTAATGGTAGCAAGGATCGGGTTCTGCGTGGCAATGCCTGCGAGTGTCTCAAGGAGATTGAAACAATTCATCCAGTAAGTACAAAGGAGTACGTAGATTATTCTCCATTCAATGAAACTCTGGATGGGGTGCCAAGTGAATATTTGACCTATGGTATGGATTTTTAGAAGAGTATTCATCATTATTGTGTGTATGTTTAATGCCTGTATCCTGAGTATTTAGTCTTTCTGATGGTTAGGTATGTTTTAGAATGTTTTGATAAAAATATGGCTGAAAGACAAGGGAAAAGGGTGTGATGTATCAAATTACCTTTTGTTTAAAAATAGGCAAAAGTGGGAAAGTCCTGTAGGCCTATATGGTTGTGTTTGTCCTAGATGATGTTCTCCATTCTAACGCTGGAATTTGCTTTCTCTATCCTCAGTTTGATGTCACTGGAAATTATTCCTTGGTATAAAGAGTACTTTATAGTTTATACTTACGGTAACTCCTTTGACTACTAAATTTCTATTAGGTTTTAATACAAGGACCACAGCGTTCCCACAGGTGATTGGTTAACATAACCCATTGACTACGGAATCCTCTCATTCTCATAGGCTTTATACAGGGACCACTAGGTTTCAGGAAGCAATGAGTTAATACCAGAATATTTTTTTAATTTGTTGGTGCTGATATTTCAATTGCTGATATTGATCCAATATTGATCCAATATGGAGGACAACTTTGTGTCAAATAACAATCAGAATAATATCCACTTTTATATATTGTGCATGTATCTTTCCCAGGGGAAGCTGAAGGCACCTACAAAGTAGTATTATATTACCCTGGCTATTGCCCAGGTGCCCTAAGGTGCTTTAAAAATTCATTGAATACATTCCTACCAGGTACACGTTTACTATATATGACTGAGTGGAGAGTGGCAAATGTAGATTAGTGTCTTGCAAAAAAGATATAGGGACTCATCTGTGAACCATGTAATCTACAGTCCAGTGATGTATCCACTATGTCATGACACCTCAAATGTCTTATTACCAGCCTGCAAATTGAGGAGAATAATATGTTTCTCATTTTCTTCTTTCACCTTTTTTTGACAGGGTCTACTCTCCAGGAAAGTGGATCATTTCTATGCTATGTGCCAGCTTGAGAATTCGTGCATCTGTCAAAGCTACATGGTAAGAATTTTTAGATTCCGTTTGAATTAAACGCCTAAACATTGTGAGACATCTTCTTTGAATATAACAGAGGGAATTAGTTCAAAATGTGGTATAGGAGATGAAAAGAAACAAAATTAACAATTGTGAAATAGAACAACAATATCAAGAAAATGATGGTGGTTTCATTCTCATGAAATATTTGTTTATGCATAGCTGTTGACTCAAATTATGGCCTGTTATTAGAGGGTTAAAAAGAGCTCTGCATTTATATGGATGACTTCATAAATGGGTTTAAAATATAGATGATAACAAATACTGCAAAAGAAACAGAATAACATACTTTATTGTGTATTTGGAGCCAGAAGGGCATTAACTCCTTTACTTTAAAACTGAGATAATGCCCTTCTGGCTGTAAACAGATGATATGTAGTCTTCAATGTTATTCTTTTAAACTTACTAACTAAATGAGCTTTATTTCATTAACTAAATAGCAACTGAACAATCTTTTATTTCCTAAAATCCTTTCATTTTCCTTGCAGACACTGTTTGGAATGGTACTAAAGAATGGCCTTGAACAGCTTCTGGAAGATCCTAACAGGTAAAACAGCAACTATGCTAATAACAATAATAATAGGCATTTCTATAGGGCCGTCTATCTAGATAATTCTATTCCGAGGCGCAATTATTATTACCCGGGCTTTGGCCTAGCTGCCGTTTATACAGCGCTCCAGCATTTCAAGGAATTAATTCCTGCCAGGTACCCATTTACATCACCTGGGCTGAGTGTGGCAAATGTAGATCAATGTCGGGACTCGAACTGCGGACCTTGCGATCGACAGTCCGGCGACGTATCCACTCGACCACGACACCTCTAACTTTTCTTTTGATTTTAAAGTTTGGAACATTTTTTAACGTTTTAAGTGCTCTGATTACATCATTCAGTAAATGGTCAAATATAAGGTATCAGAACTCCCTTTTTCGTGACTAATACCCCTGAATAATTACACCTACATGTAGGCAAATAGCCAATAAAGATATTCCTCCCTAAGACAATTACACCTCATATAACAGCTCCCCAGACAACTATTCCCTTTAAAAAATTACTCCAATTATCCTGATACTACTACCCAGGGGGTAATTTGGTAAGAGGGCAGTAGTTAAACGGGTACTTGTCTGAGTGCGTAAATGCATTGAGGCCCTAAGGGATAGTTGTTGTTGTTATTGTTGTTTTTTGGGGGAAGGGGTTGGGGGGGAGGGGAACAATTGTTCAGAAGGAATATATATACATAATACTTTCAATTTAACACTTTATATATAAATACAAATACAGACAACAAATGAAAAAATTTGAGAGAAGTAGATAGATCAATAGATAGGTAGATAGATGAAGAGAGAGACAGGGAGGGGGAGAGAGAGAGAGAGACAGAGAGACAGAGAGAGAGAGAGGAGAGAAAGAGAGATGGAGAGAGAGAGAGAGAGAATTATCATGTAAAGAGAATGTTTACTGCACTAATTAAGAACACATGCTGCAGCCCCATTGGCTAGTCACCTGCATTTACAAGAGGAAACAGAACATATTTGTCTATTTATATACTCCTGCTTTCTGTGTGATACAGTGAATATAACTAAAGTGTGATTGAGAAATGTACCCTCTTTTCTTTCTCCAGCTTGAATGCCAATGATCTGAGTGATTTACTAAGTAGAAGGAAAGAGCCCTTGAAGGTAGGATAACAAGAGATACAAACAAACAAGTTTACAAAAGCATTTTATCTTGGGTTTTCCTCTGGTAAAATATCATATACGTCTATATACAAATTCATGTATATATGTGTCTATTTGATAAATTTTGGGACCACTTTTGACATACCCAGATAACCTGTGAAATGATTTACAATCTTAAATATATTATTATGAATTTGAAGATTAGTAAAGATTGTATTTGTAGAGGAACACCAGTTGGTGTGGATGGAGTTTCTTGTGGACATATATGAAGAAATACTTTATTGAATCATTTGTTATTTAAGTAGTTTGACAGTGATATTGCATAGTATGATAAATGAATATGAAAACTGCTCGCCAGTCATTACCTTTTGTTAATGCCTACTTACTGGTAATTTTATGAATGAAATTACAGTTATAGATTATACAGGTAAATATGTTCAAGCTAGTTAATGTGTTATATACGTTAAACATAGTAATATATTTATGTTGTAAGTTTCTACATAAGCTCTCTTTAATGATGTTTATATTATTATCCTCTTTCATCACTAGCCATTGAACTTGCCTGACCACTTCAACATCAAGATGTTTCAACTCAAGGAGGTAAATGCTTTTTATCATCTTGCTCTCAATTTCAAAAGATAACAAAACTGTTTTGATGAAATGCAAATAAGATTGCCAACATGTTGAGGAACAAGTTCATTGATATTCTCAAAACCAAATAGTACAGAAAGTCAGATTTTTTTTTTTTAAAACTGTAAACAATCTGTGAACTGTTGTTAGCTAGTAAAAAACAACATCTGAAACTTAAGACTAAAAGTGATCTTATTTTACTTAGGTATGGTATTGTGACTATGGATAGCATAATACTGTTGTTGCGTTTGTTGTAAAGAACACATTCATACTGTCACTGTAATAATAACATTTCAATTAAAATTGAATGTTCAGCCTGTTCTTTTTTTTTAACCATGAAGAAAATCACAACACCACCTGGGCAGCTCCCGATGCACCTGGACACTCGTGAACTGAAGAGGGCGCTCACCTATCTTGTTGATCACCTTCCCATCATGACTCAATCATCCGTGATGCAGGCGTCTCTTCTTGTGGGCCAGTGTCTCACTCACAGTCCAAGTATCAATCCATTGGTTAGTGTCTTTGTATGTGATTGCCAATTTCATATAACAAGATGGATAGAAATATGTTGTCTTTGTCTGTCTTTTGGATAATTGGGTTAAAAGAGTGTCATGGGGGAGATGAATAACCCTTAGAAATATGTTGCCCGTAATAAAAAGTGTTTGAATATGTTTGTAGCATCATATTAAGATATTGTATTTTTATACTGTTATGAGATATACTAGATATAGTATTGATAAGGTCTCTGAATTCTTGTGTTTATGAAAATGACATGAATTTCTTTCCTTCATCTGAAAAGCGTGATGTGCATGAAGTATCTGAGTTTGAACTATAAAGTTTTATCAAGGACCATTCAGAATAATTGTGTTTTAACTCTGAATTGTGACGAAACCATAGATATGCCATCTTGCTACTGCCTCACTCCTTTGTAGTAAGGAGTTGTGTATTAAGTGAGCTATATTGTAGAAATTAGTAGAATTGAACATGTGTCATATTTATTGTATTCACGTTTCTTTATTCATATGTGACTCAAAATCATCTATTTATTCTCCAGATTTTCAAGGGTCATGTTTCCAACTGGGCATCATCAGCTGATATGGTTCTCTTTCATCTTGTTCTCCTACTCAAGGTATAGTTATCATACAGTCAAAAGCAGTGCGTAGTATTAGGGCAGTCAATTATAATATTTTTTCTTTCTACGCCTTTGAAACCATTCAAAGGTATTGTAGGGAAGACAGAGAATTTGTCAGCTAATGACAGTGCATGAATTGGCAAGAAGTAAATCAAAGATTGCTATTCTTCTCTTACTTTACTTACCAGTAAGCAGGCCTGATAAAAACTCGATTTAAATCGGTTTCCCAATTATTTTTTTTCCCCCGATTTTTTTTTTCTTCTTCCCGATTAAAAAAAAAAAAAAAAAAAAAAAAATTGAGATTTGTTTTCCTTCCCTATTTTATCCTGATTTTCCTGATTCCCCCCTTATTGTCTCTATTCTTCCCTATTTTGCCCTATTTTTCCCCCAATTTTCTTACTTGAAAGAGGGGAATGTTGTTAGATGCCATTTTTTCCCCGCGAATCCTCTTCTTTTTTTTTACTCAAGGGGGTCGTGGTTGAGGGGAAAACCAAAAACCTATTTTTTTTTTTAGTGCTCACTATCACCCTTGAGTAAGACACATCAGAAACATCAATAACCTAAGAAATCAATAGAGATCATTATACAGTGTGTCATGATGCAATGTATGTCACCAGTTAAACACATGCTGGTTGATCTTTGCTCCATCAAAAATGAAATGTATTTTTGTCTCCTAGAGTGAAATGTCACTGTTATATAACAATTTTCAGTATGCTTTTTACTTGTGACTCATGCCTGCCATCTCCTGTTTTCACTATATAGGCTCAATTTCCTACCGAGTTATTGAATGGAGATGAGGAGTGTGTGGTACTGAGCAAGCTGTTGACATGTGCCAACCATCCTGCTCTTACCCCTGGTCATCGTCTCCTTGCATTCCAGTGGTTACAGCACTTCCCTGAAAGAGAGGTATACAAACCTGGGAGAAGGTTTGGGGAGGGGAAGATTGTATGTTTGTCAAGCTAGAATTCTTGTGATTTAGATGTTTTTTAGGTTTTTATATCATTTCAGGTACCGGTACTTTTTCTTCTTTTAGATAGATAGCATATGGGAAGCGCTTTTTATTATGATAAGTGTCAGTAGTAGTTTATGCTTATTGAAAGAAGCGTATTTGAAATTGTCACTTGCATGAGATTTTGAAATATGTTTTTGAAGTTGGAATCTTGTCCAAACTTGTTTAGCAATGCAGCAAAACTATTCAGCAATACTAGAACAACAATATTTCATAGTTCTTCAATCTACAGTCGTTTTGTTTTGTTATTGTTTAAGTGTATTTCTTTATTTTTACCTTGGTGATATCAATAATTTCAATGCTCACACTATTGTCGCTCCTTTCAGTTCAATTTAATTTGTTACCATCATATCTCCTGTGGGCCTCACTCTCTAATATTTGTTTATCTTACCCTTTTTCAGCCAATCTTTCCTCATTGGAAGCCTCACCTCCCTGGATGTCTCTTCACTGAACACTACACAAACTTCTTTCCTACAATGTTTGATGGTCTAGATACATCTCTGGTGAAACTCAATCTACTCAGCCAGTGCTATGTACCATCAACCATACATGGTAAGCCATTTCAGCTTCCTGAATAGATAGTACATTACAATGTATGTTACCACCCTGAATATATGTAACATTATACATCAGCTGTTTAGAGCCAGGAGAGCATTGAGTCATATATATTTTAACACAGAGTTAATGCCCATCTGGCTCTGAACAGATGACTGATGTATGTTAAATCATAGCCTTGGTGTATTGTTCTTATCTGCAAATAAATGTACATGTCTATTTATAAATTTATCTTGATATATTTATACACACAGAAGGCTCCCCCGGTTGAAATCTTACCTCACTGCCTTCAACAAAAAATTGTTATGCTCCATCTTTATTGATAATTGATAATAATAGCAACATGTATAAAATGCATGTATACACCCCTTAATACATTGTATTTCAATAAAATGTTTAAATGGAAGACAATACAGGATACCATAAATATGTACCCTCTACTGTAATATATATCTAAAATAAGCTCATATGAATCTTGAGAAATAGAATAAATATCACAACCTTTTATTTCATAATCACTTGAAATATTATTTAAGTTTGATGATATTTTTACCCATATGTCCCATATAAATGTTTGTATTTCTAAATGTTATCATTAGATACCTCATCTGCTACTCTGATGGGTTGCATTGATCTTCTGGGGAAGTCCCTGGAGTATGGCATTGTGGGTAGACCGGCCACTTCCTGGTACCGCCTACTCTTCAGCATGCTACAGAGGCATTATGGGACCGTCTTGAGGGAAGAAATCATGAAGTAAGTGAAGCCCCCCTACTGCACCATGTGCATGGATAATCAGTTATTTGCAACCAGGCTTGCTTAGAAATCAAGAGAACATCACTTTAAAAGATTGAGATTACTGGCAACTATCAAATAGACAAGATCAAGCCTGTTTTGATTTAATTTTATTTGAATAGATGATTGATTTTAACTGAAGTGATGATTAATTTCACATGAGCTGAACAAATAAAGAAAGCACCCCCCCCCCAAAAAAAAAAGGGGGCTCATAATCATTCATATGAAATAAATGTTTCTGAAGATTCTGCAAACCAAGATCAATAATTTTAATCCATCTTAATTACAATTATATCTCATATCTGGCAGTTATTTTTAAAATGTGTTCTGTCTAAATTTCTTGAGCACCCTTTTGGGTGATGAAGTTATATATTTATTTTGTCTCCTACAGTGCAGTGGTTAAGGTGACTGTGAAGAACCCCAAGTATACACCACACACAGTGAACTTCATTGAGAGTATGCAGAAAGTCACATCTGATAAGTAAGCTTATATTGTTATTGATTTGGTGAAAGTGTTGGAGTTTGAACTCACAGAAAGACAAAGACATCCAGGAAATTGAAAGACAGAGAGATAGACAAACAGTTAGACAGTCAAAGAAGAAAAATTAATGAAGGAAAACATGGAGAAATAAATGATTGTGGGGGTTGGGGTGGGGGCAAAGAGAGATAAGGAGAGAGTGCTGATATTGGGGAGAGCCTGGAAGAGATTCATACAGAGAGATTTTAGAATGAATGAAATGCTTTTATATACATTTCAGGCAAAATTGTGTAAAATGCCATTAAAATATGTGAAATAGCGTTTACATGATGATTCCAACTACATTGTATTCCTCATATGTTGTTGCACTCCCAGGAGTTTCACGGTGCTTCTGCTAGAGACACTCCTCCAGCATGTTGTGACGTCAGATATTCACAACAAAGAGGCTGATTTAGAAGACTATCTTCTCATCCTACAGAGGGCAGCACAAGAAACAGAGATATCACCAAAGGTATGCAGGCCCGCTCTTGTGACCACCTGCATAGAAAGACCACATTTGTTGTTTCTCTTGAATATGATTTCTCATTAAAACCTATACTGAAGGAACCTGTACATGAAGACCACCTCCCTATAAAGACTACTTTTCATGTTTCCCTTTAGTGGTCTTTATATACAGGTTTAAGCAGTCTTTATATACAGGTTTCACTGTATCAGATATATTGTTTATTGTCTATTTATTCTTGACATCATTGCAACTTGCTTTATTGTACATCCAAGTGATATTGCCATGCAGAACCTAAGCATCTATATTTCACATAACAATTCCTTGTATTCGTATAACTACAGTGAAACCTGAAACCTGTTTATAAAGGCAGCATATTTTGTTTTCCCAGAATTATGTCTTTTGATTTAATTTGATTTGATTTTATTTCTGCATTTTTTCCAAATATAATATAGCTGAATAACAATGAACATATAAATGTAAGTTATAATACAACATAAACAAACAACAATTTCTTCATGTCAAAATGTTTTTTTTTCAAAATATATGTACCGGTACATATAATAACGAAACTTATTATTTCCATAACATATTATCATAAATTTAAAGTATTATCCAAACTATTCTGTTGGAAAAGTGCAGGAGACACCTGTACATAAAAATTAGCTTATGATTCCTAACTTCTTGTCTCCTTTGAGCATTCTTTATATTCATGAACTCATATCTGTAATTTATTGATATGGCATCAAAAACTGTTTGACTAGCAATGACGGTCGCATCCTACCGGGTACCCATTTAACACCTGGGTGGAAAGTAGCAAGTGCAGGTTAATATCTTACATTCGGCAGGATCTTTTCGACAGGACCATGAAGCATCCGAACACTAAATTGACATTGTTCAATAATGGAAAGATCTTCTCCTTCACCAAGAAGGGTCAAAAGGTACTGATTAGGAACTCCTCTGACATTGACCGTCTCGATTAGTTTTTCATTTCCTCCTTATCGATCCTTTTTTGTTGTTTTTGTCTAGCCTATCTTGGACTACCTACAGATGTTACTGCTTAGAACCTCATTGATGCAGGATGGATCCTGGTTTCTAGGCAACAAGATTCTCTCTGTATGTCATCAGTTACTCCAAGTCCACAGCAAGGCGGGCATTTACTCTGGTAAAGACAATCAAAATCTTAAATCTTTGAGAATAATGCTATTCAGGCTGTGGGACGATAATGCTTTTTATTCGTATATAATCGAGACATTGTCATTTTTTCAAACTTTCTTAATCCTATTGCCTTGAAACTGTTTACCAGTATTGAAAAGAGAAATTTAATTCTGGTATCGATATTGCTGTTAAGCGCAGTAGAGTATATTCATATATTAGCTGCTCTATATAAATTGACCTATTATTATTAATATAATTGTTTATCAAATTTAAATAAATGCCATCTGCTAGATGGATACTCTATGGATGTAGACTTATACAGAAGTATCTTATGCATTCATGTACAAATGTACATGTAGTATCAAACCAATAAGAATGGTGAAAATAAACCCAGATTTTCTCAATCCAAAGGTATACACAAATCTCCTGCATTAGGAAATCTTTTATGTTGTGTAATTGCAGAAGTATATCTGTATTTTTTTCTTTAGATATGGGTGATACGCTGTACACTCTCTTCACTGGGCATCAGGATATAGAGATCAGGGATAGGGCTTGCCTCTACTATGCCCTACTCACCAATCTCTCAAGTGAAAAGGTAAACTTGGCTTTGAATGACCGTTTTCATTGATTCTCTTGCAGCCCTTTATTGTAGTGTCTTTACAGTAATCTAATTGAAAATAATGCCCCCCCCCCCCCTGTATTGTGAACAAACAAACAACAATTCAGGCAAACGTAGGTCAAATGTGAACATATTAAAGATAGATTGGTATTAAAGGTCTTGCAGTAAAGTGGTTAAAGATGAAATATCATCAGATGTATTTATTATGAATATCTTGTTATTGGCTGTATTTACAGAAGCACTACACACATTTGCATTTTATAAGCTCTATTTTAACCTGGTATTTAATACATAATCAGTGTAATTTTCATGTGTTTATTGTGAGTTTTCCATATTTTTAAATTGTTAAAGACGAGAGAAATCTTAGTTGTATGTATGAGTAGATAGAATCTTAACATTTGAGGTAAAATACTACAAGTTATGTCACCAGCCATTGTGAATTCATTTATTTGTAATGTGCTCCCTTGTCATAACAGATCAGCCAGATTTTGTCATCAGTTGGTTCTGCTGAGGATTCTCAGAATCTGACGAGGCTTGTGACAGGAAGTGCTAGTGTAAAGCAAGCAGGAGCAGTGGAAACATTAGAGCACTCAGTCCTCAAATTGACACGGTAAGAAGTATGTCCCTTCCTCTTCCCCCTCCTCAAAGATTTTGGGTCAGGCGTCTGTCAAATGGACTCAGTAAGAACTACCCCCTCCTTCCCTTACCCATAACTAAAGAAGAAAACTGTAAGTAAATGGTGATTGTTATCGTATAACAGTACCGTACCGGTATATGCAATTTTTCGATTTGATGAGGAATTTCTAGATTTATTTTTTTCATGAGGAATGGCAGAAAAGTAAAAAGTCAAGATGTGACTACCGTAAATCTCTGTGTACAAGACACACCTTTTTTTCCGCCGGGGTGCGTGTTATACATAGGTACAGGATATTTTGAGTCCTCAAAATGCTAATTTGTCTGGGCTTAATTCTGCAGTTGTTCCTTTGTTTGTCATCTTTAGTTTTAAAAACAACATTGTTAATATTATTTGTGACAAGTTCACAAGGAAAAATCGGCACCATTAACTTGACCTCGTATCAAAATGAAAGTTGCTTGGTTTTTTTAACGAACTACATTGTCAGCTAAAAAGCAAAAAAAAAAAAAATAGGGTGTGTCTTATACACATGTGTTTTTTATACACAGAGATTTACGGTAATCAAAGATTTTGTAGATAGAAGTACCAGTAATTCCTTTTGACCCCAGCACTACATGAAGCTGGTGTGAATCAGTCAATGAAGATGTAATTTTCACACAAACACGTATCTCTTATAGTTATTGCGATGCTCAGGATCATTACAAATTTGTTGTCTTTCCATTGTTTTCTTCCTCAGAATCAGAAAGCAAACATCATCACATCGCATCAGTAGAGACGGTTCTTCCTCTGTGGCCAAATACTATGAAGCTCTGCAATCACTTGCATCAGAGAGTACCATTTACATTGAGTACTACCTTCACTTTGATGTAAGATCATTTCTTCTTTATTCATTACAGTAAGATGTATAATGCATATAATATTTTTGATCAATGAAATCCTGTTCAGTGATTCGTTAACATGGCATCACGTGACCAAACATAACATTGCTATAATGTAACCGTGACGTCATCCATGGTGTAGTGCACTATACCATAGCACTATACTATGGATGACGTCATATATATACGATCGATCAAGATCAATGTGCTATCGGTCGCGCATCTGCGCTGCTCTCACTGCACTCTTCACTACTTCAGTGACAGTAAACATTATTTTTTGAAGGTTGATTTGAAAAATATAAAACAAATATATCATGCACTATTTCAAGCCACTAGTGACATTATCGATTCCTCGGCGACAGAAATACCACTATTTTCTTTGGGACTACGCCCCTCAGAAAATAGTGCTGTTCCTGCCACCTCGATCCATAATTTCAACTAGAGCCTCTTAGTGCATGGTATATTTGCTTAATATGGGACTGATGCATTTCCATTTAAAAAATTGTATTTCTCCTGAGTTTCAATCCATCTATCATAACTAGCATCAAATGAACACTGCAATCAAAATATAGGAATGATTGCAATCACCAGCAGGGATTGAATTTGTACACTTGAATATGCTTCTAAACAAGCTGATATTGAAAATAACAGATTTACTTCGATAGACTCTCATTCAAAGATTTGTAGGTAGTTAAGTTGAAATTTGTTATAATAAAATACAATTTGTTTCTTCTCCTGTTTAGGAATCTTTCTTGGAGAATATTCCCGATGCCATGAGACACTTGTATGCAGTCATTCTTCATATTGATACACCCTCTGCATATCATTCAATAGAAGGTATTAAAACTGAGATTTCTAAGTTTTAATCAGAGAAATGATTTGCAACACTTGGGGCTTGGCTCTAGATTTTAATGAATTTAGCTTTGCATGAACAGTAACAATGTATTGTAATTACTTTGTACTATCAATGTCTTTTACTTGCTGATTAGCTTCCTCACTGTTTTAAGAATAAATGTTAAAGAAATGTTTTGTACCATATAATACCACAGTGCATTTTTTAAATTCAGGAACAGTTTGGATAAAGCATGTTATAACTGATATACTGTAATTATTTTGTCTGTATTTATATATTGATATTTGTATGTACATGTATAGCACCTTTTAAATGTCCAAAGGCAAATTTTATGTATTTTTTACATGACAATAAATTATCTTTAATCTTGAATCTTGAATTGAATTCATTACTACTCTTCAAATTATAATTCAGAATTATTGTCTTTTATTCATATTCATGCCGTATTCCTCCAGATATTACAGTTGCATCACTCTCAGTAGAGAACTCCTCTGAACCCACAGATGGCTGCCAGATGGTCACAATAGCTCTAAATCCCAAAGAACCTCTGCCAACATCTTTACCTTTAAGGTAAGCATCTATCAATGGTTTCTACAGGAAACTCCACATTGTTCTGTGACAGGTCAAGAAGGATGACCATTATGATGTATAATGTCTCTTATTGCATTGCAATATTATGGTCACACTGCACATGACCTCTTTGATCATGCTAATGTTCCTAGCTAATCTTGAGTGCATTATGCCTAAATGAAGATGCCTAAATTGAATGATGGTAATTTAGAAATCATAATGGCATGGGTTTGAATAATAGTTGACTCAATATCCATTTGATTAAATATTCTTCGTGTACAACAATGAAATGGGCCATTTTCATAATCTAATTAGAATTCGATGCACACGTCTCTTTCAAGTTCCTTGTTACAAATGATTTCATTTACCTGCTGCAATTACACAGTTAGAATGCAAAGTGCATGCATACATTACGTTGTGTTAGGTAGGGCAATCCATACTGTTTGTCTGACCTAACAATAACTAATGAATGCAGTTTGCATATCGATTATTGATAATAATATGCAACAGGTGAATGTAATTGCTTCTCACCTGATGAACATGTATGAATTTGACTTCATTTTTAATGTTTTATTCTCATTGACTGCCCTGTTATCTTGTAGTGCAATGTTCAGTAGCAGTGATGGTCGAACCTGTGTGTGCCAGCTGGAACCGGTTGAGGTGACCTTTGATGACCTCTTTATCCCCATTCCCATCATGCCATCTTTACATCCTGTTTTATTCAATGAGTTATGGGACAGCATCAAGAGGGATGAACAGACAAGGTTAGATTATTTTCATGTTGATGTGATGATTTATTAACTCTTTATTGCCACTCTTTATAAAGCTTTTGGAAGACAGAGTGAATTAGTTGACTTTTGTCATATTTACGTTGTCAATGAATATATACATGAAACAAACTTGAAGTTGATGGATTTACTTACTGATAAACAAACAGTTGATTAATAAAATCATATACTAAGGCATTTATGTGCTTTGTACATATTGATAATCAGAGATAATCTGAATGCCCAGATTTATTATCATGATAGAAAAGAACAGAGGTATCACTCTTTTCTACTCTCCTGAGGGACCATAGATTGTGTTACTTTTTGTCAAAACACATATGTACCAAAACAAACTGTTGGTTGTTTAAATTTCATTTGCATAGACAAGAATCTATGAGTGCTGAATCGATCTGTACTGTAGCTCTAGGATCACAGACTATACACAGGATAGTGGCGGCTGAATTAGCTGACTATATTGTGATGTCAGATGAAGTACAAGGTAAGTAATTAAAATGGGAGCAGGTACTGTATATTCTCTAATGATGGAAAGCCAAGGAAGCAATTATTAGACAATACAAATGAAAGTTGAGAAAAAGAAGGGGGAATAAGTTTTACTCTGATATGTTAAGTTGCCTTTCAGTATAGTGATAGTAGATTTCATGAACACAGCATAGTAGTATAGTGGTTAGCAAATAAAATCTTCAGTTTTGATATTTCATGTCAACTTCTACTATGACATTAAAATCACAGTCATATTGATTGCATCATATCATGTAATATCATGTAACTCTACCTTAAAGATCTGTCCGATTTGGGGGCTATATTGTAGATGGGTTTAATGTTTCTTTTTATATTATGTGAATTCTTTCTTTCTTTCATAAAATTGATGACTTTGCCAATCCTCCAATATTTTTATCTTTCTTTAGTATTCACTTTTCACATGAATTCTATCCACAGATGGACAAAGCATAAATCTCGCCATGCTGCTGCCTCCTAAATGGCATTTGTTGCTACGGTTACAGCTGCAGGAGAACATCACTGTGGTATCCATGGTAACAGATAACTGGAAGATGCTTCCTCTAGTCAATCAGTACTTACTCAGTCTAGAAGATCACTGACATTGAGGAGGAGGAGTAAGACAAAGGGAGAGAGAGATGCTGTGAATGAATAGGATATGCAGGTTTTTTGAGTGATTTGTTTCATCTAATTGATAAAAAAAGCAATTACACTCTTGTAGGTAAGAAAGCAGGGGGACCTTTGGTTTTAAAGCTTATCTGCACTAGTTTGGCCAGGATTAGACCTCTCTGAGTGGTCACTGTCAGGTGGTTATCTCATCAAATCAGCTCTCAATTAACATAAGAAAAAGGGGACCATGTGGGATCAACACGTACCGCTTAGGCATTGTTGGCTGTATAGAGGGTGCAAGTAGCTACAAGTAGTGCAGTCCTGCTTAAATCATACCTGAAGGACTTGGTTATGAGGATTGAGGCCTCACCAAAGGGCACTAGCACATTGACTTCTTGTATGCTGTCTACAGATTTTCAATTCTTTGGGCATTCATGCCACAATTATTGGAATATCATGTTGGGATTAAATGTAGTAGTTACAGATTTGTTATTGAAATCTTGCCACAATGATCTGTTGTAGGAGTAAAATCTTATAACAACAATTTTAACCATCAAAGTATTTTTCCTGTCAAAGATTTTTCTTCTTCTAACTGTTGTTGTCCATTGATCTGACACACTAATGATCAAAAACTCAATCATTACTGTACTGATTTATTATGTAGTGACAAATGCCAGATTTGTATCTTTCTGTCATTGATGATTTTGATTTATCCTTGCAAAGAGAGAAAATAACAGACATAATATCGTTTCTTTACTTCTAAACTAAAGCGGAACAATACAATTAAAAAAAAAAATGATAATATTATTCAATATTGATACTGTATCAAGCCATAATTCATACATTTCCAAACTTCTTTTGATTTCAAGTCATCCTTCTGTATCTGTATTGTTAGATCAGCAAAATGTCTGTTTAGGACACATCCACGCTAACTTTGTGAAAACAGAAGCGCATTGTCGTGTGGAAAGACTTGATGGGCTATTAACAATTGAAGAAGGAAGGTTGTTCCCCTCCCTAACAGTATTTACGAAGAAGGAGTCCTGGAATACTCAGGCCCTATGTTCTGGAGAAACTTCTGGTCATTCCCTCTAGTAGCTCTTGGGTTACAATGAATGAATTCATCCAGATGGATATTAACTAATCCATTCTTCATCTCGTATTACATGGAAAGTCTTTGATTCTTCCTTCGTGTCTCGAGGGATTCCCAGCCAAGAAATTTCAGGGCCTTGGTAACAGTGTCCTCTTCCTTCTGGTTGATATTAGTCAAGAAAAAAGATTTGGCGAGAGGATATAGATGATCCTTTTATGAATGATCATTTACGACGTGCAATGCAGAATACAAATTAAATACATGACTGTGTGGTTTCACAGTGAATGTTACTTTTGTTTGTCTAGTTCTATGCATATATTTTCTAACTGTATATCATCGCTATATATTGAATGCCAAATCATATATATTGTAATTTATATGTTCGTTCTGAAAAGAAAATGTTGAGGAATTTTGTACTCTATATTTTATATTAAAATGAAATATCAAAAATTGAATAACAACGTTGTCTTCATATTGTGTGTTCAAAGAAATAACTTTGATGTATGGTAGGCAAAAAGATAGATTTTACCTTGGAATGTGCAGTGGAACGAAGTGTAGACAGTAGGGAAAAAAAAGAGAGACAGGAGAAGAAAGTAAAGATATATACAGAGGAAGTGAGTGGTAGGAAGTAGGACAGAAATGAAGGAAGGGGTTAGATAAAAATAGAGAGGGGACGGGAGAGAGTGGGAGAAAGAAAGAGAAGACTGACAGAGATGACAAAGAGAGACAGATATAAAGAAGGAGAGACATAAAAGGTTGGATTATTGTTTGCCAAATGAAGAAGAATAGAGAGTGCATTTGTGCATTATCATAAAATAAACGTTTATCAAGAGAAACTTTGCATCCTGGGAGTAATTGTGTATTAAAAACAGCACCAACTCTAACCCTTATTTTTCATTGATGTGGGAAAAATATTACATGTCAACATATTCGATACATATATTTGGTCATATTCCCCCGAAAAGCAAGTACTATGCAGTACGATACATTCACAAATATCCCTGAATCATACCAGCCTCCCCCTACATGTATGTATGCCAAACACGATAGCACCAGATCTGTACCAATCAAATTTCTTGTAAAGATTTCTTTTTATTTGAGTGTAGACCACCATACACTGATGAAACTTCTCTAAAAAGGGGAGCAGAAATCTCTTACGTCACAAGACTAAATTGATACTTTTGACTGTACAAGGATTATAATACAAATACAAACATATGACAGGGATCTTCTCAAAATAATCAATTTGGTACCTAGATTTCAGAATCAGAAATTGGACATGAGAGGAAGAAAAAACATCCTTTTCATTTCTCAAATATTTGTTCAATTCTGGGAAGGAGACATTAAAGATAGATGAATCCTTAAATGAAGAACTTGCATATTTTTATCATTTATAGTACACATATTCCAATATTCTCAAGTGAGGGATATTGCATTATAATTTCTACATCAAATTGTATATCCTAACTTCTCAAAAACTTTCTCAACTAACTTTTACATTTTTTCCGGCAGACTTCATTTGATGTCAAACACTTGTTTTTCATCAATGCTGTTTGTAGCAAAATGACATTTATTTTCTTTAAAGCCCCTCTTAAATGTTGGGAGCCCAAAATTTTATGGCAAAATTTCACTTAAATTGTATCATAATGTGAAAGAGAATGTCATTTAAGACATACTTCTGCAAAGATTTCCCTCCAAAAAAAAATGTGTGAGAAGACAAATATTGAAAAAAGAATACATAACTGGGTTTTCTGTTGTACGCAGAAAACCTAAATTTTGCATTCTTTCATCAATAATCGACTCCAAACACAATTGTTTTGAAAATCCTTGCAGAAATGTGTCTCAAATGACTTCCTCTTTCACATTATGATACAATTTAAGTTAAATTTTGCCATCAAATTTTAGAGGGGCTTAAACTGAACAATCATTCGAAGAGACTAATCAGATTTTCTTTAACAAACAGAAGTCAATCTACTCCATGACCTGTTGCAGTGAACTGCACAAATTACATTTAGGATCTAGATGATCATAATGCTAACAATGCTGTCTTTTGGCTGATTTTAAAATTCTTATCACAAAATGTAGTATTTACTCCCACATCTTATAAAGTCATCATCAATAGTGATCTGTCAGTTTATGACAGATTAAGTATTCATCACAAATGACAAGTAATTTAAAAACGGTGCATGCATACTTGAATTTGGCACATTTCCTGAAAAAGGCAATCAAAATGCCAATGTTTTAGCATGTTTATCTACTATGAAGATTGTTACACTGTGGGAATTATTAAGTCACTTCATAAAAATAAATATAGAAATAGAATCCTAAAATTTCTTTTTGAAGTTCTGTGTCTAGATTTTTTTCTTCAAAGTCCAGGAACCCTTTGATATTACCTGGCATACTTCATAAACATTAATCAAGATTGCAATTCCTTAAAATCATCAATACCACTGTATAAAGTTGATAGATTGATAGGGACAACAATGTTTGATTCTCTGCCCATCTATGAAGTCCTACACAAGATTGTAAACCAAGACTTTCTACAAAGGATACATGCTAACAAAAACATAACCTTCCTTCCATTTGCCAAAATTTGGCAGTGTCTATTTACATTCAGCAAACTCAAATAAATCACAATATTGATAGACTTTCTCACTTTGATACTAATTTTTGTAAAGTACCATAAAAATTCAGATCAACACATTAAAAATCAGTATACCGTCCATCACAAAGCTTAGAATGGAAATTAATTCAGTGTTTGTTTTATTTCCCATTTCTATTTGAATTAAAGAAATTCTAATAATGTAAAAGGAAAGAAAAAAGAAGAAAAAAAAGCCATAAGATATTCTTACACTTTGGACAAGAGGAAAATAACAACTATTCATTTGAAATATACAAATTTTTTTATTGTTCATTCTAAGAAGTACACAAAGAAAAGGGAACGCTACAGGACAAACATGCACACAAATAATAAGGGTGTTATTTACAATGTACATTAATCTGCATTACTGAAACTATTTCTTTGTACAGGACAAAAATGCAGCTTTACAACATTAAACATCAAACAAAAGAAAAGAAAAATTAAAACTTTAGTTTTGAATGCAACCAGACATATCCTTTTTTCTTCTGTATATATTCTGTCATTGTTTCCTGTACAAGCACCCAAAGGAAATTGGACTTCACCATTTAAAAACTCATAACAATAGATGTACTGCCTTATTCTTAGGTTTTGTAGCATCTCCCTTTCTGACCAATTGGGTAAATTTGGAAGAACTACCTAACATTTAAACAAATGTCAATCTGCAAGTTGTAGGGAAGCTATCTTTTTTTCTTTTTTGCTCAAAAATCATTCAAATATTCCTGTCAGGTAGCCTAACTGTGCAAGAAAACTCTAGAATATCATTGTTCAATACACATAAGATAATACCCTCATTGAAAATTATTACACAGATCTATGTAAATATCAATATGCGAGAGCAAGTATTCATAGGACTCGAGTCTCTATTTTCAAAGGCAATTAGCAAAGTATACATGTACTTCACGTTAAATCATTACATGGACATTTTCCAAGCTTCTCTGTTGATTGGGGACAATCAAAATGTAACCTGAGAAGAACCAACAAGTTTGAGAAAAAATTCCACACTGGAGTGCTACCAAACATACACAGTAGGTCTCTAGTTAAGTCTTTCAATACTTGTGTCTTCTTCTGAAATATTCTGAATAGAGAAGTTGGAATGTTTGTGCGGATCTACTGGGTAAAAATGATCCACAATCGAGTATAAATTTGAAATTTCTTTCGAAACTCATTCGTATCAGGGTTTGTCTGTTTTTCCAGATATAACTCAACTGTGAACTTTTATTACCTTTAACAAGTTTTCAATTGTCTGCTCCAGTTGTTTCCTTTTTATGACAACTCTCTCAAGATCTGAGATATAATTCTAGTGATTGCCTTCACAAGTGAATAATAAGCTGGCTGGAAGAAGAAGAAATACAGGGCTGAAAGAATTCAACTTAAAGAAGAGATACAATACATCTCAGTGGAATGTAACTTTAATTTCCTTCCCCAGAACTGCACTTGTTATCGATGCATTTGATAACTTAGCTTTAATAATTCTCCAGCTTGACCCTAACTTACCCAATTCTCATACTTTGGTTGGAACAAAAGACTGCCCTACCGTTACAGAGTTTTTGTTAATATTATGTCAATGATGAGTGCGGTGAGGGGATTTTACATCTTCTACTTAACAGATATATCCTTTTCCTTAGAAGAAAATTTTCTTTGGACCAACAGGTTCTTCTCCCCAACAAAGTGGGCTACTTGAAACACAGAAATCCCTGAAAATTAAAAGCAAAACTTCCTTAAAATATCAACAGTCTGGTGAATGCGAGTCACTTCGAAACTAAGGCAATTTCTCAAATCTATTTGCGTTATTTACAAAGCTCTAAGAAAACATATATATATCAATAAGACTTCTCTCACTCTCCTGCTCTCTCCCACTCATACTCTCCCGCTCTCTCCCACTCATACACATTCTCTGTCTATTTTGCTAAATCTCTTTATCCTAACAATCAACATATTTCATTTGTTTGTTTACATTCTGAATAGAATCAGAAAGTAGGTCATCTTAGCTCATCCCTAAATTACTCTAGTAGATTTCTCTAATTCATATACCTGTAAATTCACAATCCATAAAAATTAAAAATCGGAAAAGAAAAGCCATAATGTACAGCCCTTGGACAATAATCACAAAGATTTGAAATCTCATTCTTGGCAAACAAGTAGACCAGCCAAGAAAAGAAATGTATGTGCAAGCAATATTTCTCTAAGATATAATTACAATTTGATGATACAGATTACACATTTCAGACTACCATCCATATTGATGTGACACCATGCCTCCCAATTCATGCAAATTATAAACATAAGGAGATTACATAACCATACACTGACGATAAATCATTGACATCAAATGAAATATACACAATATATTACAAGACACTCTCAGAGCAGTCTTACTGCTTCAGTTGTCAAATACTGAACCAGTGATATCTTTTCTCATTTTAAGTCTCATGAATTGATGTTTCAAGCATTCAAGCAACTTGTGTGGTGAATATGGCTCAACTGATAAAAATCTTTGAATTAAGATTTCCCCTTAATGTACGTATCTGCCATTGCGATGGATCGGTGTGATTATTGAAATGGAAATGAGAGAAATTGAATGAATGAATTACACGTAATGATGTATTGAGGTTTGTTTTGAAAGCTGCAGAGTGTTACAAAATGTAGGGATGTCCTTCAGGATGACATTTTGGAAACCTTGCAAAACCATAGCCGTAGAAGAGAGCACTAGATTGTTGAAATTGCTCCTCAGCAACTTCCAACAATATATATTATTACAGATATCTCCACAAGCCCGGGAAATTCAGCCTCTAAATTGATGTTCTGCAAGTTTTTTTTCCACCGTTACAGTTGTTTGCTCAAATGGGATACAAAACACTTATATGCTTCTTATAATTTGTTTTTCTCTATGCTCTGTGCTGCAAAATATCTCACCTGCCATTTTCTTGTGTACTAGCCAAAGCTTACAGAAAAAAACTAGATGGAATTCGACTGCGCGCAGTCGAAAATGATGCCTCCGTTATAGAGCAATTTTACAAACCAAAACAGAAAAAAAAAATTGAATTCACGTTCAATGGTAATCCATTGACAGGTTCTCAGAATATTGTGATTACAAGCAATTTCTCATATACATATATGACCCTTTGATCTTTGACCTCATGACCATAAAATCTACTCAGTTCATTGGCTCTGCAAGATGTTTTGAGTTAAATAGTAATCCATCTGTCAGTTCTAATGAGAATGCGTTCACAAGCTATTTTTGCATACATAATGGGCCCATGACCTTTGACCTTTGACCTTATGAACCAAGAATCTACTCAGTTCATTGGCTCTGCAAGTAACAAACATGACCTAATTTTGGCATGAATCCATCAATCGGTTCTTGAGATAACGCGATCACAAGCTGTTTTTGCATTCATAATGTGTGCTGTGGCCTTTGACCTTTGACCTACGTGCTCCAAAATCTAATCAGATTGTCTTCCTATGGTGATACACACTATCATTAAGTTTGAAGTTTTTACATCTCCAGTGGTTCTTGAGATATCATGATAACAATCTCAATGTATGGAATTTCATAAGTTGACCTCTGTGACCCTTGACCTTTGACCTACGTGCTCCAAAATCTAATCAGATTGTTTTCCTATAGTGATACACACTATCACTAAGTTTGAAGTTTAAATCTCCAGTGGTTCTTGAGATATCATGATAACAATCTCAATGTATGGAATTTCATAAGTTGACCTCTGTGACCCTTGACCTTTGACATACGTGCTCCAAAATCTAATCAGATTGTTTTCCTATAGTGATACACACTATCACTAAGTTTGAAGTTTAAATCTCCAGTGGTTCTTGAGATATCATGATAACAATCTCAATGTATGGAATTTCATAAGTTGACCTTTGACATACGTGCTCCAAAATCTAATCAGATCGTCTTCCTATGGTGATACATACTATCCTTAAGTTTGAAGTTTAAATCTCAAATGGTTCTTGAGATATCGCGCTAACAAACTCAATACAAGGAATTTCATAAGTTGACCTCTGTGACCTGTGACCTTTGACCTACGTACTCCAAAATCTAATCAGATCATCTTCCTATGGTGATAAATACTATTCCCGAGTCTTAAGTTTAAATCTTAAATGGTTCTTGAGATATTGTGATAACGGTCAAACGGGACGGACGTACGTACGGACGGACGGACGTACGGACGGACAACCCGAAAACATGATGTCTCCGGCACCACCTTCGGTGGCGGAGGCATAAAAATCAAATTTTGATGGTTTACAGTAAATTATTGAAATTCTCTGCTAGCTCCATTTTGAACTATACTCACTTGCCTGAATGGCAAAGATATTGCTTGCCCAACCTTGCATAAGATTTTTTAGCTTACCCATCCTAATTCTAAAATGACATCGCCACAAACCTTTGCTTTTATATGTTATTTTTGTGCTGCTTGGAGGTCATATGTTACACTTATGTAATCCCCCAAAGTATGGAACGAAAGGAGAAAGAGGGGCAAAAGACAGAAACAACTTTCCTTTCTTTCTAATGAGAACCAAAAGATAAACTTCATGCCCAATTTATCTGAATATTCCTTTTCAAGTATGTGTGCACTGAATCCTGTTGTAATCACTACTCCTGTGCTCCTTGACAATTGTTTTAAACCATATCTCAATACAATTCACCCAAGAGAATGAACCAAGAACTCCTCTTTTTACATACATTTGATATATATATATATATATATCTCCTCATTCCAAATCATTCACTTATTTGAAATTTTCTTTTAACAACAAATTAAAAACATCTCCATGTACACTATCTTCCTGTCTCCTTCAACTACCAACCATTTTTATACAAAATAAATATATATTAGGTCATGCAACCTAAACATGTACATTATGACTTAACTGAAACAAAATGGAAACAATGCGCCGAATGTACTATAAAATAACAAACTGGATAGTTTTTTTTATGAACAATTAAAAAAAAATAGAGAGTGAAAATCTAAAGTTTGTTATCTTAGGACACTTTAAGCAAGATATACATGAATATGTTTTTTTCATTCAGCATAATTTGATGTGCCTTTTACTTCAACATTGAATAAAGTTGTCTTTCAGTGCCAATTTTCCATCAAACATCAAACCTGTTGGGTACACATTGATAGAGTATATCATTAATTTATATTAGATGTAGCCTATGTTATCCTGGGGTTGGTATCCATCGGGATAAACTACATAGTAGTTCATGTCAGTTCTGCATATAACCTTAAGCCATGAGCGAGTGAACACAATCAGGCAGAACACTTCTAGAGCGATTAGGCAGGGAAAAGTTCAAAATAACGTCTCGGGTTTTTATCCCCAAATCATGGATGAGTTTTTAATGTTGCATGCCATAGGATATTCCCTCAATATTACCAGGAACATGAGGCATTTCTTTCCTGTAAGTTCCTATTTAGAATTCACCCTCTTCATTAAGAAGAATAAATAAAGCACTTGATTCTTATGTGACATCATTGGAATGTAATGTGTTATATGAGCAGTCTTCATTATTATTATCATTATCATTAATATTATTATTATTATTGTTCTATTTGGCAATACAGAAAATACATAAGAAATCAGAAAAATACTGTTCCTACCGCAAATCTTGAGTATTAAGTCTGCCTGATTTCACATAAACATCAAAATTCCATATCGTTCAAAGTCTTCTCCATTTGACATGAAATACCTCCCCATTAAATCAAATTAGGCTGAATGAAAAAGTCACGATATCTTTGCCGGCTTAGATTCCATCGAATATTTCATTTTTTCCAACTTTGTAATGAACAGAAAGTAATAACAGAGCACATTTCGGGGTAAAACGTTGTCGTAGTCTAGGGCAGGTAACATCATACCACGACAACCCTTTTAACTCATTTGTTCAAGAGGGGTCAAAGGTCAAAGGTCAATCTCTCATGTTCATACAAATTCCTCTTCCTGTACAATGAATAATGTGCTTCCAAGCATTTCTTTCCACAATTTCAGCTGTGTGTCCTGGTGATGTGATGAATGATTTCCAATCTTTTATGCCGTCTTGGAATCACTGTCGTTTTCTGCTTTTACTTTCTTCACCATCGGACTGTCAGTTGGAAGACACGTGAAAGAAAAGAACAAAACAAAATAGAATATAAAATAAACATTAAAGACAATCCAACATTGATAAGCAGAATATTTAATATATATTCTAAAGCTTTCAGAACTGTGTAGTGATGGTTATTTCTCAAGGATATGACACTATATTGAAGCTGTCTTTTGATCAAATATTTAGGATTTTTTTTCCCAACAAATGGTGATTTATGAATGACGACTCTCTTACAGAACGTTTTAAACTTGTTACATGTTTACAACTGGTAGATGATTAGACAATGAACAAATGTAAGCTCGATGTCAGCTGTCTGTCCTAGGGATATGATCACTTCTTTCAAGATCTATCATACTTAGGAGCCAAAATCAAATCAAAAGCAGCCACCAAACCTTTCATCAAAACAACCGACTATCATCTCTTTTGAGTTACTACATATCTTGAGTACCGGTACATTAAAACCAATGTGAAGCCTGCTGAAGAGGAGTTTAGCTCTTACCTTTCTATAGAAGATGCTGGTCTCTTGGCAGCGACAGTAGTTGTTGGTTTAGCAGCAGTCTGGTTATCTTGAAGCCATCTAACCTGAGTGGCTGGTCCATATCTATACAGTCAATCAAAACATAGCCTTAGCTTGATATCCACACTGCTCATAAAAACAGTCCCTAATCACCTTTATTCTCAAATCTTGTATAAGCTCCACCAAATTTTCTGTTTTTTAAAATTTTATTACTACTTTTAACATATTTTTTTTCAATTTTTAATATACATGTACATGTTGATCTTGAGGGAGCAAACAAGGAACATTTGAGATTGATGCTCTACACGTGCATGACTTTCCTATGTTTGCATACTTTCAAATCATGCCAAGGTACGAGATCCGAGTCTTCTTGAGGTCTACAAAGACCTTTTATCTCTGTAAGAGGTGGCTATGCATATCACTGACTGAAGTGAATTCATTGATCTTAGGTTCAAACGTCTTACCTACATCCAATCTGCAAAAGAATTTTTTAAATACGAGTCATTGAAACCAATCTTTTTTTTCTTCAATACATAAATCATTTATCTATTCTAATTAACTTATACTTCAGTTTATCATGGTGGAAGAATCCCACTTTAACTGTAACTGCTTGTACAAAAACATCTGAATCTGTGAGGAACATAGCAACTCACCCCTTGACGTTACGTGCAGCGATTCTGAAAATGATAGCAGGTTTGCTGGTGCAGTCGATGTGAGCTGCGGCCAGGTTAGCCGAGCTCACGACGCAAGATGGGTTGGGTCCGCAGTATACCCTGACGAAGGCTAGCTGGGCTGGGGTAGTGGGCTTGGCATCTCCCGACGCCCCGCTCATGGTGCTACGTACGGCAAGGTAGACGGAATACTCCTGGATCTCACCGTTGGTGTTTGCCGGAGGCTCCCAGGATAGATGAGCTCCATCGGGACTCTGGAAATACAATTTTTTTTCAACAAATTAATGAACAGCAGAAATAGTGGAGTGAAGGGAGAGAATTGTCAGATGATGTTGGCTGCTAAGAGCCAGAAGGTTGTTAACTCTGTATTACAGGATTGAGTTAATGCCCTTCTGGCTCTCAATAGACAATATGTGTTATGAATATAGGTTACAATGATGTAACACGTCTTTCCACTTTATACATGATTAACCACCATAACTTTCCACTCAAAACACTTAGAAAATATGATATGACATATACCTATTTCTAAGAAATAAAAAACAGATAGCCCTCCATTTAAAATGAGCATTCCACTAAAATATTTTTTACCTGTTATGATAATACGTTAAATGTCAGTAAGCCATTTGCAAATACAAAAATCAACAAAACATCATCAAATTTAGATGAATGAAAACACCACACAGAGCATGAGAATAAGGATCATAAAACCTCATCCTTGATCACACGTTAAGAGTAAATTACCTTGCTGATTCTAATAGCTGAAGGTGCCCCAGGGAATCCAGGCAAGCATGTCTTGAACGCGGAGATCTCGCTCCATGGGCCCCGCCCGCTAGCATTGATACCAGCGACCCTGAACTTGTAGGCTGTGCCCGGGTGAAGCTCCTGCTTCTTGAGGAAGCTGTGATCCGGCACACTGACAACATCAATGTCCTGGCGAATGAGAGAATGAGGAAATTGATGTTGGCATATGGCGGCTTGAACAGGTGAAAATATCATTAATGGCTTGGAATAGAATCAACAGCAATACCTACAGAGACCAGGTGGTTCCTTAAAGTGGCTCAGTAACATTGCTGAAGGGTGATGAAAAAACTGCACAATTTTTGTATAGAATGTTACTTATTATATTCCTTCTACTGTACTAACCCTCTAACAGGCAAAAAATCTGAAACAAGCTCTCAAACCACAAAGATATCTATGGTTTTCTTTAAAGGCATCACTGTGCAACACCCTCTAACAGTAAATTTTCCCAACCACTTTTGAATTTTCACAACCGTTTTCCCATGAAAATAAGACATAAGACAGGCTTTTAAAAATCTTGCCGCAGTCAACTTTCGTCTCAAGGAAAATGCGTATGTAAAATATACACAAAAACAATATCACAGTCTAGGATTTTAATCTGCAGTGGATGAAGGAAGCGTTAACATCATCATATCCTCAATCCTTGTCATTATCAACTTATCAATTAACACAATCATCATTATCCCAAATATAGAGTATCATAAGGATGCTAGATGGATTTATATACTTACATCTTCATTTCTGCTAATGATCTCCGATGGCAAGTGATAATGCGCTACTGTAGTGGTCGTCGTCTTAATGATTCCAACGTCGTACCACTGGTTGACATCTTTCTTGGCTAGCTGGATGGCTTGTCCTATCGATGACTTGCCATCCTCCTGTAAATACAAGAACAAAATATCAATCTCCAGGATGTGCGATGAAACTAAACAAAAAAACAAATGCTGGCTACCTGTGACAAGAATTCTGATATTGGTTGATTATTGGAAAGTACGCTCATATAAAAAACATGAAAATTGGGGCTGTTAAAATGTATGCTTCTGTTCGATAGTCTGCCCATGTAATCTGTGAATGGAAATATGATAGCTCTACCATGGTTACAACGATAAATGATATCACATACTTCAAAAGTAAAGTGCATGGTATCAAATTAAAAAATTAAAAAAGAAAATCAGTGGGAAATCATAGTACTACCATACCTTTTTATCACAGTAAAAAAAATATAAGCAGATCCAAATTTTAAAAAATAATACATTATTTAACTTAACCAAAATATGTCTGGGATGTAGAAAGTATTAACATTTCTTCAAAGTTGAAGAAAATGGGACATGTTTGATGGTATGCACATGCCCTTTGAGAATATTATAAAGTTAAATCTGTTTTTGTCTTTACCGTTTTAGAGTCCAGTCCATTGGTGATAGGCCTGGTCGACATCACAGGAGGACCGGCCGAGTTAGCAAGTGATGCAATCGTCATGGCAATAGACTTAGGATCTGAATCTGCAGGTATAAAAGAGAAAGAGAGAGCATGAAATGAGTAGAGGAAATGTATCTTACTGATAGAGATAGACGCAATTCCATAGAAGAAGAAATGAAAATAACTAAGGCATTGAACAAAAACCGGAATGGTCAATGATGCACAGTCTACCAAAGAAGAATTGGAATCGGCTATGAAGATGCTTCTGAACCACAACTTACACAAAAAAAATTAAAGTCGTTCAAACATACAGACATTCATATAAATCACACTTGAGTAATAGTGTTCATCAATACAACACTTAACAAGAATAATGTTACTCCTCCGAGCTGTGGTTGGTGAAGAGAAAGGAAGATATTGTGGAATGGGAATTTCAAAGCAGGTTTGCTACACTTAGCGGAAGATGGTTTTTGCATATTTAAAGCAGAACACAGCTAAGTTTCCTGAAGGCTAACCTGGATCTGGGTTGCTCTCCTTCGTATCCATCGGCTCTTCTCCCACAGCCCCGTTATCCAAGGCCTTGTTCTTTGTCTCTTCAGCAGGGGCGGAGCCATTGGTCTTGGTGGTATCGGTAGGCTCGGCTGGTATGCCTGTTCCGGGTGCAGGGGAGGGGTCGGTTTCCATGGGCGTGGCTTCTGAAGCAGCCGATTCTACCTTGGGTTGTTGATTGGGTTCTGGTGACAATAAACAACACGATTCATAACCATGAAACTTTATCTTCCTTTCACTACCTCCTATGATGGATAAATTACATCCACACAGCAATAACTGAAACAAGATTTGACCTGAACTCTAGGACCTTTGACATGTTCACATGACCACAGAACGTTTGCTCTGGCACAATTGCTTGAGGATTTATTTTGTAAAATGTACATGTTTAGATTCAGGATTGAAGTTTGCAAATAGCTGAAGTTTGAATACTGAAGTTGCAAATTTAGCTAGTGCAGATATTCAACCATAGAGCCAGAGAATGTGTGGTAGAACAACACAGAAGTTGATTTTTTTTCTCGAATAGAAAACCCTTGCATCTTTTTCTTAATCAACTGGAGCATCAATATCATGAACTTACATGACCTAACAATCTTTCCCATGCTCGACTTTTCAGGTTCCACGCCTTTTGGACTAACTGAGGTACGAAAAGTTAGTTGAATTTCTGTCATTGCTGAGTAATATCGTGATGACTAGACTTTCTTCCAACATGACCTTTGATCTTTCCATTGCTCGACATTAGAACTTATCAGGCTGCACCCCTTTTTGACTAACTGAGGTACGAAGAGTACGTTGAAATTCTGTCATTGTTTGAGTAATATCGTGATGACTGGACTTTCTTCCCACATGACCTATGACCTTAGCCTGTATTACACAGTGACAACATAAAAAGGTCAACCCACCTGAAGTCTGCTCTTCCTTCTTTATCGTTACACCGCCCTCTGATGCCTCTGTAGTGGCAGGGGTTGCAGCCTCTTGTGTTGTAGGAGTTGGTGTTGCCGTTGTGTCTGTGATTGGGCAAGCAACCATGGAAACAGAAATTAATTCACTCAATTCAATCACAGATCCTACCTGTAATAATTTGTTTGATGATTCGTATGAGGACTTTAAACTGAGAACTTAACTCTGACAAGTAAAGAAAAACAGATTTCCATATCCTACCCCAGTCACATTAATAAATCGACTCCAAAAATTGACCATTTGGTGTTAAGTAATGTAATATTTGTTTGGTCTGTCGCACAGTGATGTCTGTCTCGTCAGTGTGAGTCGGGTATAAGGGTTTGCTACTTGTTTTAGCTCAAAAACACAACATCCAATGCATTACCCTAATCCTTTAAGCCCCACTGCACTAGTCTGGCCAGGAGGGATTAGACCTCCCTGCATGGTCACTGACAGGTGGTTATCTCATCAAATAAGCTCTCAATTAACAAAAGAAAAATGGGATCATGGGCGCAAGTAGCTATAAGTATTGCAGTGGGGCTTTAAACAACCTACACAAGGTCAGAATATGTATTTGAGCCTTTGTCTTGATGAATAGAGATATTCTTACCTGTTGTTGATTGTGCTTCTTTGTTTTCTTTGCTTTCTTCTGCAGCTGTAGGTTTGGTTTCTGATGCATCTTCAGCCACCTTCTGCCGTAACATAAAACATATATATAGAGAACTCATGATGACCAATGTCCAAACATTAATGCATAATTTATAGAATTTGAATACAGAATGAACGATTCTATTCTGTGTCATGAACGAAAGCAAATGAATAAATGAGATTTTTTTAAAATAAAATATCTCATTATGGAAGCCATTGAAATAAAAAAATGTCCTCTACTATTTTCCATTTGGTGACATTTCTCTTTTACAAATTCATCATTGCATTAACATCTATAGCCTACTACTTGTGTAATACCAAGCATACAACCAATACACAATCCAAGAAACAGTGTGCAGTCAAACCTGCTTTAGCAACCACCTGTATAGAAAGACCACAGTTTTTGCTTCCCTGGCAATCCTTTCTCAAAGAAAGTTAGAAACCTGTCTGTAAAGACCACTTTTCTTGTCTCCCTTGAGCGGTCTTCATATACAGGTTTCACTGTACATCTATGCAACACAAAAGTGGTGGAAAGGGTATCAGTTAGTTTGTTCTAAAGTTTTGGAGTAAAAACTACTAATAAAATTTGTATTGGGCGGTTGAGGTCCTCATAAAATCAAGGATTAAAAGCACGTACCTGTTGATCTGTACTCGGAAGGCTGACTGTAGGTGTTGTTCCTACCGTTGATATGAGAGTAGTCTGTGCTGTACCAACAGTGCTCAACTAAAGAGAACAAAATATAAATATAAATTTAAAATGCATGTTTTAATATCAGCTTTAAGTCATTATCACATTTTTTTGCAGATTGTATTGTATTGTATTTATTTTCCAATCATATTAAAAAGACAAATAACATATGACATAAAACGAAATGAAACATAACAGAATTAAAAAAAAAAAAATTACATGTGTATATAGATTGCTTAAAAATGATTGGCTGGATTGCCCGTTCAGTGTCATAAAAATATATGACACTGTTCTTCCTGGGGGTCCAGAATGAAGAAGCTGTCTTTTTTTTTCCTTGTCTTGTTATACAGTCAGTTAATCCCTTTTTGTATCGATAGAAAAAAGACATAGGTATCACACCTCCACATCATGATTAACTCATTGACGGATGACACCTGAATTGTATCCATTCCTAATTAATTACAGAAGACAATTGAAAATTGAAAATCAATTTAAAGCATTTTCTAATCTAGTCCGAGATTGAAAATAACCATGCCCCTTGCAAAACAATCAAAATCTAACAACAGTTAGAGTTGGGCTAACCTTCAATTTCAGCATCACAATTAAGTTGTAACTTACTATAACAAGTGTATTTCTATTGCCAAGAGTTGCATTTTGAGCTGCCTTTTGACACCAGGTTAAATCCTAACAAAACCATTATAGAGATCTTTACGCTATGTGTGCTTACTGCTACAGGGGTAGTGATGGTCTTTTGCACAGCTGCTGTGTTTGAGACAACCTGGGCTGTTGTAGACATGATTGCGTTTATGGCAGGGGAAACGCTGGTGGTTGCTGCCCCCGTCAGGGCTGAAATGGGAATGGTTACCAGCTTAGTTGTGACTCCTACAGAAAGGAAGAAAGAGAAAAAGAGAAATATTGTTATAGTAACCAAGATTGGAGGATACAAAGATTTAATAGACCACTTTAACAGCTATATGGTTTCCTCCATCAAAAATATATCCCACTTTCATATTTTTAAAAACATTATAATCCTATTTCTACTGACAATCACAAAGCAAAAGAAAAGCAATTACTTTTTAAATAATATTTTCTTTATTTAAACTTTTCTTTTGGGGGGGGGGGGGGAGGGACAAATACTAATATTTTTTAAAATAAAACAGTTCTTTTTCCTTTTATATTCTAAGCCACACTAAATCTTTAAATATTCAAAGCTGACACATAATAACCAACATTTCTATGAGTGTTCTCTCCTGTGGTGGAATTGTGCATTGCACGATGAATTTGAGGACGTTTGAGATTTTTAAAAATGTACATGACTTTTTCTGACAACATGAATACTGTCATGAATACTTTTTCTGACAACATGAATACTGTCATGAATACTTTTTCTGACAACATGAATACTGTCAAGAATACTTTTTCTGACAACACGAATACTGTCATGAATACTTTTTCTGACAACATGAATACTGTCATGAATACTTGTTCTGACAACACGAATACTGTCATGAATACTTTTTCTGACAACATGAATACTGTCATGAATACTTTTTCTGACAACATGAATACTGTGATGAATGGAAGGACTGTCGAGGGCTAGCTCTCACCCGATGAGTTAGCGGTGGTGGTGATTGTGAGTGGCGTAGTCAGGCCTTGAGAGGTGGAGAGTGATTTGAGTAGGTTAGCAGCACTGGCCTGGTTGAGGGTACTCTTAGCCCCACCCTTGGTAATGATCTGTATGGTGTTACCTGAGACCTGACCGCTGGCTCCGGGAGACGAACCCTGGGGCGCTACAGCACGGATGATGGTGATGGGGGAATTCCCTGCCCCTAGACCTACAAGGAATACCATAATACGTGTTGATATTTCGTTATTGTCATGATCTCTAATAATATGAGTATAACAAGAAACATGATTTTCTTCACTATGACCCCCTTGACTATTCTAGACTCTGGTCATCATCGCCATCATAATTGTCATCATCGTTGTGATCGTCCTCTTTGCAATCATTTCTGCATATATTGTGGTTAAAACTTTTTTGTTATTACTCTTCAAAACACAGAAGCTTATTATATACTGATTTGTCACCGAGCTTCATCTTGAAATGATGGAGGAGTACAATATAATATAAGTAATCAGCAACATCAGTGTGCCAATTGCCTAATGATGCTCTTGATGACTCAATTGACTTGTATCTATTCTATAAACAGTGTAATCATGTAGTGGTGATCATATTTGACTGAGAAGTATTGAGCTAACTAGAAAAAACTTTGAAAAACCCATTGTGTTAACATGAAAATTGTTTTATAAATGTAATGCTTCCTGGGAGAAATTTCAATTGTCACCGAGCTTCATCTTAGAGGCAGGTTCAAGTTCCGCTGGTTCCAAGATTTGTTCTGACTTGTTTTTCAATACAGATCGATCAATCGATCTTATTTACTGGGTGTAAGCCACAAATATGTTTAAATAAATGAAAATTGTTATCTTAGAGCCAAAAACTTTGGTTACATCTGTCTTTCTGAAACATGCTACAATGGTTAGCCTGATACGGTTCCCCTGGAGTGAAATCCATCCCCTAAATGACACCTCACCTTTGAGTGTTCCTGATAGGATGGTAGGGGAGGCGCCTGCTTGGGTTGTCAAGACAATCTTCTGCTGCTTACCAACCCCTCCAGTCGTGATAAACTTGGTGGGAGTACCCGTGGCTCCTGCCAGCATCTTGTTGGTTACAGTGACGATGGTGGGCGTCTTGCCGGTTGCGGTGTTGGCGACACCTGCTATGAAGGCAGGTACAGTAGAATTACTTTAATCGTAACACAAATAACATAACTAACATAGATCAGGTGATATAAACAAAATGTATATAACCCTTACACTTGTAAGACCCATGGGCTAATTTTCCTTGTAATGAATTTTTGTAATTTTCTTATAAAATATAGAATAGAGCACTGTCTTATCAGGAGTTACATTTAATCTGGATTAATCCATACAACTTATCCAGTCATTAGATCATTTCATGATTTGCTGCTGATTGGAAACATGTGATTCCTGACTCCTTGTAAGACAGGGCCTGGGTACACTGTAACCAATACTACTACTGATAGCTATGTAATAACAAAATTTGATTGATAAAGTGCCTTTTCATGACGTACACAGTGTGTATAATACAAGAAAACTAGATGGAATTTTGACTGCGCGCAGTCGAAAATGATGCCTCCGCCATAGAGCAATTTAAACAAGTTTGGAGTTTAAATCTCCAGTGGTTCTTGAGATATCATGATAACAATCTCAATGTATGGAATTTCATAAGTTGACCTCTGTGACCCTTGACCTTTGACCTACGTGCTCCAAAATCTAATCAGATTGTCTTCCTATGGTGATACACACTATCATTAAGTTTGAAGTTTAAATCTCCAGTGGTTCTTGAGATATTATGATATGGTGATACATACTATCATTAAGTTTGAAGTGAAAATTCTCCAGTGGTTCTTGAGATATCGCGATAACGATCTCAATGTATGGAATTTCATAAGTTGACCTCTGTGGCCCTTGACCTTTGACCTACGTGCTCCAAAATCTAATCAGATCGTCTTCCTATGGTGATACATACTATCCTTAAGTTTGAAGTTTTTACATCTCCAGTGGTTCTTGAGATATCATGATAACAATCTCAATGTATGGAATTTCATAAGTTGACCTCTATGACCCTTGACCTTTGACCTACGTGCTCCAAAATGTAATCAGATTGTTTTCCTATAGTGATACACACTATCACTAAGTTTGAAGTTTAAATCTCCAGTGGTTCTTGAGATATCATGATAACAATCTCAATGTATGGAATTTCATAAGTTGACCTCTTTGACCCTTAACCTTTGACATACGTGCTCCAAAATCTAATCAGATCGTCTTCCTATGGTGATACATACTATCCTTAAGTTTGAAGTTTAAATCTCAAATGGTTCTTGAGATATCGCGCTAACAAACTCAATACAAGGAATTTCATAAGTTGACCTCTGTGACCTGTGACCTGTGACCTTTGACCTACGTACTCCAAAATCTAATCAGATCGTCTTCCTATGGTGATAAATACTATTCCAGAGTCTTAAGTTTAAATCTTAAATGGTTCTTGAGATATTGTGATAACGGTCAAACGGGACGGACGGACGGACAACCCGAAAACATGATGCCTCCGGCACCACCTTCGGTGGCGGAGGCATAAAAAATTTACACTACGTATGGTCCATGCCGAAGGGTGCAGAGACAGAAAAGAGAAACTTAAGATCATATCTTTTGACTTACCTTTACCAACTGGAATGGTCTTGATGATGCTTTTGCCTTGCTGACCTGCCGTGATGCTGCTGATACCCAGGATCGTAGGTTGACCTTTCAACCCCGCCTGGCTGATAGGGGTGATGATGGTAGTAGGCTTGCCTCCAGCCTGGGTGGTTGAGACAAGTTTTACGATGGTAGTGCCAGGCCCTACACCACCTGCCTTGTTAGCACCCTGATCAAAAGGAGAGAATGAAATTCATGAAGGAGAAGTGCCTTGTGATGAATTTTGAAAATAGTTTCTTTTCACAGAATTCGTTTTAAAGTACCCAAAGTTGGTTAGATTTCAATCACTAGATACTGCAAGCATTATACTGAAGTGCCTGATTTTGTGTTACATACCAACATATAGGGCGCAAGGGTGTGCAATAGTTTACAGATGTTTTCTTCAGTAATGTCTGAAATTAACCAAACTTATCAAATTTGCTCAACAAATCAGACCTAAAAGAATACAATTAATAGAGATCGCATCAAATAGGTTATATTCAAATTTAGATCATGTACCAAAAATGGTGAAATAAAACTGAAAAACCTAACTTACAGCGTTTTGCACAAGTGTAACAGTTTTAGTGGTGCCTGAAACCATAGCTGACACCAATTGGGGTTTGCCTCCAGCCGTCGTCATCTTGAGCCCGCCTCCTGCTGCCGTGGTGAGCTTCATCCCTTGCGGCAATGTGACGCTGACACCTCCTGGCATGGACCGGGTCACCAGGGTCAGGTTGGACCCTCCTACCGTTGCCAGGAGCGGTTTGTTGGGGGTTGGTGAGACAGCGGTGGTACTACTGACCATCTTCTGGGTGCCTGCAGCAGCCTCAGCGAGAGCTACGATACCGCTCAGGGTGTTCTGCTGCTGGACGCCGGGAGTAGGGAGGGGCTAGCATAAAGATGAACAACAAAAACAAATATCTCTTCATTCCTAACTGCTGTAATTGTTGAGATTCAAGAAGTACATCAACATTATTACCCAATTTTATACTTCTTGCAATGAATTTAAAGATATACATACGTACATGTTTATGACTGTTAGACCTGAAAATAATCTACATCTATAAAGATAATAATGCTACAATTCAATCTGTCTTTAGAATTCAAAGCCTACATTGTAGCTTGAAGTATGTAAAAATATCCTCAATAATTGCAGAAGCGATCATGAATTATTGCTGCCAAATGTAGATAGAAAAAAATGATGCTCCTGTAAAAAACAACACTTAATATTGAAATGAAGGGGGCAGGGGGTCTTATTCATTAATGTTGAGCTATTTGAATACCAAGTGTATTATTTACCTTGCTGAGTTTAAAGAGTGAACTGGCTGCTGAGCCAGCCATCGAGGTTGGACTCTGAATCTTAACTCCTGGAGCTGAAAAAACAAAACAAAAGAATAATATAAATTTGCTACAATGCACAGTACTTTACTCTTAATCTTATCACTGATTTTAGGTACCACCTGCAATGGCCAAATGGTAATTTACAATCTTACCATTTTTTATTTAAAATTTTTTTTTTTTTTGGGTGGGGGGGGGGGGGGGGGCGGGGTACGAAATGGAGAAGATATGTCATTCTTGTATGAAAAATTCTTTAATTTCGGTGATAGAAAAACTCTAAGAATGAAACACATTGGCTGCCTTGAAATCAAGAGAGAATAATAAGATGTCCAATGAGTGGATACAAAAATCTTTCCAATATGTTTCATCGAAGGAATAAAATGCCATGATCCATACTTCACAATGTTGCTTACCGTAGACAAAGATTTTTTCCCATTTTTAAAGCTACTTTGAGGTGTGGAATGGACGCATGTTGGAGGGGGGGGGGGGCACTCAAACTGAGCTCTTCTCCAGATTTTTTTTTTTTTAATGTGATTTAAAAATGTAAGTCAGTACAAATTTGTATATGCATTTTATTTAGAGAGGTAACCAAAACATTTTCATATTCAATGATTGAAAGACAACACTTGATAGAAGAAAAAACATGAAGTCATCTGAAAATGGATAAATAGCACATATCATGCCCTAGGCTTGTAAGAACAAGATAGATAATAACTTAACAAATACATTATGAAATATAATCTAAATACGACATGGTCTATCTTTAAAACAGTAAATATCGTTACGGTTTTCTAATTTCAACAGACCATTACATTTCAGTATCTTACCAGATACAACTACATGTGCATCCTCACAACCATTAACACTACCATGCAGAACTATGAATAACAATGAAAGTATCATTTCCTGATATCCAGGGTACTTCAATTGTCATAACATTGGGCGCCAAGTATTTCACACTTCAACATTGAGCAGGTATGCAAGAACTTTGTTGTTTTTACACATTTTCATCTTCATTACGTAAAAGCAGAAAAAGAAGCTTTCCCTGTTAAAACTCATGCACTGTATTAACAAAGGCTTTTAAGCTTCAATCTGTCATTGACAAGACAAAAAAATTGGCACGACTGCCAAGTGCTTATAACATATTTCATATACACAAAATATCATCAACACATAGCGATTGAAAGGGCGGGACTGCTTTGTGTGTAACCTTGAATGTTTGCCAATAATACAAGGATTGCAGGCATAATCCAAAATCAACAAGCTGTGAAAATAACAAAATAAAAAACCTTCCCCTTTTCAACGACCGCTTGATGCAAAAGGGGATATAATCATCTTTTGAATAGCAATAACTTGTATGAGATCTGATGCACATGACACACATGCAATACTACAAGTCAAATCCACATCCAATGTACCGGTATGCCTGTTATATTTTTGCAATACTTCTTGTCCCATTATTTTGCTCTCGTAATAAATGAGGTGAATGAATTGAAAAGTAATATTCTACAGCAATTAAATGCAACACTTGATGTATGCCTCATATTAAAAGAAATTTCCTTCTGTTAACAAAGAAAAAAGAAAAAAAAGGGTCCTAGAAATAAAGGCTTTAAGCCTTGAAAATATACAGGAAGCACAAGGCTTGCTCTAATTATTGGCAATACCTTGATTTGCTCATTTCATTCACTTTGAAGTGGACTACAATTAATTTTCATAGAAAAGTTGTGTAGTGCTTTAAATATTTTATGGATTGGACAAATACTCACAGGATACAATAACTTTCATTCCGCCCATATCTGACATGAATTCGTTTGTTTGGGGTCAGTTAACAGTGAGCAACATAAATATTGACATAGCTTCCAAGTTTTACAACCTACAATGTACAGCATACTGCAATTATTTGTCCTAAATTTCAATTACTCTATTCAAACAATCCATTAAATAAACAAGCATCAATTTTATTGTCTATTGTTATGATTCACACATGCAGCCATCACATAAACAATTAAAAGAAGCAATGAGGCACTGGCATGAACAAAACGTTTGATTTTAACACAATTTCATCTGATTAGTTTCTATGAATGAATTTAAACATGAAGGAACAATGCAAGCTGAGCATTTGTAAAGGCTGCATAGAATTTGTGACTTTGTTCTGTCATATGGTAAAATCTGTATCCCCTTGCAAACTAACTGTGTTTCAGAAACTTTCTGTAAGCTAATCATTGGCTCATCGCCAAGAATATTCTTTTTCTTTTCTTTTCTTTTTTTTGGTGACCGAACCATACATACATAGTTATTTTGTCTGCAATGGAATGTGGGAGTAGTCCCTGAAAAAAAATTTGCTATCTCCTTGTCAATATGAGTATCAAACTGCAAAAAAAAATAAGTATCTAAAATGGAAACAAATCATGAAAATCAGGGACAGATTTTTGGTGATTTAACAGTTTCCCTCCAAAATGAACATCCAACAACATGCTACGTACAAGCACAATGCGTCGCCATATCACTGTCTTGAGACTGAGAGATATGGTCATTTTCATGCATGCATCCTCTTTGCTCCCTCACTTACTGTGTTTTATCAACTGAATAGGGCAAGAGGCTGAGGAGCCTGGAGCCACCACACGGAACGTGGTGGTTGCTGGAATAAGAATTCAAGATGTTAGTCTCGTTTGGACGGCGTGAATGGCGGATGTTGATTGCTTGACAAGGTGGGAGGGGTTAGTAATGAACATGGATGGCATGCGAGGTTGATCAGTGAGTTTTAATAGGACAGTCTCAACTGATATTTACAGGATGAATTCGTCTGAAGATTTGCTTTCAGCTTTCTGAACAAGTTTCACTGAGGTTCCAATTACAGTTTATTAAAGTACACTAACATTTTATTCAAGGCACGAGGCCAAGGGTATAGCGATCAAATTGATGAGTTTCGAAGGGGAAAAAAGCCTAATGTAACTCTTTACTGATGTATCTGATGTTATTTGTGGTCAGCAAGCCTATCACTCACATCATTAACAAATTACAACATTATCAGAAAACACACACTGAAAAACACACAAGATGCATGAATATCAACTCACTTCACTATTCACAAAGAGCATATTAAGTAATCAAATTCACACGATGGGCTATCAAACGAGTTGAAGTCACACAGCATTAAAAGAGTAACATGAAATCACATTTGAAGATAGAAAATATGTCTAATGAACCCTGATATTAGTAGTATGAATCTTTCATTTGCATTTATGATTAGTTCACCAGCTCTTGCTTTGATTAAAAAAAATCATGACAAAATATTTCTTACACCGACTTTCCGTCTTACCACGTATTTTCAATCCGCATTTTTACAAATTCAGATTCAGTCTCATTTAAAAAGGACATAACCGCAGTGATTTGGATGCTTCCTGTATGTAAACTGTTTACCTTGTGCTTTGATTGGTGACTGGAGTGGCTTGGTGGAAGCAGCGCCACCCACAGAGGATAAGGCTGCACTTGAGGTAGGGGGCATGTCATACTTCTGCAGCTGTAGTAAATAGGCATCGGCTGCAATACAAACATTCACAAGAAACATGATAGGCTCACACAACGAAAAATACGAGGTTCAAAAGAATTCATCCAACAGAATTATACAATTTTCGTACAATGAGCTCTGTCTTCAAATTATCTGTAAACAATCCAGGATTATCTCTTGTTTATAGTTTTTCATAATCTGCATTTTCTTTTTTTTATATTTGTTTGCCTCATTTTCAAAAAAAAAATTACTTCCAGAAATGAGTCATGAATGCATTGATTGTAGATGAATAAAATGCAAGAATCAATTAAATACCCTTCTTAATAAACATAAAGAAGTCACTTCCATCATTTCATATAGTATTTGTCAACAAGCAACCCTGCATTATGCACAATACATCCCCTAGAAATATCTCCAACATTCAAACATTAAAGTAGGATATACTTGAGGATGCTTGCAGTGGTGTACGGAAGAAAGTTAATATAGTACCATGACAATTCTAGAAATGGAGTTGACTTAATCCTTTTCATAATACATATGAATAAATACAAATGTATAGCTTCCTCTTTTCATTCTTTCAACAAACAGGTTTTTACTTGTTCTGCAATGTCATAAATACAAACCTGTGGCTACAGCACCCCATGATACTTCCAGCGTGGTGGTGCTGGCTCGGACTAGCTGGACCCTGCCTGGGGCCATGGGCTTCTCAGTCTCCAAGAACCAAAGGTCTTTGCAGCACACCTGCAAGAAAAGCAACAAATCTCTTTAAAGTAATTGAATGAAACAATCGATTTAAAGCATGGTACTTGGTGACAAGTTTAGGATACCGGTAGTCTTTTAATGCGCTAAACCTAGACATCATATACCAAAGACGTTGCTATAGTTTGTAATCTTTAATTTCAGCATTCCAAATCATAATTCTACACATAAAACTCAGGAACAACTGCAAACTAACTCGACATCAACTCTAAACCCAAAGATTCTTGATCATTCGCGATAATGGAATCCTTTGTTCGGTCTGCTGCCTGCATCGCTAATGGGATTGGAGTATTGATAAACTACTATAATTTTACCCTTGTATAGCCAGACTATGAAGCAATATAACAACCATGTTCATTGGTGATAACTTTATGGTAATATCATTCCTTGTCATTAAGGAATAAATCACAAATAAGTATATTTCTGAGCACTACAAGACTTACCTGGTTATTCCAAGCCTTGCGATATCCGTCCCTTCCACTCCATACGTAGAGTCTGGTATGGATAGCAACAGAGCAATGCCCAGCTCTGGCTCTAGGTACAGCCTCTTCAAACACCTCCATCGCCAGTGGCTCCCATGTGTGGGTTGCTAGTGGGATAAATTATCATGAGCGAAATAAAATGAGGAGTGTAAAATCAAAACTGAAAAAATGAAGCGATAGACTGGATATTAACTTTTGCCAGGTTATATTTCAACATTTTACAAGTCCAAAGAGAAACTTAGGGAGTCAGTATGCAACAGACCGTTTAGACTAGACAACATGTCATTTGCTTGCTTTTCTATCACAAATCCTCCTCTCAATAGCTTCTTCTAAACAGTACAGATATTGTCTGTCTTAATCTCCATCACACTCTCCTCCCTCCATCTTATTTCCCTTTCTTTTTGAGATCTTCCTAATTTTCTTTGTGTCTCTTGTTTGAATATTTATATCTATATACAGTCAAACCTGGTTTAGTGACCACGGTCAGACCACAACACATTTTTTGTTTCCCTTGGGTGGTCGCTGTAGACAGGTTTGACTACATACCATTGCAGTCTGTGAGTCTCTTGTTACTTTTTTGCACTCAATATAAATACTTTCACACAGAACATATGTCCACTATGATTGCAAACTTTTGATTATTTAAAACTTTTTACTGTGAGATTTTAAAAACTACACTTCTTCCATACACGATTAATTGCTCCATTTTGTATGTTCTACATATGTATCTTACTCCTTTTTTTTTTTTTACATTAAAAAATAAACAGATTTTTTACCCAATACCCCATTCCAGATACTGAACATAAACAAACCACATCCTGCAGTCATTAACCAATTAAGGGGTACATGATAACTTTGTTATGTCTTGTATGACTTAAAGGGTAGCCACTTGGACAGCCAGAAACGTATGCGAATTACACAAATTTACTCCTATGTTATTTGAGGTTCAATTAATTTATTTCACGAATCTCAATCACTTGCAATATCAAGAGCAATTCTTGCACTAAAAAAAGGTTTCTGATTTTACAGCAGTTAGAATCTAAAAATTAAAATAATTCAAAACTGTTGTGAATTTTTGAAAAATACGAGCAAAAGAGGAGTGAGTCAAGTGTTTTGAAGGAAGTCAGGATGGATGAGTCATAAGGAAATGGGACCCTTCCATTTCTTGATAACAACTATGGTATAGAGGGAGGAAGAAGAATTGAGAGATAGGAATTAGGAGATTGAGAGACAAAGAGAGGGTGAGGATAGAGAGAGAGAGAGACAGAGAGAGACAGAGAGAGACAGAGATACACAGAGAGAGAGAGAGGGGGGGGGGGGGAAAGAAAGATAGAGAGAAAAGAAAGGAGGGAAAAGGAGGGAAAAGGAAGACACATAATTATGAAATTGATAAAGAGAGGATAAAATACAAGCAAACAAATAGCTATTACAAAGAGAAAGATGAGGTGGGACAAAATATATTATAAAAACCTTTGATCAAAAAAACAAAACAAATTTGAAAGAGGGGGAAACTACTACAACTATGGAAAAGAAATTACTAATGTAAACATTTTTGACATGCAATTTAAAAAAGGTATCATTAACAATAATCATATAAGTACATGTAATTATGAGGGTGCAAATTTGGTTGCGCTTGTGTGTGTTATTAATACATCAACACCACTTGACACACACAAACACACATACAAATTAGATTAGGGTAACCGGTAACCCTGGGCAACTATTGGCATGACAGTGGGCGGATTCCCAGCATGCATAGAGCTAGCCACGCCCCTCCGTGTAAATCCCTGATAAGGAACTGTGAGGCGACTTGGCAAAGGATGTGTTCCTATGACATCGATGATCCAACCAGACATGTTAACCCGCGATTCGCTTGGCTTACGCTAGTACTACGGGGGTGGACTACGCCAATGCTGAATATTTTGCTTCCCCTCAAGCACATTCCTCACAGCTGTTAATACTTAATTTTCAGTGATGGGTGAAAGGGACAATCATGGGAACAATGTATTTGTCTAACATCCAGACAATCAAATCATGCAATATAATTCCTATCTACCTACATATATGGCGGGCTAAAATTTATCAGAAATATAATTTTGCAGGCGACAGAAATTTCAGGAAAGATACAAGTAATTCTTGTTTGACCCATACTACATGTACACATTTCAATTTCTTCACTCATAAGTTCTTTAGTGTCAATAAGTTATTAAAATAAACAAGAGTCTACTACACATATGAATTAATAGTAAACATGTGCATTAAAAGAGATTGATGCCTGCAATTTCACTCACTTATTTTTCATTGATAATATTGCACTTATCCTATTTCCTGCAAATAATCCCTTATGAAATCAATGCTGCTCATACGACTACCTAAATTAATAACTTCCTAATTGCTTCAGTATCAAGCTCTTTCAAAGGGATTTACACTTAGCACAGTTCTTTACCAGTGCACTGTCATTTGCAATGATGTGCGCTATACATCAACCCCACAATGCATATCCTGTATTCCCCATTTCCTAACCACAATCGTTTTGCTTGTGTTTATATCGAAATCCTTTCAGTGCCTAAATGTATTTGACCTATGACTTTTTCCAAATGCTGTGAAAAGTTGTGACTAACAGAAAATATAATACTTCCATACATTTTGTTCTGTTCTAAAAAAATTGTGATTGTAAGTGACAATTTGTTTATATTGAAGAATACTTGTATTTCTAAGTATAATCATTATCATTATGTTTATTATTATTATCGTTATTTTATTATTATTATTATCATTATCATATTAATTAATTATTATCATTATTATTATTATTATTGTTTTTATTTTGTATGATTATTATTATTGTTATTATTATTATTATTACCATCATTACCATTATCATTATCATCATTACCATTATCATTATCATCATTATTATATTCTAACCCTCTGACCTTTGACCTGTGGAATATGTTTATCCATTCTTGCTTGTACATATTGTGTTAAGGGTATCTATTATCAAGTCTTACATTACGAAATGATTCCTGAGATTTCTTACACTCACATGACCTATGACCTCTTGCGTTAAAATAATCTGAGCAGTTCATTTTTTAATGTTTACATATATTTAGGCTAAAAGTGTTGTCACTATTGCCTCATCAGTTCTCAAGTTATTGTAATAAGATAACGACATCTGAGGTTTTCACAATTGTATGACCCTGTGACCTTTGACCTCAATTTTAATCAGTTCATTAAATTCATGTCATCAAACTTACACATAATTCAGTTCGGTTAAATTTGTCTTAATTATTCTTGTTTGTTTTGGTTTGTTCACAAGTTTTCATTGACAACAGACAAAAAAATAAAGAGAATTACACAAGGCCTATGAAATCGTAGCAGTAACTGGTACATCATCAGGGCTGGCAGCTGTTAAATGTTGTGTAAAAAATACTGATTCTATCCAAATTCATTACTTTACTGGTGTAGAAAACCTTTCACCAATATATGACCTCTGACCTTTGACCCTGAAATGTAATCAATAAGTGTCCTTTGAGTGACTGCATATTCAATGCCAACTTAAATTGATAGACAAACACAACTTTACACTCCCCTAACATTTCTTGAGGAATCAAACTATCATTTCTTTGATTTGAACAATGACCTTTACCCTTGAAGTTTAACCCTGTAACAAAATAAACATTCTAATCAAAATCTGATAACTTGATTAAATTTCTTTGTGTATGAAAAAAAGGAGACACATAGGAATACAAAGAAGTAACGCCAAAGTCCTTTTATCATTCTCAGTTATGTTTACATTCTTTTTCCATTAACTTCATCATAAATGTGTCATAGATTTGAAAGGTATATAATTACACAACTGAGGGTCCTGCACCTTTCATTCCATCATGCACCTTCTTACCTAGATTGAGAGAAGCCAGTGTGTTTGTACACTTCCATTCCTTTTCATGAGCTGCTACTTTGACATCATCCATCACAAGAGGTACCCAGCCACCAAACACAAACATTCTAAGATGAGAAGAAAGTCAAGTTTGCAATAATTAATATCTTTCCTGTGTTTATAATATACTGATGTATTAAACGATATGATGCCTGTGTATATTCCCTCTATCCACACGTTTTCATACAGGAAGGATGCATGTATAGCTTGTCATTAATCCCATATCCATTTTCTGTTTTTCTTCCTTTTCTTTTCTTTCATTCAGCTCATCCTTCACAACTATTCCTCTTCAACCAATATTTATTCACTTACTGAAATTATTGGCTGCCCGACAGATACTGACTGACAGATCACAACCAATTTCAACCAGGTGATCCTCCCATCTTTACACTTACTTGAGCCAAGTTGGACTAGCATCACTGTAACAATTCTTGTAATAACAAGACTTTAGAAGAAGAAGAAAAATTCCCAATTTGACTGAATATCTTTCACCTCTTGTTGACATTTAATTTTAAAAAAACATCACAAGGAATCATCTAACTTAATCAAAAAAGGAAGAGATTTTATCAAAGCCAATGTAATGGCTTGAGTAAAAGAAAATCTCTTTTTATCTATACTTAAATATATCAAAACCAAATAGAAATAGTTTAAAGTTAAGGCTGTAGTATAAACTATACATTTTAAAGAACAAGGCAAGCATGAAAACATTTGAATTTGCCGGGCTTGATCATTACATTTGATATCATAATCTTTCCAGTTCAGTAATCTATGCTCTGCCAAGTTCGATGAAAATTCTTTTCAACTTTCCAATCCCAGAACTATAAACACACTTTTAAAACTTGAAGGTTTAATTGATGATAGCAAATACAACCAATGAAATGAAATTATTCTCTACCTATTTCCGATGACAGTGGCAGAGTGCAAGCTTCTTGGTAGTGGGTTGGGTCCATTGAGTTCAGGTTTGATCCATGTATGTGTATCTGTATTAGTCATGAAGAAAATATAATTGATAAAGTATACTCGATGGGAAAAAAAAAGACACAACTTCAATTATCTATATTCAATTGGTACATTGTTAGGAGGGATTACATTTTAAGAGGAACACAAATGACTCTCTGGAAACAACAACATTCAAATCCTAATGAAAAATACAATTAAAAATGTCTGTATTCTGTACAGCCAATCCATAATTTACAATATCATAAGTTAAGTTTCCCAAATCACGCTACTTACCCATGTTGAGTTGCCAAAGGTCACCGAGCCGACAACCGCTCATACCACCATATACAATGAGTCGATTAAAGGAGCCATCCTTTGGAGCATAACCTACGACGGTATGTGATTCTCTAGGTGGAGGGGCAGGTCCTGTGGTTAGGGGTATGTCCCATATCATGTTCGAGTAGCCTGATCTCAGCTCCAGTGAGTAGAGATCATTGAGATACCTGCATATATATAAAAAAAAAAAGCAATCAAAATGAAAGAACATTGAATGATAAAGTTGATATGGTTTACTAATTTACTTTAATACCCATTTGAAATTTACAGTCAATTGGTGCATTACCAAGGTGACAAAATGAAACTGAAATTTTATTTCAATGGAAGTAGGATGCAGAAACATTAAACTTTATCTCCCACAAGATGAGATTCTAACACTGTTTTCAGCACTAACCTTGGTATATTATTCTTTGGATCATCACTATCATTGGCAAGTCCTCCAAAGAGATATGCTTTACTCCCAAGCATGGTGAACGTGTGACCAAGTCGAGGGCATGGGGGTGGTGCATTCTTAGCAGTCTTAGGCTTGAGTCGTTTCCATTCCCATCTACTGGCTTGCAGTTCATATAGCTCGTTGGAGTACTTCCCATACTCCACCATTCCTCCAAATATGAAGAGACGGGTGCCATCACTGACAAAGCCATAAGCTGCACAGCCTGGGGGTATATCCCCTCTCACTGCTGGGACAAACCACTGGTTGGTAGCTGTATATGATAGAAACACAAAAAACTTATTATGTCACTGTACTATTCCATCTTCTTGCAATATTTATATCAACATTCAAATAGACCTATGTGTGCATGTACATTGTCATTCTAGTCATCAACTAGAAGAATAACGGAAAGTTGGACAAAGATAAATAGAGGATTCTGGGAATTTTATTTATCAGCAAAAAATTTAAAAAGATAGATATTTGGTGCAATTTATGTCTAATGTTAAACCAAGACTGATCCAATAATAAATAAACTAAAAAGGAAAGACTGATTTTTGGTAATTTTATGGAATTCCACCAGATACAAATGCTTTTCATATGTAGCAGACAATTGTTAGCATATTATAGCAGACAACTGAATAGGAATCAAGATGAAATTTTAATTTGAGATGAAAAGACTATTGATGAAGGAAGATGTGACTTTGTTTGATGATATTGAAGTACAAATGCATCCAATGTGATAACCTTTTACTACTTTACAATTTATAATTTTTATTTTTTAGTCTCTTCATTTTTACAGAGGGGTTCTTGCAATTATTACTTTAGAATTTCATTAATGACCTGCAAAACTCAAACACTACCAATAGATTACAGGGTTACCATTATTTTATGTAACAAAGCTTTTTTCCCCTGATTTTTCTCTGAAAGAGTTTGAAAATCTAAGATCATTAAACTTTATACTGGAGATATTTTACCCACTAAAAATCATTCAAAATAGATTAGATCTAGATATGAGAGCCTTACTACTTACTAGGATCTACATTTCTTTTGTGGGAAGGGGGGGGGGGGGTGGAGGGGCAATAAAATTCCTATCTTTTCCCTGGTTTGAGGAATTTTTCTCAAATTCCCTAACTTTTTGGAAAGGGGCTCCAGATTCAGATTTTTTAATTTAATAAAGAGCAAGACTAGATCTATGATAGGCCAAGAATGACTGTAATGTTTTATTAATGTTTTGGAGTTCCAGACTGAAAATTTGGGTGCCTATATATTCAGAGTTTCACATAAAGTCAAATTCAGTACAATTTACAAGGGAACCTGAAATCCAGGCTGATTTAATTTAATTTTCAATTCCCCAGGCTCAATTTTTATTTTCATGAAAAACTGCATAAAAATGTTATTGAAGGCCTACAGTCTGATAATGAATAACATAATAAATAACATCAAACAGTGCGTACACACAGACCACAGTACTTCGTCAAGGGTAAACTCATAACGATTTGCATTCACAACTGGTCAACTTTAATTTTATGAAAATTTAGTGGCGCCAGAGCAGTGGCTGCCATTTCAATGATAAACAATGTAGGCCGCCATCTTGAATTTTACCAATGTTCTACGAAAAACGAGAAATTAAATGGATAATAACATCAGAAGAATATCTTACTCAAGATTTACATAAAAATGTAATTTTTCTGCGGAAACATACCACGAAGAACAAAAATCATGCACGAGAAAGTGAAAGAAACGGGTCAGTTTGGAATGACAACAATGGGGCGCCATTTTGAATGGGCCCGTACTCGACCAAAAATTCAACATCACCTGTATTGTAAACATGAAGTTCATCCACGATCCCCTCATTCCCACCGCCGAAGACTACCATAAGGTCTTTGATTGCGACGGCTCGATGTCCATGGCGAGGTCGGGGGCTTGGACCAGTCGTATTTGTCACACGCTTCCATTTTAGTATGGGAGCCGCCATTTTGTCTCTTACCCACAATGCAATGTACCAAGCAGCTGAAAAATATTGACGAAACCCGGATATAAAAAGTACATTGTAATTTAGAAAAAAATATACATTGTTAAAAAATCGTTATTATATTTATATATAAATAAATAAATACTATTTATATATTTAAATATATTTTGTATTATTCAAATTATGAAAAAAGTATATCTTATAATTCTCTTCTCTTGGATATTCAAATACATATTTCACAATTATCACCATAAATCGAAATCATATTCGTGCATTTTCAAATCTAGCATATTCAAATGTGAGAATGCCTCTTTATCTGTAAATAATGCTCTTATTATAGATAATAAATTAAAATAAAATACTCAATTCAATAATAGTATGCGGTAGACGAGGGGAATCAGAAGAGAGTTGGAACTTTATTCCTATTGCGGATGTCTCTAACCGGTTTTCTAAGAAGCTGCTGAATATTCATATATCTCCCAGCGTTTTTACTTTGGTGATTGGTCAAATAAGGGAGGTGCGGTGGAGAAGAAGGAAAGTAGGCAATCAAAATAGGGAGTTTGGTTCAGCGTTACTCAGAACTGCCGAAGTTGAACCCACATTGCCAGATACAGAGAAATGCATTCAGGGAGTATGGCATTAATGTGGCTCAACTTTTAACGTAATGTATATAGTGTAGGAAAAGAAGAATTAGACAAACAATAACAGCCAAAGATCTAACAAAAGCTTCACGATCACAGGGGAAGAGTGGAGATGGGCGTGGTCAGCTTACGGAGTTTGTGCGTGGCATCCATTTTCGTTACGGTATGATAGTCCCGATGATAGTGAACTCCATTGAGTCCTCTTTGGTCACATATCAAGCAAAAGTGATCAAACAAGATACAGTTAATATTCACTTGGTTTTATGCCAAGTATACACAGTTTTCTACACGCACTGGATACAGAAGGGGGTTGCGGACAGTTCCACAGAATGTTCCACGACCAAAAATAAAGAAGAAAATGATACTTGATAGAAAGGGGGGAAAAGCAGAAGGACTTTGTGTACTTTTCACGTCTGTCACATTATTTTGTAATGACTCTATTTTTACATTTAAGGTTACATATATCTAAGTATATACCGTCAAACCAGTTTTTTTTTTCCTTCCCCTTTGTATTTAGGACCTTTAGGAAGATCCTTGCAAAAACGATTGGTAATTCGGTTTGATTTGGTTTGATTTTCCGTATAAAAGAACCATGGTAGGCCTACATAGGCCTACACTGATTTTCTTTTCTTCAAAGAATACGACCACTTGATTCAAAGCTGATGAATATCATAATAAATGGCCTTAATTGTTCTCCTTAGAGATTCAGAAAGAAGTTAGGAAAGAAAGAAGAGCCGACAAGAAGAAAGATTGAAAAAAAGATACCAACGATTTAAACCGTATGAATAAATTGGCAGTGTCAGTCGTTTTGAAAACAAGCGCGGCATTATCGGCCTAAATAGGTGTAGGCCTACTTAGAAAATATAGGATTTCCCAGCGAAATTCGCGAATTTAATTGTCATTCAAATTCATTTACTTTGCATTTAAGTTATAGCGCAGATCGGCTTTGCCATGCCAATTATCATTCAATTTTCCCGTTTTGGTATTCAATTTAGGATTTTGGTCGAAGGGTTTCATATGGATCTGTCATTTAATTTAGAAACTGCTCAACCTGAGCATTCACTTGTCAACCGGTCATTTTTATCATTCAAATTAACACCTGTCATTCGTATGCGAATTATGTTTATTCAAGTTAGGAATGTGAGGGGGAAGAAATGCAACACACGTTCAGTACAGTAAAATGCATGATTTGCCATTAGGGTCTTTTCTGTTATTCCATTTATTAATTTTGAGAACAATGCATACGGGTGTAGTCAGACATTAGGTATAGGCCTAAAGAAGGGGCGAAATCAAGAGATATGGCATTTCTGCACGGACATGTTCATAAAAGTACCCCGGAAAAGTGGGGATACAAAAATACCTACCCCAGTCACAGTATTGTACCCTTTCTCCATAATGAAATTGTGATAAATTTATGATGAAACACAAGACAAACAACTTCCTTACATGAAAATTTACAAAAATATTGATAAATGTATTTTTTTTCTTCTTAACAATCAAACTTAAAAGATGATGAATATAAGATAAATCTATAAGTATATAAAGTGTATAAATGCAAGAAAATAACATGTGATGAAATACACATGGACAAAAACAATCTTGAAAGAAAAAGTGTGTAATGAACGAGAACTATATATTGACCATCACTAAGTGCACACTGTGCTAATGCTACAAATAAATCGAATGCTAAAAGTAGACCTTCGCGATGTCAGAAATCGTGCGCCAAATCGAATGACCAAATAGCAAAAGAAACACATTATTCATTAATTTGAATGAAACATACATGAATTCTAACGAATAGGTTCTACTTCATAGATTTGAAAACTAGAAAAAGGAATATAAACCCAAATATATCTGACAGCACTAAAACCGTCGAATTTGAACGCAAGACAAATTAATTTAAATGACTAGCAAATTTGGCCGGAAAATATATTCAATGATGGCGAAACAAATTTGACGACCCCCCCCCCCCCCCCTGCACTCGATGAGTGTTATTTCATATAAAATAAGACGGTAAAACTAATACCTCATAATATGAGGTATTAGTTTTATTTCTTTGTTTCATATTATGAAACAAAGAAATATCGATCTGTAGGTAAATGATAGGATTTTATAGTTAGGCCGGGGCCGGGGATCCGGGAAATGGGAAAATAACTATAATGCGTATCAAAATGACAAGTAAAAGTTTAAGCACAGACACTATGAACATAACTGACAAAGAAAGCGGACAAAATAAAGGAACGTCCCTTCACTGCTATTATGTAAAAAGGTGAATATGCATGTTTACATAATAGCAATGAAGGGCCTTGTTCCTTTGTCTACCTGAGGAACTGTATATTTTGTCCGCTTTCTTTGTCAGCCATATTCATAGTGAGATAGAATGGGCATTCCTTCTTAAATTTTGATATACTGTGTTTTCATATGTGCTAATAATATTTCTGAATATACAAATAAAATGGGGGATTTCCTTCTGAATTTACATACGGGCATGTTTATCTCGATTTTGTCATCTGTAGACATACTATAGAACACATTGCCATCGTTAATTTCGAGTTAATTAGGCCTTGTCGTTGAAGAAAAAAGGGTCTTGAAAACCCGCGGAGCGCTGGCCGAGGACCATAGCGAAAATATACAAAGCACGGCGCTCCAGCCTTCTCAGATATCAGCCCAAACGTCCCTGGATAAAGTCCGGGGATAAAGTCAGCAAGACTACCTACATGTACTCAATAGCAAGTTTCGATGCGCGGCCGGTCATCAACGAACAAACGATACAACGCGCGGCTAATTCAAGTTGATGGATCCGTTTCGTTTTGTCAGTTAGGAGGGATTTGAGTACAGCTATGGAGCGTGATAAACAAGATGTCCAGTCGGTCACCTCGGAAAAAACACAAAGTGCAAATGTTATTCGAGGCACAGATAGGAGTAACACAGTTTCGAAATTATTTGGCTTCGGAAAAGTGAGTAAATTTGAGAGTTCTTTTGTAAACATTCAGCCTTGCTATGTCCCATCTATTGAAATTTGTGTAGGGTCTGTGAATATTCAACTGGATGCTTAAGTTAGACTAGTTCTGTGACGGTTCTGTTCAGAGTCGCGGTATGGGCATAGGTCTACCGTTGTTGTCAGATGTTAGTTACTTTTATATACGTTTAAGTGATGCATCAAATTACAGGTAATTAGATTAGAGGAAAACAAAATGACTGGTGAGTTTTACCACAAAGAAAGCATCAGAGTCGAGAGTCACAGACCGAAAATTTCTGATCAATGCTATTAAACGCGTATTAGCGCTGCAGTACGTGTAGAGGTAGCAAATGCACACATAATTTAAATAGTCAATACACTTATTGCACACAATGAAGATGATGTGGCTGATTGGCAAGTTTGACAGTAGACTTACAATTTGAATTTTTAAATTATTCTTTCTAACATCAGTAAGTTGAAAAAAATTGTATTTTACTGCTATTCAGGTGTCATCAATTGTCACTTAACTTAAGTACTGATTCTAAGTGAAATCAGTTGAGTTTTGTACAGTGGTGTTTGAAATGTTGAGAATCAATAGCACAGCTTTTACATGGCCAGGATAGTAATGCAGCTATGTGAGGAGCTTTACAATATATACTCATGTATACAAATGCATTAAAATATCTGACAGTGATCATGAATCATTCATTCAATGTAATGTATATGAGTTTTTTTTATGACCATCTCCTTTTTTCTTTCTGTTCTAACATATCCTAATTAATTCCTATTACTTGTCTCTTTGTTTTATTTCAAGGCCCTCATTAACAGGTTCTTTGGATGAAAGAATACCAACAGTAATTTCATTGAGGCCACCTTTTATTGTGAAAGAGAATATGAAAGATTTATTATGATTTAACCATGCAAACATCCCAATCATCATTTATTATCACTACTATGTATTTCTGTTGATTGCAAAACAGACTGAATATTCTAAGGAAGAGCACTGGGCGATTCAAGCAGCCCTAAGGCAACGTCTAGGACCAGATTTTGTCAGTCAGAGAGCTGGTGCTGGTGGGCAGAAGGTAAAAGACAAGTAACATTTGTATGTAAGCAAATCATTAATTATCATGTATCCTTCTAATAGGTCCATTATTATTACAATTCAACACATTTTAAAATAATGGTCTGCATATATATATATATGGGAAAAATGTCCCCCCCCCCCCCCCCTCTCTCTCTCACCCTCTATCTCTCTCTCTCTCTCTCTCTCTCTATCTCTCTCTAGTTAACTGAACTGTTAACTATGTAATTTTACAACTTAATATAACTCTATCTATTATACTTATAGTGGTAAATATTGATATGGAAATGAAATGGGAACAATATCCTGCAGAGTTCTGAAGTCAGTTTAAGTTTAGCAATGGAAAATCGTTGATAGTATGACCAAGTTCCAATAAATAGAATAAAATGAAAGTTATTTTCGCCTTTTTATGTTATATACTTGTTGAATAGATAATGAGAAAAATACTTTTTCCTATGTTGCTAGTAAACTTGCTAGTAATTGTCAAAGTTTACATATTCATCAAAAAGTAATCATGAAGCTTACTATCAAAGCAAGGATAAAATCTAATACCCCTAGTTGCAGTATTCTTGTTCATATTATAATGTACACAAATTGTACATTGTTAAATATTCATTGTTTGATAGCTATTAATGATTATGATAATAATAATAATAATAATAATGATAGTATAATGATGATGATGATGATGATGATGATGATTACAATGATAATGATATTCCCTTCTTGTATAGCGCCTATCACTTTATGATATAACATCTCTATGCACTTCAAAAGGACTTTAGATGTTATTACCCCAGCTTTAGCACCGGCAATGAATCCTGTCTTGTTTTCCCAGAGTAGCCTCATCAGTATCAATACTGTTCTCCCTGAGCTATTCAATATTTCCCCTTTCTTAAACTCACTCTCTCTCCTCTCTTACCTTTTGCTAATATTTGTCTAGTTGGCCTACATTGAAGGATGGCGTTTAATCAACCTAGCCAACGAGACTTTTGGCTTTAATGGCTGGTCACATTCGATCACCAATCAGACAATAGGTAAGATGTGGTTCATACTATCTATTCAGGATGAAGTCCCTCAGATAGGATGTTGAATGGAGCCAATATGTGGCTGTACCCATGCTTGCATGATACATACATGTACATGTACAGAGATGCCAACTAGTACCAGATGCCAACAATATGAAACGCGTAGAAACATGCACACGTAAACCCCCCAAAACCCAGAAAAAATGTTGAACAACGAGCCTACATGGGCGGGAAATACGCAGAATCGGTAGCTTTACAATTTACTCATTAAATGTTAATGAAATAGCAAACATTTTACTTGCCCGTTCTTACCAGTAAAACTTATTTTCTGACATTTTACTGTCCCAGAGCCAATGGGCCAGTGGTATAGTGTTGAGTTTTCATGAAAATCCGATTTTGGGGGATACTCAGTTGTTGTTTTTTGTGTCAAGAGGTTGGCATCTCTGCATGTATGTGCATTGCAGAATCACTGCCGATCAGGCCCAACTATACACCGTCTTTAAAAGTAATAGTTCTGAAATTAGAAGTGCGTTTGAGAGAGAAACTTTCTTCAGTATTCATTATGCAGTAATTGGTTATTCAGAACAACAAAATATGAAAGAAAACTTGCTGGAAGTCACTCTGAAAAGCAATTACCTTTGATATGCTCATTAGGGTGGATGTGTTGAAACACTATTATTTGTGTCATGAGGAGGCTGTATGTGTTGCTGACATCTTTGCATTGTTTGGCGTTCAACAATAAGGGATAGAGCAACATCGATCTGGCGCTGCTCAGTGGCTGCCGGGCTCAGAATTTCCATTTTCGGTTTAATACAATTTGGAGTGGACTTTAAAAGATTATTATTATGATTATTATTGTTTTCTCTATCTCCTTGTGCAGATTTTGTAGACCATGTAGGAGGGAGGTTCTACGTGGGTGTGAGTGCTATCATTAGAGTAGAGCTCAAGGTAAATTTGATCTATAGAATTCTGTCTTACTTAGATATAAGTTTAGATTTCTCTAATCAATCACAGCCACTTTGTAAGTTGACATATATTCTGTGGAGTTGTTTAAAGACTGTCACTACTACTGGGCCAGGAGGGATTAGACCACACAGCGAGGTCACTGACAGGTGGCTATCTCATCAACTCAGCTCTCAACTGATAAGAAAAAGAGGATCATGGGGGACCAACAGGCATTGATTGGGGAAGTTTTCTATATAGAGGGAGCAAGTAGCTACAAGTAGGACAGTGGAGCTTTAATTAAAGAATCCTGGGGGGTGTTTCACAAAGACTAAGATCAACTTTAAGTTGGACTTAACTATGATAGGCCATTCATGCCACTGGTTGCTCTCACTTTGATTATGATCTATGAACTATGATCTTTGGATAATATTTTTTCCCTCAATAATGAACTATCGAAAAATGTAAATTCTTTAGATTTGTGACCATGATTTATACGTCCCTTGAGAGACCAATGCCAGTAAATGTTGAGAGCAAACAGTGGCATGAACAGCCTGCCATAGTTAAGTCCAACTTAAAGTCGATCTTAGTCTTTGTGAAACATCCCCCTGGTACACTCCTACAAAGGAATATATTTTATGTAAATTTTGTTGAAAATATGCCAACTGGGGTGGCAGTTTTAGTTTTAACCTGCATCAAAATAGATGGTTGTTTATAATTCTGTAGTAACATTTAATTGCCTAATTTTATGCCAATCAGTCTGAATCTGTTTATGATCTGTGATTAACAAATTTCTAGAAGAAAAACTAACGTCCAGGCAAGATTAATATTATAATACATACATTTATAATTTAGGTAGATAGAGACAGTCAGTTTTCCCTACCGGTATATCGTTTTACCTTTTTGTCAGCAACTATTACTTCATCGATTTTGGTTGATTGATTACAAGACAAAAATTGCTAGTGTTTCTGAAAAGAAAGTATACCACTAAAAGGGATGCAGAAATGCATTCTTGTACCACAAAATGTCTATTAGTGATATGAATTACCTTTTTTTCTTCTTCATTTCTGTTGTTTTACAGGATGGTGTTTATCATGAAGACTTAGGCTATGGTGTCAGTGAGGGAATGAAATCAAAGGCATTGGCGCTGGAGAAAGCTCGTAAAGAAGCTGTTACCGATGGACTCAAGAGGTCTCTCAAGTAAGCATTGCCACAATTTAAGACAGATATAATCTGTTTGGAGAACGAAGGCCGCTAACTCGTATGCTTTTACCCTGGCTCTGAACAGACAATATTCTGATTACCAATGGAAGTCCCAACAAACTATTTAGTACCCCGATGATATTTTGGAAAGTTTCACTGCACATTTAAAAGTGTGATTTGTGTTATCACGCTTATATATGAGATGATGCGGTGGTTAGTAGGATAGCTTTGTTGCTATTAAATGTTGTATCAGTATAGTTTTATATGACAAGAAATTCTTTGCTTTGAAACCTTTGCCTGTTTCAAAATTATAGAATGACCATGATATGGTTTTATCAGTCATCTGGGGTGGAACAAACTAATTGTCTTGATAATCAATCATTGAAATGCTTTCATGTTTGCTGATGATTTATTGCACCTATTTCTTTCTTTCAGGAGCTTTGGAAATTGCTTAGGGAACTGTCTGAATGACAAGACATATCTACGATCAATTGGAAAAGCACCCAAAAAAGTAAGTACATTGATAGCATGAATTGATCAAATGGCTCTTCTATGTTAACTAATACAATCTGTAAAGAGCAAGGCATAAATTGTGTGTATACATTTAGGTCTGATAGCTATATAATGGAGAGTGAAGAACATATTTTCATTGTATTATTTATTGATAAGTTAGATAATAGAAATATGTGTGTGAGATGAAATTTATTCTTCAATGTTTATATCTGATGATATGTTTCTCCCTTATCATGTAGCAAGAAACTCTACATGACATTGTCACAATGAAGAAGACAGACATAGACAGCGATGTACTGAAAGCTCGGTATGAACGTCCTGTTAACCATTCACCATCAAATCACCCGGCCTTTGCCCAAGGGGGTTCAGGAACCGGGCCGCAGTTTACCCCTCCTATGCCTGTCCAGCAATCAAGAAGCTCAAGGCCTGTTTCCACGTTAGCTGCATCAAGTGCTTCTACCCCTGGTAGCAGTGTGAACAGGACGCCATCAGGTGCAGGGATCCCTAATAGTTCATCAGTGATGAATAGAAAGACTGGTAATCAAACAGGAAGCCCCGTTATGGGTGTAGCTGGAGGCATGGAGACTCCACGACATGATGGGAGAAAGGGTAACCTGCAACAATCAGTAGATGCCTCTCCAATGTGTGTACTGGCCAATGTCATTATGGATGAAAAGTGAGAATGATTTCTTCAGTAGTTGATAAACCAAAAAGATCATTTACCAACTGAGAAATAATCAGGATCATGCCTTCACTTTTCTTGTGTCCTGTGTTTAATAATCCTATACATATACATATATTTATGTACCGACTAGGACTGACAGGTCGGCAAATCCAGTCTTTATTCTTTCATTTGTCTTGCTAAATAAAATTAAACACCATTACTGAAGATAAGTTTATTATTGGGAAAAAAAGTCTGTTCACTTGCAAAATAAATGACTGTGAAGGTAACTGGAGAAAATCCTTGAAGATTGAAAGATTCTAAAAAACTGGAAACTTTTGCTCATGAAATGTTTGCCAATTTTGTGAGAGATTCAGATTTGCAAAAAAACCATGCACAAAATAATTGCATTACAACTATTAAACTCAACACAATTTTTGCCTGCGATCGTGAAAGTTTTCTTGCTGTAAAGATCGCTCTCATTTAATATAGCGTGAAAGTTTCTGGTTACCGTATACAGTTGATAGGCTTTTTGTTGTTTTCATGCGCATGGCTATATCCTTTCATGTTCCCATCCTAGGAAGTCTTCTCCCGAGGGTGCCACCCCTATGAACATAGATGACCAACTGAAACTGAGAAAGCTGAGGCAACAACAGAAGCAACAGGAGTTCAGGGAGCAGCTCAAACGTAAACAGCAGCAGGGCCAACAAACATCTGCAGTAGGTTTCCAGGGAAAAGGGTTTTGTATAATTCTAACTAAAGATATAAAAAATGTGTTTGTGTGGAGAAACAAATTTGAAATTGCTTACATAAAGTTGTTGAGATGTCAATCAAAATAAGAAATAGCTCGAAAGAGGTCAGTAACAGGTCTATTAAAAAAAAAATATTTCTAATTTTGCCTGATTAAAACTTTAAGAAAGGAGAAATGATTTTTATCTCATCTGACAACATGGGTATTTCTCATTTTATTACATCAATTCTCAAATTGATTTTTCTTCTTCATTAAAAAGAAGAGTTTTTAAAATCTGTTTTCTTTACCCTCGTCTTTAGTCTTTATTCACCCTCTCTCCTTCCCCTCCCTCCTCCTGATGTTTTGTACAATGTGAATGATATGTTCCCTTCCCAATTTTATGTAAATTTCATATTCTTACCGTACCTTTCCAATGATCTAGGGAACTACAAAGAATAACCCACAGCAGGCAGACGTTCCACCAAATCTAGAAATGGATGGTAAGTTCTGAAATATTCATGTATAACATTGCAAATTTGGTACATTAAGTTTTTTATATAGCTTTCAATATCTCCTCTTCTGAATATTTTGCAAGTGTTTAAAAATATTTATATTTTACATTAACCAGAGCCCAATACGTTGAAAACTGCCATTTCTGTAATAGCCAGTTTACACAGAATTTGTTTTTGCCTTGGATATCCTGTGTAAAAAAACACAGCATGAACAAAGCCCATAATCCCATTATATTAGAAAAGGGCTATGTAAATGACATTGATTGAGATACAAATCATAATTCATACATAACTTATAGTATTGTCCTATAACTGTAGTTCTTATAATGTGTACAATTTTTTGTTATATTCGATAAGATATAGTGTTACTGGATCTATCATCTCCATATTGTGATAATAATAATAATAGTGGGTTTTTGTATAGCACTCATGTCTGTCAGACTTAATACTCCTGGGGCACCTGATTATTACCCTGGCTTTGGCAAGGCTGCCATTACGGCACTCTACCATTTCAAGGAACCAATTCCTGCCAGGTACCCATTTACATCACCTGGGTTGAGTGTGGCAAATGTAGATCAATGTCTTGCCAAAGGACATAAGCGCCGCGGCGGGACTTGAACCGCGGACCTTGTGATCCACAGTCCGGTGACATATCCACTCGACCACAACACCTCTGATAGATATTTCTTTGGACCTCTCTCTCCCTTCTCAGACATGCCATTCCCTCTTGCCACCTCAACTCCACTTGACACCTTGATACTTGGTGGTAAGGCATCCACAACAACTACGTGTACCAACACAACGCCCGTTACAGGAACGACCACAAGTGCATCCATTTCAGCTGCTGCTCAGCTTCAGCAGTTGGGTGATGTCGAAAGTTTGTTAGCTGAAGGTAATAATAATTAAATGAAAAGTTATACATTCATACGTTTGATTGATGTGGTACGTATCAAATCTAAAACTAAAATTTTTGTCTGCATATTGGAAGTGCTGTTTGAATATGCATACCCTGGCTTTAGTTCTGGTAGCTGTCAAGAGCACAGAGTGCACCTGATGATATACACATGCATCAGGAGAGGCAATTATGTCTTATTTCAGGATACATATATATTGAGTGATCTTGCAGTTTCAGTTTTGAGATTATAATTTATTTTATAACTTATTAATTTCATTGTATTTTTTAAAAGACAAAATTACAATGACTCCCACAACAAGAATGTAATGTGTAACTTTGCCATATTTTACCATATATATAGTCAAACCTGCAAATCACAATTAGGTGAAGACAATGCTTTGGGGGATTTGCTTAGTGAAACATTAAAGGAACTAGTACATAGAGACCACCTGCACACCGCAGGAATGCATTTTCATTTGGTCTCCTTTGAGCAGTCTTTCTGTATAATTTCACCGTATACCAGTTCCATAGTGCATTTTAAAGTGTAGATAATATTTTTTTTTTTACCTCTGCACTATCTTCAGATGATCCAGAATTCTGGGCCTCCCAGTGCTTCGTTGATGCAGGTGAAGTGGGTCCAGTGGGAACGATAAACACCGCTGGCTCCAGTACCACTAATCAACAACAACCCACTGGACCAGGGAGGGGGTACAGCCTGGGGGGACAGGGCCAACAGAAAGGCCATGGTGTCTTCCAGCATGGTGGCAGTGGTCAAGGGAAAGAAAATGCTTCCGCTGGGCGGGTTGTTACAAGGTCGGGCAGCAGCAGGCAGTATGACGGAGGTAAGGATTTTCTTGTATTGTATAGATCTATGTCTTGTAACTATCAATAAAGCAGGGCTTGATCTTAACATGTGCCCAGAATGCATGCATGGGCTCTGTCATGTGAGTCTGGAATCCCAAAATTTCTAAAATAAAACAAAAAGGACTCTTGTTTAAAGAAAATGAATATCTGGATCTGGATCCCATGAGAGAAAAGTGAGTGTGAAGTCCTAAGTATAGGTCGTAGTCATTTTGTCTTTTTGAGAGAGAGAGACAGGCAGACTCACAGACACAACGATAGAGAGACAGACACGGACAAACAGCCAGATACATAGGTATAGTAGAAGGAGAGTGAAGAGAGGATACTGAATACTTTAACTATTATACTATCTGTACATGAACGAAACCAAGTGATATAAGGCCATTCTGATGAGAATAAGCAAATCTCTCATCCTACTTTGTTGTTGTCTTTGTTCTTTTCTGTAGATGGTGGAGCAGCAGCATTGAAAAGAAGGAGAATGGATACCATGTAGGGATAAGTCAGCTTATCAAAATAATTAAAGATATGGACAGTTGATTGAATTAGATTTATTTATGCAAAACATTCCACCAGGATAGGTCTTGTATGTGCTTTCATCCCTACCTCATACGAGAAAGAGTTCTGATCAGAGAAAAGGAATAAGACTTGAGAGCTGGTCAGAGCTCAGTGATAACAGTATTGATAATTTTTTTTCCCCCCAATCACTCTCCTATTGTTAACATGGGAAATGAAATCAACATTGTTGTTGGTCAGACCTGGGGGGCGTTTCACAGAACTTGTCATCAGTGACAAATGACAAGTTTTGTTATAAGCTACTGAAATCCTTGCTTATGATTGGTTATCAGCAGATTTTTCACTGATTTTTGTCATTGAAAAAAGGCTTTGTGAAACGGGTCCCATGATGATTATGCTAATTTACCCCTCTCTAATTAAGAGTGAATGTTGTGGCGTAGTGACTCAAGAAGAAGAAGATGTACCCCTTCATTGTCTCATTGGTAATTGCTTTTGCTTAGCCAGCGACTTAAAATGGACCTCAAAGATGATACTTGTGAACCAATAATATTTCAGAAAAACTCATGTGGGCAGAGTCCATCGTGCTTGATTGACTAGATTCCCGACAATTTTGTCATTCAGATTTGACCATTATAATTTGTTTAATATTATATATGCGTATATAGTCATTGTAATTGTTACTGTCAAGGTCTGACAAGGTCCTCATACATATGTGATGTGTTTTCAAAGATCCCTTACCACAATCATGTAGGTGTAATATAACAATAATAATAATAACAGGTATTCATCTGCATGTTTTAAACTTACATGGCATTCTTCACTATGAACTTATATGCCTGTATGTAAGTTTGCAGAACCAGAGTAGCATTGTATGAATGCCATATAATGAAAGGAGAAACTGGGTATAGATAAATGTTAGTTATTCTCTCAGGTATAAGTCCATCCAGTTTTTTAATTGTAAAGAGGCAAGCTGGTTCTTATAAATTCTAGTAATTTATAATAAAAAATCAAGAATAGAATGTCCCCTGCATACAGGACTATCCAGGCATGATATTGTACTTGTACAATAAAAGACATTTCTTTGTCTACTTAGAAGATTTTGCCTGGCATGAATATACAAATGTATACTCCCAATTTGCTAGAATCTTAACAAATGAAATTGACAAATGTGTGCAAAGTTTATACATTAAGGTAAGAATTTGTTTGTTTTTTATCACTGTGACAAAGTTCTAATTTATTTATATTACTTTAGATGTTTGTGGTGTCATGTGTCTGAAAGTATCTAAGAGTTCCTGTTATTCAGACAAGTAGCAGTTATTTAAAAGCTTTATCAGTTGTGTTCAAAACTTATACCATTATCTTAACATTTCTTTGACCATGTGACAACCCCCCCCCCCCTCCAAAAACACTCTTTGAGAGCGGTTTTAGGAATTAACAAAATCACTTTAATTTCTGAATGTAATTTTGATTTGTGGTGATGAAATTGCATTTATAAAAGATAAACCTACTCAAATTGATTAAAGAAGACAGAATTTTTGAATAAAATGTAAAGAAAGAAAACCACACTCATTGGAACCATCTCGTCTCTCTTTGCACGTGGGGGACCATGTGCCAGGATCATAAGCTCGATTTTATCTCCTTTTCTCACAACACAATTATTTCTACTAAAATCGTTTGGCAGGTTTAATTATTTGTAGTTTTGAAAATTCAGTCTAAGTTTCGTGGGATTCCTGTTATTACCAGAACTCATGACTCCTTTATACTTCTGATTTAATAGTCAACAGTTGAACACAACTCATTTTAATTTAGTCATTTGAATATGCACGTCTCTGATGTGACTATGTAGAGTTACATGTACTAGTGTGATTAATCAGGAATAACAGATGCAAATGAAGTTGTTTCTTTCAAGATTTGTAGCTAAAATTTGAACGGCATCTTAGTTACCGGTATGTGTCATTAGTTTAGATATTAATGCACATTTTCACGCTCCAGCACAATCACATCCTAATTGTACAGCAAGATCACTTAAATATGTAATGAATGTAGCAAATTTAATCCTAGATTACATTACTTTTTCATAAGCAGTTGCAGCCATATGTCAAACAATTTTACTTGTAAAATCTGTAGGATTTCTCTATCTTATCGTAGACCATGTATATGAAAGTGATGACCTCTTTATAAACTTTTCTTGCCTGTATGATGAAACTTCTGAAGACACTTCAAGAGAACAAACAATCGGCATATCCTCTTTAAATGAATTAAAAGTGGTATGTAATGCCAGATTTCAACTGTGTTTTCAACTATCAAGAACCTTTCAATAGGCTTAAAAATGACATTTTGAGAGACTTGTTGTAAATTAAGCTTTAAAAGTACTTAATTCATTGATATGTTGTGGGAGATATTGCAATACCGGTAATGTTCCTGTACATGCTATATTTAACTTTGACATGCAGTAATATTGTATGTCAATATTATGCTACTGACAATTTTACAGGTTCTATATATGCATCTTTTACATGTGAATAATGCTAGGATTGGTTGTGTAATGTGTATATTTTTCACTCCGTGCCTTTGTACTATTTTTGGATCCATTTTTGTGAAGCCATGCATCATTGAAATTATATGCACATGTTTTTTTTACTTTTACATCCCATGTCAGAATTGTGTTATTGAAAAGTGAATGCCTGGTGAAGATTTGAAAAGTTGGATTTTTATGTAAGAAATGAAAGATAGAGAGAGAGAGAGAGAAAGAAAGAGTCTCAAGAACATTCAACAGGGTGCTGCTAAGTCTAAGGGAATGGATTAATTGGGTGTTAGAAAGAGATACAGAGTAAGAGAAAGTGAGAGAGAGAGGGAGTGTTGGAGAGAGAATGCAAGAGACGGGGGCAAAATTTTAAAAACTTTAAATTAAAGTGTGCAAAAAATCGATTTGTCGTAATTTACGTTTCATATCAAAGCTAAATTCTAATGGTATTCAACAAAGGCCCTATGTAAACCAATGCACCTTTCATTCTTGAGTTAAGAAATCCACAAAAAACACCAAATTTATGAGGGGTGTGAATAACTGTACATGGTGGAGTGGGGGTGGGAGGGTCCATGTGAAAACAAAAAGAAGATCAGTATTTTTTTTTTTCTTCCATGCTTAGACTACAAAATGGGAAATAAAACAGATGTTAAAGGCAGTATTTATAATTTTTCACAGACATACTATGAATTATATTTCTCCACATGTAGAATATGTACAACCTGCCATTTACAATGTTATGTACACTAATTTCAAAACTACAATATTTGAATACAACATGCACGCTGAAAGGCAACAATAGAAAAAGCTTATCATACCATGATTAAAAATTCAAATACTTCACATTTGAGGCGAATTGAAGGATAAATTATTGAACATATCAATTTGTTTCAACAATAAAACCCTTTCTATGGCAATATCTACAGGTGTATACATACCACCAGTAAATGATTTTTATCTTCATTGCTAAGAAACGTGTCGAAATTCATAAAAGGGATACTGGACGCTGAAAACAAGCCTAGCAATTGCCTGCATTGTCACATATCATTGCTAGTGTTATGTACTTGTGTTTATTGTCTCCTGCCAGGGCAGTATCACATTTCTATGATATGACATGAAGACATTTCAAAACAGTTTCACAATATAGATGAAGCAATACAAGTATGTCAACATTTTCTTTATATGTTTAAAGAAGAATACATCTATACTGTGTACAGGGGCAGCCAGCATTCACTAAAATTCAAGCCTGTGTTTGCTGTCCAAGGTTGCTCCCTACATCAATTGTTCATCTGCACAAGTCTACAGGGTTGCTATCAAAAATAGATTACGGAATGTAAATGATTTGTAAAATGATTTTCTCCCCACCAAGCTAAAAGGTTGCTATCAAGTTATAACAAACACTTTATACCACAAACAATAGCAGTGATATAGTTCTGTGTTTTTTTTTGTTGTAAAATAATTTAGTCAATCTTGGAAACCTGCAATGAAATCTGCCATAATTGGGCAGTATTGACAAAATAAAATAAAATATCAAAATGGGCAACGCCCGAAGAAAAAAAAGGAATATCACTACCAGTGTGCAACACCTAGTTTTCAAATAATTTTTGAATTATGCAGTCTATTTCATAGACTTTGAAATAACCTGCATGCATATATGCAGCCAATTTCAAACGGTGCGTTACCTCAGAATTTTTTTTCCCAAAGATATTTGTGTAACATCTGAGTTAAAGGAGACATGCATATTAAGGTTACTTGATACGCCATTCACACGTGGGCCCAAAGTTTTTCAAAAATCAATGTCCTTTAACAAACACACACAAAAAAAGGTGAATTACTTGTATAATAATACCCTCTCAGCAGATTCACACTATGTACCTTTCGAATTGCACTAAAAATCTACCTAGGCACAAAGATTCAACTCAGTCTTACAGATAGTCAAGGTTCTGAGTTAATCATGAATTGGACGGACAGAGACTAATAAATAAACTCTTTCATGATGAGAGAGAGAAAGAAAATATATAAGCAGCAGTACTCAATGAATAAAGTCCTTCAAAACGAGATCGAGAGACTGAGCGGTACTTTCTGAATAGATTCCTTGAAGACGATGAGAGCATCGGTACTAATGACCTCCGATGAGATTAGAGAGAAGTGATATGATTGTCTTTTTGATACCAGCCTTCCTCTTCATGATGTTCCTGTCTTGATGATCTTAAACAAAGCACTGATGTTATTCTCCTTGATGGCTTGCCTGCAGGATGACACCACCATGGTCTTGAACTTCCCAACTGAAATACAGAAGGATACACAATATTGGCTTAGATATTTATCTTTATATTCCACATACTAAGAATCTTGCTCTACGATTGGTCAAAAGTAAATCACGTGATGAAAGATAGTTCGCCCATTATTGATGGGAAAAGCAAAAAGTTTGTTACACTGTGTAGATAGTACTACTATCTACACAGTGCAACACACTTTCACGGAAGATAGAGGTACTATCTACACAGGGCAATGCATTTTCACTGAAGATTATCCAAAAGCGCACTAAAACAGGCGTAATTAAGCACGCATTACCAATGAGCGCAATTAAAGCAAACACATGCACGCACCGTACCCTCAAGGGGTTGGGTTAAACTTTTAACTTTTTTGGTGTGAATTTGGGCCTGGTGTCTTTCATGTAGATGCTGCACGTCCTTTTCTTTTTTGTAGTTTAATTGTTTTAGATGTGGAATATAAAGCAAATAATCACCTTTTGGTTTCAGGCGATGGCAAACTATCACTTCCTTGTCGATCAGAATGTATACAGTCCTCAAATCGTAATTTGCAAAATGGTTCAACTTTTTCCTAAAATAAATTTAAGTTTGATACAAATCTGTCTCTGTGTCCACAACATAGTTACCTCTTAGTTGACCAGCCTTTTGGATGGTTTGGTTGACCAGCTTGAGACAATTGAGCAGCTCTTGGTGGTTAGAGCAACGGATCTTATAACCATTCACCAGGTCACGATTCAGGTCAAACAACTCCATGTACCCACGACGCATGTTCCTCCTGCATTGTATGAAACAAATAAGATTTCAATAGGAAGTGTTTTCACAAAATAACGAGGCATCTTTTTTCATAGAAGTGATAAAAGTACAAGGCAATATAAATAACGTTTTTCTCCACAAACACATTTCCCTTCTTTCCTAGTGCACACTTGAAGATGAGTGTATTATCAAATACAAGAAAGAAAATGTATTTGTTATTGAGTCTCTCTTCACATCTTCACATCCCATTTCTGAAGTCAAATTTAACAGATTTTTAAGCGAGGATAACTGCTGAGGTACTCGCTACCAATCAACAAACTAGTTATTAATCAAAATAATAAGTGATAATGCAATCAGCAAATAATATGCAGGTGCTTAAAACTCAACCCAATACAAATATAAACAAAACAATGACATCGAAAAAGACTACACGCACACTCACACTCTCTTGTTTTCCTTCTAAACATACACAAATTGATGACAAATACAATTTAAAATGTATGCTAGCTTACATGTCAGACATGAGACGAGCATCTTCAGCTCTGACGACCAGACTCCTGATCAAGTTAGAATGGTCTGCCATCTCAGCTGTTAACTTCTGTCTCACAGAATGGAATTCATCCACCTATATAAGAACAAAGACGGACATACACGTTGAAGGCATATGATGGGAAACGCTCTTATATATTTACTGATGGAATCACTACCGGTAATTATGAAAGAGAAAGAAGTGCTGTGTAAAAGAGTATGAGAATAGAATGAAAATTTCATTTTGAAACAATACACCATACTTCCAACTGAATATTACAGGTAGATGCATATATATGGCAGGTGTAAAACAGTAATCAATGTTTTAAAGTTAAGAAAAGCTAAAGAGCCATGACCTATGACAGGGTTGATTCACATACATTCGGAAAGAGAACAATTAATACTTCAAAGGTCAACGTATAGGGTATTTTGAGAAATACAACATACCACAACATGCTGTGAAGTGTACCATTGGAAATTGATTAAGATTTTCATACAGTACAGTGTTGCTGAATTCAAATGATTCCAGAAAATCCAACAAATGTACCACCGACAACAGTACAAACTTCTGGGAGGCATTTCAACATATATCTGCTCCATATTTAGGCACATTTAATCATAAAACGCTGTACTGTATGTCTATTACTCTTACTATTAACCGGCCATTGAAATACAAACTTATTAATTGATTTGCAAACAAGTTTTGAGAACAATTTTCAAGTTTCTCTGGTCCAAAGTTACGGATGTTTGTCATCACTTGACGAAAGACAAACTGACCTTGACCAGTAGATTCTTGAGATCCTCCATATGCATGGGGTAATCAGCTACAACCTGAAGGTCATCTATACCCAGGAATGAAGCCAATGCTTGGATGAGATCACCAGCTAGATCCATGTCATCTGTACGGATGGTTATCTGTGATCAAAGTCATTTACAGTATTCTTTTAAAAAATCAGGTTTTGGTGTAAAAAGACATTTCACATTGTAGACCATTCAGTTATAGATTTTGATTAAAAGATACATTTACTTCATTTTGTTTCAAATGGCAGCGCCTGGAGTTCACTTCACACCCATATTTTTTAAAACTAAATGATCAGTTCCTCAAAGAATTAAGCAGATCCTTTGAAAATAAATTTTAAAACTATTCAGTGCACGGTAACTTTGAAAGCATTTTCACTAGAAGAAAAAAAAGACCTGAAGTTTATCATAGAGTAAATTTTGTGATAGTTTTAAAGGAAGATCTTGGTTTTTTCAAGAAACAAAACCAAGTGAAAGTTGCATTGAAATATTGCCCTTGTGGATATTTATACCATGCGCCTGCACTTGTGTAACAAAGTTTAAAGATGAGAATCCAATTTTCAACTTTGGAGAAGTTTAACAACATCCTTGTTGCTCTCACATAACATCATTCCTTCTACCACTCACCTGTCCATTGGCCTGCATCTGAATGAAGATAGGACCTGATCCTCTCAAGGAAAGGAATCCTACATTGAGGGGTGTCTCAGCTGCTATGTCCTCATCTACTAAGAAGTTCTGATTTATCCACAGCACCACCTATATATATTCAATGAGGGTACAGAAAATAAAGTAAAAAGTCAATCCTTTACTGATTATTAATAACAATTTAGATTATAAAGAGCAAAAAAAGCTTCTGGCTCTCAGCGGACAACATTACACAGGTATTGATAAAGACTGACAGAAGTGTTCATGAGAAAAAATATCAAATATATTTACGTTGTAACATACAAAATGAAACTTAATCGTAATTATACAATATTAAATGTCGATAAGTATTTAACGCAATTTAGGATACAATATATAGCAGTGCTTGCATTTGTGTCGATTACTCTAGAAAAAAGAAAGAAAGGAAGAAAGAAAGATAAAAAAGAAGAAAACATACATGTTCGGAAATATGAGCTTTCATATATGTGCATCAGAAAAAACACAGTTGAGCACTGCATCTTACTGGTATCTACATACTTTGTTTCTCTTAACCCAGGTCTAGTAAATGGGAACTTGGGCCCCATCTTAAACAGAGTTATGATAGATTCAAATTGATCGCAACCTGATATCAATAATTGTAACTCTGACCTGGATGTTTGTGATTGACCGGAGGACTTGCGATCAATCCAAATCAGTAGCAACTGACTACAGATGCTGACGATTGCCCAGGCTTATAACCAAGGTAACAACCGTTCAACCACATAGAGACATTTTCTTTTATATGAAAATATCATCATGGGTACTTTTTGATAGATGAATATATTTCATAGTTTGGCCATCAAGATTCAAGCTGAACCTAAAAGGCAAACAAATCTTACCCTTTGTATCCTTTCATTGATGGTGAAGACCACACTACTCTTCGGCTCAGGGACCTGGTCTGTGCAGGGTACGTACATGGAGAATCTTGGGAGCTGCCGAGTTACCTCAAACACATGGAACTGCATACTGGTTTCAAAGAGAATAATAATAATAATAATAATCTTTTAAAGTCCACTCCAAATTTTATTGAGTTAAACCGAAAATGAAAATTCTTTTTGCCCAATTGATCGTGAGCCCGGCAGCCACTGAGCAGCGCCAGATCGACGTTGCTCTATCCCTTATTGTTGAATGCCAAACAAGGTAGCGGCAACTCCCATCTTTTAATGTCTTTTGGTATGACGCGGCCGGGGTTCGAGCCCACGACCTCTCGGTTGTTAGGCGGACGCTCTACTGACTGAGCCAACACACCGTTATTAAGAAGATTGGATGGAGTACGTACGTAGTAATAGATCGCTCTGCAAGTACACTCAGGGTTCTTGCCAGTGCACAACATCCTTATATGGCTTATACCCAGTATGGGGGACGTTTACTCCAGAGGAAAAATGCCAAGGGGTAAAGGTTCCCAACTTGTGTACTTACAAGGGTACTATAAAACATGTCAATTTCAAAATGTCTACCTGCAAAATTACTTTGAACCTCCTACACCACCTCCCTGTGATGCTGTATGGCTAAATTTCACTAAATTCAGACAAAGGATAAACAATTTCTGCCAAGAAACCTGATTACACCCTATAGTGTTGTAGTTAATGTACATCATCATTTATCACACTTTATTGTACATATACATGTAACTTCATCCATATTAAACATGTACAAGAACATCGCATGTATGCACTTACCTGATGGATACAATTATATTTTCATACTAGATGAATTCACAACTAATATCTATTCCATCCCTCCAATTAGTCCCTCCAATTAATTTGACTTAGACATTCCTAATGAAATTAAAATTTTAGAATAGGATAAACTTAACTGATATTACTAAAAGTTGACAAACACAGTAATTCCTAAACTTGAGATTCTCAAAATGGCAGGAGACAAAATATCAAAACATACCCACCTTGACTTTGTACCAACGAATGCTTTGATGTGTAAATCCACAGGGATGTCTTTGGGTGGGACTATTGGCACTTTCAAGGAGTTAGATAAACTAGGTGTGTTGGGGTGTCTAGAGAGGGAGAAAGAAGAAAGTAAAAAACAAATGTTGGTGCTTTGATGCAGATATTATAGATAGAAACTGGTAGATAGATAGATAGTTTATTGGTTTCCACTGTTGGTGCAAAGATTATTTATGACAAAACAGACAGTTATAGCATATTCCTAAAACAATATACAATAAATCAAGTGTGTCTATTAAAGCTAAGAGTCAAACTCTGAGATCTGGATGGGTGTTAAATCCATATAACTTCATATGATATTCATATCTGGTGCTCAGATGACAATTTATTATTACCATTGTCTGGTTTAAAATGAATGCAAATGTTGCATTATTCATATGAAACGTGCCATTAGTTAACTCTTATTCCCAATGAATTTCATACAAAATAAATGCAATGTGATTCAATTCAAAGCTCATCATATATTGCTTTTTTTTATAGAAAAAAAGGAAGTATCATGATTTACCATGAAGTTACATGGGACTACAAGAAGTGTTTAAAAATGTTGATCAATACCTTTAAACCATGGACTTGGATAGCTTGGATAACTTCTAACTTCCATTTTCAAAAAACAAAATGAGACCAGAGAAATCAGAAATGTGGATCTCACTTTTATTTCTTTAGCTTACATTATTGATTACAAACACATACCAACTCAAATCATTCTTTTACAATTGTAGTGCACTGATCAAGCAATGAAGGAGTTATATCTCATGTAATACTAACATATAAAGTGTTTTTTTATTGTTTAAAAAGAAAAGAAAAATTGCTAACTCACATGACATGACTCTCTCCTTCAAAGATCCCCTCAGCAAATATGAGAACAGATTTCAAAACGGTATCATTGCTGGTGTTCACTGTCAGTTCAACATGGGGCTGAATTAGTTGAATCAACAGAGAGAATCAAGAAATAAAAATTATTGTTTTGAAAGCTTCACATTTCAAAGTACTTCCAAGCTAAAAAGATATGCCTTTTATATATATCATTATATTCTGGTAGGAAAATGATAACCTCAGGGGTGATAGTGAGCACTAAATAAAAAAATAGGTTTTTTGTTTTCCCTTCAACCACGCCCCCCTTGAGTAAAAAAAGAGGAGAGGATTCGCGGGGAAAAAATGGCATCTAACAACATTCCCCCCTTTCGAGTAAGAAAATTGGGAAAAATTGGGAAAAATAGGAAAGATTAGAGAAAATAACGGGGAAATCGGTAAAATCAGGATAAAAGAGGGAAGAACAAAAAAAATCTGGTAAACAATTTTTTTTTTTTTTTTAATTTTAATTTTTTTTTCTTCTTTTTTTCTTTTTTAAATCGGGAAGAAAAAAAAATCAGGAAACTGATTTAAATCAGGTTTTTATCAGGCCTGTAACCTATAATGACAACGAACAAAATAAAACATGTAATGTTTATTATACATGGTCACCAGTTGAATATTTTTCACTCCTTTTTCCTACCATTTTATCAATTTCTGTTGTACTTAAGGTTCTTTGTTTGCTTTTGTACAGTCCAAACGGCTGGCTGCACAGCACGTAAAACATGAGCAAATTATACTATATCATCTTTTAATAAAAAAATTATGAAAAAATGTTACCGGTAAATAGATTTTTTTTGTTCATGATAAAAATGTTATTCTTATGTCTAAGCGCTTCTGTCTCTATTCAATTTTAGTTTTCAAGATGAAATGATGCACTACTACAATCTTCTGGTATGGATGAATCTCATCTATGCTGTTGTACTTACAGCGCTATTCTCAGCACCCGAGTTCACAGTGAGGGTAGTCTGGAGTTGAGTATTTGCAGGGATGATGCCCATCTGTGCCTTGTCTAGATCACCTAGACCAGATGGTCTCTCATCCTTTCCAGCCTACAAAAAAAAAGAGAATTAAAAAGAGAATTAAATTGTTGGTGCCATGTTATGCATCTGAAACGTGTCATGCAATTTGAATAGAACGTATTTGAAAAGCACACTTTTCTTCTTCAATATGATCAATATCTCCTTAGATTGTCGATGGTCTGATTTTAGAGTGACAAATCAGTACAGCTTTACCATAATTTTATGAAGTTGTCCTAAGTCTTGGCGATGTGGTCACAGTTAAGTTTTGAGATTGTATTTTGATGACTCAATACATGGACTATTGCCCAAAGGTCATGACCAGTCTATCTTGGTTTAGTATTGACCTTGATGTTGGGTTATCACTTTGGCAATTGTTTAGACTACCAAGATCAATGAACACATGGATGAAGAGAGCATTAAGGAGTATTTCTTTCACAAGGGGACATATACACTTCTAATGCAGACATGCAGTTATTCATAATGTTGAAAAGTAAACCTATACGGTAACATATTCTTTTCTTAGTTTCATCATTAGTCTCCAAATGGTTTTGTTTTACTTCATCTAAAGGACTATACTCTGGAATTCTTTAAAAAAAAGGGATGAATGAAATCAAGAGGAAGTTTGAAGGGATCCCCGTTTTCCATGAAAACGACTTGATATGAAACATCAATCTTATGACACCAAGAATGGCACCCACCTTAGCATTCTCCTCATAGTTCTTGATTTCCAGGATGAGGTTCTGTTTGCGCTGGCTCAGATCTCGGATAGTTTCCTGCTCGATGTTGGTGTCCATGAGATTTCCTTTCTGCTCCTGATTAGCTGGTAGGTAACCTCGCACTAGATAGGGAGAAATACAAGTAAAAGTAAATTCCAAATCGCATTTCTGGAGAATTTTCACTTTTGAATAAAGAATAATCTTTTTCTTTTCCCGGCATCCATGTGACTCTTTTCCACATGTAACTCTTGTTTTGTATCCAATGATTTTCTTTGTTTTTGCCAAATAAATAATAATAATAACAATAATAATAATAATATTATAGATATTGTAATAAAAATCTACAAATCAATAGTATGGCATGTTAACTACTACAAAGTGCTTTCACAACATTTGGGTTTCCTATCAAACATTCATCAAATTTATGAAATATTGAATTTTTTATAGATTTTTTACAGAATGACATAAATGGTAATTTAACAAAGCTATTTAAAACACAATATTTTATACATTTGATGAATGGCTGATTTCAATTTTTATTCAATTTTTTAAAATAAAAACTGTGGAAATGTCATTCTGTCATTCTGTGTTACTCTATTAAATCAAGATAGTGAATGAATTTCATACCTTCTCCTTCGTTTGAGCAGCAGATAAGTTCCATGTTTCCATCCATTCTATAATCACCCTGCACAATCCCTGCAATGGCCGAGGACAAGTTATCCCGGAAGACGACCTCACCAGTCCTATCACTTCTTGCATCAATCTATCATCAATTAAAAAAAAAAGTTAAAGGCTGCATTTCCAACAAATTTGATAGGGGAGGGGTCTCCACTTTAAAATGATGGTAGCCTTATCTGATATTAATGACATTTTTTATTAAAGGCACTTGATTCAATTGAAATCAAATGCTTTTTTTGCTTCTTTTTTTTGGGGGGGGGGGAGGAAACAAACACTGATCTGTTCCTTCATTCCTGCTTTATTTCTGTTTGATTTCTTTTGTATTTTCTTGTAATTGCATTTGTATTTTTGTACAAGATATACTTGTACTTGTCTATAAAATTGGATTTTTTTATTTTTTTATTGCTGCTGTGCAACCTGAGGGTATACATTCCAAGACATACTCTAATCTCTTAAATGATGAATAAAATCACTATAACCAGGGTATTATGTGTAAAGCGCCATGAGCGTTAGAGCCTGGCGGATACAGGCGCTATATAAATATCCATATTATTTATTATTATTTAAATTAAAAAAATAAAGATTTACAGGAAAGAAAATCCCACTAATTTCTTGAATTATAGAAGTTATGCCATGAACAAATCAATGTTTATTAATATTTCTTTGGAGGCTGAAATCATTTGTTCAGTTATGCAGATGTCTATATTCAAAACTGAAGATGCTCAGATTGCATCTACGACGTGGCTTTATAAATGACCTATTTGGAGTACTGGGAAGAGGGACATAATCTGAAATTACAGTGTATTTATTCAATTATCAAAGCAGAAAACCGGACGGTCTCTGTTACTTTACCTTGCCATTGCTCCAGCCTGTGATCAGTTCAGGTACGCCATCTGCATCCAGATCAAAGCTATCTATGGTGACTGCCTGGTTCTTAGACTGTGGGAATGGAGGAGATCAGAGGGGTACGCATGGTCTTGCATGATGGTTCCTGATACTCATACATGTATCAATCAGTCATTGCCATTTTCGAGAATGAAAAAAAAAAAGATTGAATCCTATAACCAAGCAGTGAAAACTGATCCCTAAATAACTAGCCTTGCTCTTTCTATCATAACGTTGAAAAAAAAATTGATTTCTTTATTGATTTCTTCATCAAACAGATTTGTTTAAAGATGACATACTTTCTAGAGAAGATACAAGGCTGGTATTCATAGTTACACAATTGTTTTCAAATGAAGAACCTATGAATTATACTTAACATTTAAGTCTTAATTTGGAAGAAAACCAGAAAAAGTTCTTCCATACCGGTAAAATTTGTGAATTAAGATTTAGTTTTCCAAAGAAATACTTACCTTAATTCTCCAGTACCTTGAATTCTTTTCATAAACACCAACAGTACCATTTGCCAATGCATAACCAAACCTAGCATCTGTCATTGGGCAGAGAGCTGTTATGGCCTGAATAAAACCAAAGGGCAACAAAATACTTAAGCATGGCCTATGGCCGTCATCATATATTACAGGTGAAATAATTTTAAAAGGGCATCATCATCAGGTATCGGCCATACTTTTAATACACTGTTAGAGATCAGGTGGTGGAGAATGGTGGTGGTGTTCATGAACATTTGGGAGACCCCCCCCCCCCCTCCATTCTTTTTGCAGGTGGGTTTTTCAGACTCATTTCCCAAACAGGAAACAAAAATCATAGTTCTGCTAGGGCTCACCTTTCATGTTTTTCTCTTGCAATCTGAATTCATTCACTTTCCTTCAATACAATTACAATATTGAAAGTTTCCATGCCTTCAATTCAACTCAGTTAATTCATTTACAAGAACATACATAAAGCTAATGAGTGTTTACAGAAAGGTTGTGTTTAGCCTTCTTTATCAGCTTTCTCTGCTACCATGTCTGCAGTGAGCAGGCATTCAAACATTCGATTTAATAATACCAGTATATCGATCTGCTTCTATTAAGTTGACTTGTAAGGTGCTCATTATGATACAACTACTAGATTTACCTCTGTCTCTGTCATTTCAGCAATGATCTCGTCTTCTTGGAATACCCTGATGTCGTAATCTTCTGATCCAACAACCAGTTGATTCCTGCCATCTCCAGAAAACTGGCATAATGCTAAAGAACATACGTTGTCACCAGTCACCTTGAAAAAATAAGAAAATAATAAAATTAATTGAAATCTACACCAGAATCTCTCTTTTTTGTTGCCTTGTTTCTTCACAGTAAAAGGCAGGGTGAAATAAATGAAACAAACACATTGAAGAATCAAAACTTCAACATATAGGTTGTAACAAAACTCTATTTGAGCAATGCAGAGTTCAATCAATCTCCACTCCTATGTTATTTTTTTTTTTTTACTGCATGTTAAAAAACTAAGAAGACAGGGAAATACATATAATTCATGATATTGAGGGCAGAGATCAGAAGAAGCCACAAAAGAGAGTGTATATATGAAACAAATTTCTGGATAGATAGTAACGGAAAGAGAGAATAAAAGAAGTATAAATGTGTTTAAACATAATACTCACCGTCCAGAAGAGATCATTTCCCTCAATGTCAAATCCAGACAGAGCACAGTTTCCTCCTGTGATTGCTAGGGGTGTATTGATGGTTCCTAGTTTACCCATCACAACAGCATTCACTCCATCTGGTGCCTGTAAGAAAAATATTGTGGATTTTATATCATAGATTAAGTGCAAATGTTAAGGGAGAATTAGAATAGATCTATTTCGCACTAAGTACAATTCTATTCTGGTTTCATATGCATCATGAACAACATATCTGTAACAAACACTGGGAGCCTGTAGATTTGTGCGTCCGACACCATGTAATGATAAAACATGGCGAGTTAAGTGTTTACAGAGTTGAAAATAATCATGAAAGAAATTGGTCTATACATATAGAATAATAGCCACCTATCTTTATAATATACATTACCTTTCATTCATCAAAGCTATGATTATAGCTATTAAAATCTTCAAAAAATTCTACATGACCATCATATATTCTTTGTTTGTTTGTTTTTCCCTAAATTTTCACAGGGAAGACATTCATCTCCATAATAACTGGCTTCAAATCTTCAATTACACAGACTAACGATACTTTGCACACACAAAAAAAAAATATTGGGAGCTGACATACATCCTTGTAGAAGATATCCGTGTTGTTCTGGACATCGTACGCTAGGAGGTTCGTTTGGGTGCCCACCATCAGGATGTCATTCACACCCATTGAATCAAGTGACCCAGCACAGATGGCACTGATTTTCTGGTTGATATTGAGGAGACTGATGTCTGAATCCACCGCTATTTCACTGGCTCGTCCTCCACGCACAGCGCGAGTGTGAGGGTTGTGGACAAAGACCTGGTAATGGATGAGTAAGTGAAAGTGAGAATAGTAGTACTAACAGTCTGCCTGTCGACATACAAATAACTTTTTCAGCTTATAAATACTTGTTTAAAAAGTTATCTATTTGCACATACAAATAAATAAAAAAAAGTTATCTTTTTGCACTGTTCCCACAAGAAATCTCACAAACATTTTTCTACATTCAATTTCATGTTCAAATTTACCTAAAAAATATATACATACATATTGTGATTTTACATTATAATGGCAATAATAATAGTAACTGTTTTTTATGTAGCACCTTCCCAGTTACAATATAAGCAACCGCTCTGGAGTACGCCACAACTAGGCAGTGGAAGTTACAAACTGATTCAGCTGAGGACGCAGGTTCAAAACTGAGTCACGTCTTTCGGATGGTGACGTTAAAGGTCGGTCCACAGGGGTAAATAATCATATCTGATTGATACACGTCTTTAAAAACCCAATACACACACACACATACACTTGCTCAAAATCATCAAAATGTTACATAACTATATTTGTTAAAGTATGACAACAAGCACTTGAAATATTAGGAATTAAAACCTTCAAACACCATAAACTTATGTCCTATATGTTCAGTAACAGCTTCATGCATATCGATAGAAATTTGCTCAACATTTCTTCCAACATTTTTTTTATAAGATTATGATGAATGCATTGCATTGTATGATATGCCTTTAAAGCTCTGTAACGTTAGAGATGAGATTGCAAGATATTATCTTACCTTTCCTGCCGTTGTGGCTGCTGTGAGGTTAGGATGCTTGCCATCATACTTTCCAATAGTAACCATGCGTGGGTTGATTTTATGATTCAGCTTCAAAGTGAAGATTGGCACCAACATCTTGCTCGTTATTTGTAGTGGTCTTCCTCAGCTTAAATTCAATTTATAAAATGAGGCAGAGAAATGGGAAAGAGGATAAATAAAAAGTCATTTGAACAAGTTTGCATTCAATGTTCCATGAACCTTTCAAAAGAATACAAGCTTTAATGGTGGAGTCTACTAATCATAAATGAAAAATATACATAATTTTCCTAACACCCAACATGAAAAGAGATGGCTCTAGATTCTCTTTTTGTTAAGTATCCAGTCCAGACACAAACTTAAGTTAAACTTAAAGTAACAAGATTCGTTGTGTTTGTCATTATGCCTTTGAGCTTTGTGAGCATGTTTTTTCATCCTATTCTTTAATTATTCATCAAGTAGACCTAGGGGCCGTTTCTCGAAACCGTTATAACTACAAGATCAACGACATCTCGCCACTGTCGCGCAACTTGTCAGCTAAGTGTTTCACGAAGCCGTCTTTGCCAAGATGAGCGACAACTTCCGCGACAAGCGAGTTGTCACTGCTCCGAACCTGTCATATCTTTTTAATTGCTGTAAAGCGCCATCACAAGTCAGTTTGTTGCCATTCCATGGGCCGCGAAATGGACGATTAGTTTCACTATCATTTTGAGAAAAATATAGACGAGTTCGGTACGTAATTCTCTGGGATGTGAAATGCAAATATACAAAAGTGAGAATACAAATTATACAGAAACTTTAAAAAGCTGAATATAAACATTAAATCACAAATCATTAAACTATAACATATAAATAAGAGAGGTAAGAATGTTACACACCGTTTTCCATAGTCGATCCATAGTCTTTTCTTAGGATACCGTCATACCTTTGGGGCCTATGTGCATTATTATTCCCTCTCTAATTACTTTTTCCAAATTATATTTTCAATATCAAATCAATTATATAACGAGTATTTATGAGACTCTAGAATAAAAACTGGCTGAGAAAAGACATTTTGCCTAAAATTCCTCGTCACAATAAACAAAAAAGTACGTATTGATAAACTATCACATTACGGTATCCTTCAACTAACTTTTGATTCGACTGTCAAAAAAAAAACACTCACCGGTTTTTCTTTAATTTAAGAATCTTTACAGAAATATGCAAATCGTTTGATGATGTAAATATGATAATGACACTATTTGTTATTTATTTTATGAGAATTTATATGTATATTTTTCTTTTTGAACAATTTTAGCCCCAAAACTTGTTTTGGGTTATTCTTGATAAATCAAATGGATCGTGACAAAGACTATGTTCTTGAGCTGCTAGTATCGCGATATATCGATATCATGTCTGTCATGGCTTTGTGAAATGGTTTATCCGCTTCATGACATCTCCGTAGGTCGCCGACAAAGATACGACTGTCATGGAGTTGGTTTCGAGAAACGGCCCCCTAGACTCTACTAGTTTAGAGCTAGATAGTAGATTGGCAAACATTGAACATTGGCTGGATCTGGACGCCATTAAAACAACAACAAAAAACAAATATCAGCAGCTGAGCAACATCACTCACACTCAAACAGTCATAGACACAGACATAAGTTGACAGACTCATCATTATGATCATGATAATTCATGCTCATCTATTCTTATATTTTGCCACACATTTGTCAAGGCACGGGACTGTTATTTCTGCCTCGAATTCATTTCATCTTATGTACCTTCGTGTCAAGTACAAACAACACGGGCAATATTTAATTATAGAAATTACCTATATTTTTGTATAATACTATTAAAAAATGGAAACCGGAGAGCACACTATACATTCTTAAAAAGATGCCTTACCACCAATATATTCTTTGATAAACATCGGTTATTGCCAAGAGACGGACGCCAACCTTCTGTGGAATTTGCTGTGTCAAACGCGCGCCATCTGCGGCCGACCTCAACTTGCAGAACTGTAAAATAATAAGGAACAGTTCTGTGGGATGGGTGAGCCACTCTAAAGAAACTGGGAATTGACTAGTGGTTATTAAAACAAAATCGAGAGTTTATTTCCTCTAGCTCTCAATTCGAAGTGTATCCCTAATATGAATCCCAAAAGTGGATCATACTTCTGTACATTTAGAGCAGGCGCGTACGCAGGGGGGGGGGGGGGGTGTTTGGGGGGTTAAACCCCCCCCTTTGGTATTTTTATGTGTGTAAACCCCCCTAAAAAATCCCTAAACCCCCCCCCCCCCTTTGAAAAATCACACCCATGGCTGATCTAAGAAAGGTGACCTTACCCCCCCCCCCCCCCCCAACGGAGCAAAATGTCAATTTTTCAAATTTTGAGACAAAAAAAAAGTGTCCTCTTTAGGGGCGGCCGAGTGACTTCCAAAATGGGGGGGGGGGGGGCCAAGAAAAAAGGGCACTTTCTGGAAAAAAGGACACGTACAAAGGGAAATCTCGAAGCAAAAATATACAGTTGTGTAGACAGTGGTATATACCTTTACATTGTAATTCCATTATCAGGGATTTCAATATTTGTTTCTCTTCAAAAAACCATTAGGCACTTCTTACACCTATAAAAAGAGGCACTCAGTCACGAGATGAACATTGGAAAATGGTCATTTGTCGACGGAAAAGGGGCATCCATCAGATTTTGGGCATTCATGAAAAGGGGTCCCTTATTAGAAAGGAAAAGGGGTAAGTATCATTGTTAAAAGGAACATTTTCAGAGGTGAAAAGGAGCACTTTCACTGACTATATATGAAATAAATGGGGGCAATTATGATAAAGGAAAATGTGCATAAGTTGAAACAAAAGAGGCATCGATCATATTTTTAATAGGGGCAATTAGCAGAGGTGAAGGGGCCATTGATTTGAAGTGAAAAGGAGTAATTTCTCGTACCTGAAAAGGGGCATTTATGAGAAGGTGAAGGGGCTCTTTTTAATGGGGGCACTTATCATAAGGAAAAGGGGCACTTAATTATTAGAACAGAAAAGGGGCACATGTGAAATGTGAAAATATAACGTGCGCTTATCAGAGTTTAAAAAGGGGAAGTTATTAAAAAAAAGGGAAGAGGCACTTCTTACAGGTAAATGCGCACTTGTCAAAGTAAAAGGGGGTACCTCTTAAATTTGAATAGGGCAAATATCAGGGGGTGACGGGGACATTTGCAAGACCTCTACGCTCATCCACTTCCAATTTTCTTGTGACCCCCAAAATTACCAAAACGTGGGGGGAAAGATCATTTGCATACTCTAGTCCTAAATTATGGAATGGCCTTCCTGAAGACATCAAAAAATGTTTATCTTCTGATTCTTTCAAAACTCATCTCAAAACATTCCTTTTCAAGTCTTGATCGTTTTTCCTGTTTACACGCGCCTGGAGCACTCCACAGAGTGGATTTGGCGCGGTATAAGTTACATTATTATTATTATTATTATTATTTATTAAAAGTGAAAAGGAGCACTTCTCGTACCTGAAATGGGGCAGTTACTAGAGATTAAAAAGGGCACGTATGAGAATGGAAAAATGAACACTTTTTGCAAAAAGAAATGGGAACTTGTCGAAGGAAAAGAGGCAGTGTGTCAAAATGAAAAGGGGCATTTATCAGAGGTGAAAAAAAGGGGGAAGAGGCTCTTTTCCTATGTAAAATGGGGCACTTCTTACAAAGTTAAAGGCGGCACTTTTCGGGTACTTGAACAAATGGGGTAGGGGCATTGTGCCCCCCCCCTCCCTGCCCCCTCTCCCCCGGAGGGCTGCCTCCGATATTACTGCCACCTCCAGGCTGGCCAAATCCCCCAACTCACATTATTCTCCATGTTCAGATGTTCCATTGACAAATAAATTAATCTAGATGATCATCTCGCCCCCTTCCTCGGAACATGCACTGCGCTATTAAACATTGTTGTCGGGTTTGAAAAAAGAAGATCGAAGGAAAAGAAGAGGAAGAATGAGACGGAAAAATCCCAATACACATGAAGATGAAGGAGGAGGAGGAGTTATTCGACCTTATGCAGCGTCGTATTCAGGGGGCACAGGGGGCACGTGCCCCCCCCCCCCCGGTAAAAAAAGGGGGAAGGAGGAAAAAGAAAAGGGGAGAAAAGAAGAAAAAGGAGGGGCAAAGAAAGAGGAGGGAAAAAGAAAGAAAAGGAAAGAAAGAAAGAAGAAGAAAAAGGAAGGGGAAAGGAGAAAGGGGGGGGGGGGGGAGAGACGGAGGAGAGATAACGGAGAAAAAGAGAATAATGAGAAGGGAAACGAAAGATATAAAGATCTTATATCATAAGAAGGTGATTTTTTTTTAACGGGATAGGGGTGAGAGAGGGGGGGGGGGACACACAATTTTGCAGTGTGCATAATATTGGGTCCCTCTTGCCAAGCGTGTAGCCCCCCCCCCTCTAAATAAAAAAATAAATTAAAAAAAAAAGCACAAGGAGAACAAAAAAAGAGATTGAAAGGGGGGGGGGGAGAGAGAATTTTTGTGAGTTAAAGGAAAAAGTAAACAAATGAAAGAGAATTAAACAACGATAAAAGGAAGGTGCGAGAGCATGAGGAATTGCATTTCTTTTATAGTGCGACACCCCCCCCCCCCCCCCAGGCGCGGATCCGTGATTTTCCATTAGGGGGGGCCGGAAATTTGAAAATTGCGCAGACCATTTTTTCAAATCAACATACCAATACCGACAAGGTCATATTAGAAGCACGATACCGGTAGAATTTTTGACATTTTCATCGGGGGGGGGGGGGGCTATAGCCTCTTGCCCGGAAAGTAATTTTCTGGTTTCACAATTCGAAATAGTGAGCGAAGCGAGCGAGCAACAATAATTTGTGAAAGTGTTATTTATCACCAAAATAAACGAGAAAAGATATCAAAAACTCATATTCGGGTAGCTCGCTGTCCCCCCCCCCTCCATTACGCGCGAAGCGCGGAAGCTTTGACCCTTCATTAATTGTTACTAGAGAAGGCAGACGATTTGTTGTACCATTCTCGACTCTTAATCCTTGTCTGAATTCAGTTTCCTCCCGCCCGCGCGAAGCGCGGAAGCTTTGGCTTTTCAAAGCTTTGGCCTTTCATTAATAAGAGAAAGAAGAAGATTTGTTGTACCATTCTCGACTCTTATTACTTGACTGAATTCAGCCCCCCCCCCCTTCCCGCGCGAAGCATGGAAACTTAGGCTTTTCATAGTTTAATGAAATTATTAGAGAACGATGATTCGTTGTTCCATTTTCGACCCTTAATCCTTCTCTGAATTAAGTTCCCCCCCCCCCCCTCCCGCGCGAAGCGCGGAAGCTTTGGCGTTTCATTAAATTATAAGGGAAAGAAGACGATTCTTTGTACTATTCTCGACTCTTTATCCTTGTCTGAATTCAGTTTTCCCCCGCCCGCGCGTAGCGCGTAAGCTTTGACGGTTTATTAAATTATTAGAAGAAGAAGACGAATCGTTGTACCATTCTCGTCTATTAATTCTTGTTTGAATTCAGTTTTCCCCCTCCCGCGCGATGCGCGGAAGCTTTGACGTTTCATTAATTATTAGAGAAAGAAGAAGATTTGTTGTACCATTCTCGACTCTTATTACTTGACTGAATTTAGCCCCCCCCCCCCCTCGCCTCCCGCGCGAAGCACGGAAACTTTGGCCTTTGACGTTTCATTGAATTATTAGAGAAAGATGATTCGTTGTTCCATTTTCGACTCTTAATCCTTCTCTGAACTGAGTTCCCCCCCCCCCTCCTGCGCGAAGCTTTGACGTTTCATTAAATTATTAGAGAAAGAAGACGATTCGTAACTCTTAATCCTTGTCTGAATTGAGTTCCCCCCCCCCCCCCCTTTGTCGTTTCATTAAATTATAAGGGGAAAGGAGACGATTCTTTGTACCATTCTCGACTCTTAATCCTTGTCTGAATTCAGTTTTTCCCGCCCGCGCGTAGCACGTATAAGCTTTGACCGTTTATTACATTATTAGAGGAAGAAGACTAATCGTTGTACCATTCTCGTCTCTTAATCCTTGTTTGAATTCAGTTTTCCCCCTCTCGCGCGAAGCGCGGAAGCTTTGACGTTTCATTGAATTATTAGAGAAAGAAGATGATTCGTTGTTCCATTCTCGACTCTAAATCCTTGGCTGAATTCGGTTTTTCCCCGCCCGCGCGAAGCGCGTAAACTTCTGACGTTTCATTAAATTATTAGACAAAGAAGACGATTCGTTTTACAATTCCTTGTCTGATTTCAGTTGCCCCCCTCCCGAGCGAAGCGCGGAAGCTTTGACATTACATTACATTATTAGAGAAAGAAGACGATTCGTTGTACCGTACCCGACTTGTCAGAATTTTTTTTTTTCTTTGTCTGCTCCTTTTTCGTCCTATGTCCTCTTCCTGCCCCTACCGCCCCTGGCTACGCGCCTGCTTTAAGGGGAAAATGAAACAATCATGATTGTGATAGCACCCAATTAGGTTAGTAGAAATGAAAGGGAGAAAAGATCTATTACACTAACCATGGATAAATCACGGCCGGGAGCGTCATATCATAGTTTTGTGTTATCGGGCGAGGGCCGGGGCGTAGCAACCAAGCAAGATTTTGCAATGTTGAAATTATGCATTCTAGAAAATTCCGCTATATTTCTTTCTAGCTATATTTCTAAATTTCCTGGGGGACGTGTCTCCCTATCGGGCCCAGGATTGCCGCTCCTGTCCATGATTACTACTAACATGAGTTCAAATACAAACACGAGCGAGTTGGTATGAGCTGAATCCAAATGAAGGGCAAAATAAGAGTAATGAAGCGGCCCAACCGTTAATTTAAAATTTGACTGTTGAGTATATAGCTTCTATTTAAAAGACATCCAAAATATTGTGCCCTTTTCAAATTTCTCACTAAAGAGTGATGACCTTTGTAGCGCAGGGGGGCTGTTTTTTACGTTTAACTTTGAATCCGCGGCTCGAGATTTTATGCGGCCGGCCC